CCCCCCCCCCCCCCCCCCCCCCTTGGCCCAGTCTTTCGTTCAGATCAAAAGTCCAATCATTCGTTCGCTCATATCTACCAGCTTGCTCAACTCTCGTTGCAGACTTGACTCAAGTCCATTCTTTCTTTCACAAAGAGATACGTTCGTCACATCACCATGCGCTCGTTCACCATCGCCGCCGCTGCCACCCTCATCTCCTCCGTGTATGCGTCACCATGGACCATGGGAGGCCTCTGGGGAGGGAAATTCGACCCAAGCAAGTGCTTGACCCAACCTAGTGTTGAGACCCTCGTTGATGGGTTTGGTCAACTCATCTCCAACTACACCACCGCCCTCGCCGAGAAAATCTTGGCCGATAACTTTACCGACTACTCTGATTCTATCAACTCCCTCATCGGCCAGCCAGTCGGTGGCGCCACCTTCCCCAGCAAGGCCGCTTTCGAGGCGGGCCAGGGCTCTCAGCCCGCAGTCCCATTCCAGCTTCTTGCCATTGAGGCTTACAACTGCGATACCATCTCCCTGCGATGGATTGTTGGTCTCCCGCCTCAGCCAGTCAAGGGCATCACGGTCTTGAAGGCATCCAACAGCCAAGGTCAAAAGGATACATGGCAAATCAGCACCATCTACACCGAGTTCAACAGCATTGCGTGGTTGGAGGATATCGGTGGCAATGTGACCTACCCCAGCCACTAAATCCCCTGCCCTGCGGCTTCATTTTTTGATACCCATTTGGCATTTGGGGATGGGACATAGCGTTGGCGCCGGGAAATCGATACATGGATGCACATTTTCCGCTACCGAGATTTTCAGGAGCCTGGAACACAACATCAACGATGGTGGCACTACAGGTGATCCCGAGCATATATTGGATCTTGTGAAACGTTACGCGGCCTCAATTCGACCTCTGACCCTTGACCTGCAACAGAATTGAACCTTCACAATAATGGCTTTCAGTACATAGCAATAATACAGAGTGTTACTCGCCAGGCATCCCGCACGATTGTGAGATTGAATGGTCCATTTCCTAGTCCGTAAACGACGCCGGTGATCGCGACCGGCAGTCGGATTGCAAGTTATTTCGCTTAAGCCACCACCTCCTCCTCCCCGACTCCCGGATAAGTCTCTGTCGGGCGAACGAGCACACGACTCAAAGTTGGTTTCGTCAAACTCTTTGTCCGGCGTCCCGTTGGATTAGTGATCTCGCAACCTCATTTGAGTGCTGCAACATGGAAATGAGAATGGAATCCTACCGTATGTTGCCAGGAATCCTTCTCCAGGCGGGGAAGACGATCCTCTCATTTTGGGACTGTTTGGTGTGTCTTGTGGGCTTCTCCCGTCGGGGATCTGCGTGATAGGCATCTTGTTACTGGGGCCAACACCCTGGAGACCAGAAGCCGATCAGCCTCGAGCCTAAACAATCGAATTGGAGCCTTTAATCATCTCTCAGGCGACTGATGGCTCATGCGCAATCACTTCCTGGCCCCCGTGTACTTTGGAACGTTCGCACTACTCGTACTCTTACTCTTTTAGCTGTGAAACCGCAACCGTCTCGGCCCATCGAGTCATGTTCTCAGAACCCAGCAGCAAGGATCGTCGGTTGAAATTGCGCAGGGGCCAAGATGCCATCCCCGGATTTTCCTTCGCCTTTTCCAGGCAAGTGACCCCTGGACCATGGCAATGGCAATGGCTCAACGGTCCGCCAAAGCTTGCAGCTGCTCGGACTTTGGCCGACCACGGCGAAAGGTGTGCTAGACAAGAGCGATCTTGACGGGTCGACGGTAGCTTCGGCCTGTTCTACCATGGCACAATGCCGGGCGGCTTTGTGGCAGACTTCATTTCGCTTTCTTATCATCCATCTGAGAATGGATTGTTGCGCAAAATCTGCGTGAGGAAAACCTGTCGGGAAAGGTCGGCGCGGGTACGAGTAAATCATCAAGTCCCTGCTGCCACCATCAACCTCACCCTAGAGCTATCCACATCGTTTCCACTTGCCTTGGTCTGAGTGTACTCGGTACTCGTAAATTGATAGCTGCGAAGTCACAGTGCTGGGCGCCTGAGTCCCCTTCTTCAGAGCAGCAAGGTCAATGTTTCAAGCTTTGCTAAGCTGGCGGGACGGCCAGAAAATTCAGAACAGTGGATGATCCCTTTACCACTGACCAGGGACCCCCTGGCACTCATTACTGGGACGTCAGGCTTGGAACAGGCACTCGTCACTTTCCTGACAAGGCATGACGATCCAAGTGAAATGAGTAAAGGTGCGATACTCCTCGGGTGGCTAACAGCTCAATACTAGTAAGTGGTGGGTGTGCACAGTGCTCTCTCCTGAGGTGCACTTGTTCTCTTTCAAGTCGCGTCTCCTTTCCGTCCATTCTCGAGTCACAGACTGATGTAACATCAACGAAATCCCATGCCGTCTATGGAGACTGCTGATAGCTGATGCCTCATTGACTCTTTCGGACCTGATCATGTTGATATTGGAAATGGACAATTGCTTTGCGTAGCACTCACTCGAGTGGACGAAAGGGGCATTGGGCAGGTATGTCATGGATTCCCAACTCATTCTTTTACCCGAGCCTTCTTTCTTGCTATCTTGATCCTTGAAATTACTCCCTTATTGGGAGGATGGTCAACTCCGCTCTCTGTGAGGGACGCAGAGCTTTGATTTCATGTTCATTTCGAGTATACAACATTGAACCAGAATTGCGCGCTGAGTGAGACGGTAGGCCTGCGTCCGCGCCCGCGATAAGCCTCCACTACCACTCATCCCTCGAAGAGCATCTCCAAGGGCCCAAGGATTCTGTTCAGGCTGAGTGGATCCGCCGCAGCTGCAAAAAGACGAAGGGGAAGGAGAAAGGAACTTTGTCCTCGGACCAGCCTGGAGACAGTCCTTTTGATCGTATATCCTCCCTTCGTGGACATTCTCAACTCTCCATCATTGCCCTTCCAGGTCTCTGACCAGGAGAATCCGTCCTCTCCGGGTTTGACACCTTGGCATCTTCCAAAGTCAAGGGACTCCATTTCCCCTTTACCTGTTCCCCAGACTGTGCTTTTTCCGACGGCACTGGTCTCGTGCTCATGCCCATTCCTCCGCCGCATCTGCACGGGTGTTGAGAAACAAGTCTCATGTCCGTGCGCGGAGCTCACATGCTTCTCAGGAGCAGTAAGGGGGTAAGATACACCTACGATTCGAGCCACTGAGTGGCACGGCAGCGGGTGCGTCGGCGCGCGAGGGGTTCAACCGACCACCACGTGTATGCAGGCTTCTTCTTTTCACGGCCACCCCGAAAGGCCGGACCTCGTAAGGGACTCAGTTGAGCTCTTTTGGAGCACATTACCCGAGTCAAGGGATCAAGAGTGCACGGGCAACACTGGCCTACTCGCAGAACAGCAGGCAAAGGAACCACGCAAGGGGGGAATACGAATAGAAGACTGGCACGAGCCACACGGTGTCGAGCTATGGCACTCGTGTCACATGTCTACCTGGTTTCTGGGGTTTTCTACTGGGCTCGGGATGCCGTGCCCGGCGCAACCATGAACTTGGACTGGATCTCGAGGTCGAGCGCAACGCGCGTGACTGGGCTCTGCAGCAGCGGGCTGAACAAAGTTGACGAGTGCACACACATCCCTCGCAGTCCCAGTCCGGGTCAGGGTGCTCTCACATGTGTCTTGACGACATTAGGAAATCAACCGCGAGACTCGGGATATGCCCTCTTCATCGCCGGAGAGGTCGAATGCTCGAATATGGTCAAACACGAGAAGTAGGAAGATGTCGGGAAAAATACGCAAGGGCACAATTTCTCGATTAGTAGGTGGCCTGCTTGGGTTTCGTTTTTGGGGTACTTGGAATAGAGACAAGTATCAAATCCCTATATCCAACATCCCCGACCTCGTCATTGCCTGGTATTGAATACAGGATGTCATCGTTGCTCATGCACGGTCAGTCCATCAGACATCTTTGTAAAAGCTGCTTCAGCATCATGACCCGCTCCGCTAGATCACCTCCCATTCCTTACTCCATCGTTCAGCCGTAATCGTTCGCACATTATTGTATATCGCCAAGTGCTTCTTTTCAAAAAGGTTTCCATGCTGTGACGAAGACGAAGCTCCTGTTCTAACAGGAGACATCGCTCATTCAATGAGCTCCGTAGTATGGTTGGAACATGAAGGCCGCGCACCCTTGAAAAGCTTTTTACCTGCCATCGTCAGGAGCTATAGACCGAAAGAGAGACCGTTAGACCCGTTGCCTGGACTCCTTCATATTAGAGACGAAACTCCGTCAACGCTCCTCCTTGGCCCCCAGAAGTCGCGTGACCAACTTCCCGACAACACCAAGTCTTAGTTTCTTCGTCTGCGCCTCCCTCGACCGCTCTGACGTCGTTGTATTGGCCCGTTTCCTCTTCCCTGTTGAAGGTGGCGTGGGAGGTATACCGGTGTCTCGTGCAGGGGCTAGCAATGCACATTCCGACTTGGTGCTTTCACTCCCTTTGCCAATTTTTTGCTTGAAGGTTTTTGTCCGAGACGTCATTTTGGATGGGGTTTGGCAGGAGAATTTGGTGCTGGGCTTTTTCCGCAACTTGGCTGAGGGCCGCGGCAGAGTCTTCTCTTCCTCCATCAGCATTGGAGTACTTGAAGGACTGGGACGGGCTTGCTGATGGGGTGCAAAAACATGATTGGCTTCACATACTTCATGGCGCTGCGCGTTGGTCATATGTTCCGTGGTATCCTGATGTCGAGGCAAGTAAATTCTGTTGCGTACCTTGGCCTCTGAGATGAAGCGTTCGGCGGCACGAAGATCTGTAAAGCTCTTCTTAATGCGCCTGAGCGGTGACTGGTAGCGCCTGCGGCCGCCTTCGTCATCCCAGTCGATGTAAGACACTTCCTTCTCTCCTTCAAAACTTCGAGGCCAATGATCCGTGGTAGCTCCTACATCGGAATCTGGAAAAGCCTGCAGAGTTAGGATCTTGGAGCGATTTGGAAGATTGTTGGGCGGAGGGGTCCAACAAAGCTGGTTGTCCTGATACAAAAGAGTGTTGGGCAGCGGCGGGTTGATGCTGCGGACACCAGAACCGACGTTGGCCTCATAAGTTCTCTTGGGATGTGCCATAAGGCTGTCGGGATCATGCGGCAGAAACATTTCATAGCAGTCATTTGTGGAGGCAAGAGCTCTATAAGGAGAGCCTTCAGATATGGCAGAGGATGAACGAGAGTGACGCGAGTTTGTCAGAGATGGAACCGGGGTGATTGGACTTGTTGGGGATGTTGGTAGAGCTTCCTGCTCCAGCGAGATATCTCCTAGCTTCGCAGTCAAGTGGTTCAGTAGTTCGCTCTTCGCTGTCGAGGTCGAGTTTGTGTTCAAGTCATGACGCATGGATGACTTTGGTGATATTAACCGACATTCAACCTTGCCGGTGTCTGATAGAGGTCGAATGAGTTGTGGTGCCGGTGGAAGCAGGCTTGGAGGACGAAGGCGAGTCTTTTCAGAGAGCCAGTCACCATGTTCATTGGACAAGGTAGCGGATAGGCATTCGGATTCAGTCCTGGTGTAAGTACTGTCATTGTTTGTGTCTGCGTGAATGAGGGATGACAGGGAGGGCTTCGAGGACCACGGCGCCAACATCTCCTCGGGATATACTGATGTTGATGGCTGAGGTAGGAAAGGTGGACAGAAAGAACCACTATCCGAGATGTCATAGAGCTCCAAGCATCCAGGAGGTTCATTAAAGTCACCCTTTCCACAAGTGTAATGTGGATTGGTATGGGGTTCGCCTTTTGCCAATGATGGGGGCATGTCCTGGAAATCGTGTGGTATATAGTGGTAGGTATAGAGCATTCCCCCTAATGGTACACGCTGTCACGTTGAGAGGGTGCAAACGATCCAAGCACTCGGTTCATTCTTCCAACGAAAAACACAGGAGTGGCTTCAGGTGAACGAAATTCTGGATGGAATGAATAAAAGGACTTATAGAATTATGGTGATACTTGCGCGTGTTGTGGGGGTGTCGCAAGATGATCCCAGCTGGGCTAATTTCTGTATTGGCCAAGAAGGGCTCAGACTGCAGTTTGAGGCAGAAGCGGCCTGGATCTTGTAGGCTGCCACGATGCCCAGCAAGCCAGTCCAAACAACCAGGCAGGGGCCTCGACGTGGGTAGAAGAAAAACCAGTCTTTCTGGGGCAATATGCCATGCAAAAGTGTGTCCAGACCCTAGTCAGCAGCCCAGATTGTGGCCCTGTACCGATCACAGGTCCATAGGGATAAAACTGGAACTGGAAGGATGGGTCTGGAGCCGGCAATGTGGACTGAAGTTCGTCCGAGGTGCTGGCCAAAGCTCTGCTCATATAATCTAAGACGGTAATTGTTGTGGTCTCGTGCACAGCTGCTGTAGGGAGGACAAGGGAGACATCTCGCGTTTGCAGTCGGGCGTAGAACGAGTTGTTACCAATCACATCTGCTCTTTTTTGTAAGCCACCCTCTCAAAATGATATCCTCGAGGATCTAAAATGTCAGTGCATGTGCCATCAACAGGGCAAAATTGAGGATGGAAAAGGAGAGGGGCCTGGTCAACTCAAGGGGTGACAGCCTCATCAGTCCAGGCACGCATTCCGTTCCGCACCACATGGGACTACACCAGTGACATTCCCTGGATGGACAGCAACGGCTTTTTTGCCCAAGTATGTGAGTTTGAGGGCTTTGAAAAGGGCAGATGGATACCGAGGAAGGGTTTGCTTCATGGCAGAATTCCAAACTGCTTGCCCAAATCCTGGTTGCTGTTTCCAACAGCAAACATGGTTGAACATCGATCATTGAGGACCCCCCAACCAATATGGCTGATCCTGTGAAGGACAGAATTCCCACCTGATTTCTTTAGTAGACTGACAGCACACCCTTACGCAACACGCCTCAGTCTCAACGGGGTCATGATGGGTCGCAAAAATAGCCCCCCGTATATACCGGGAATCTGACCGCCAACTTCGGCATTCGCAGACGGTCAACGTTGATGGGAAGCAGGCCTTGCATCCAAACAGGAGATAAGCGAACAACAGGGGGGCAGCAGCAGTCGGCGCCCTATGCACACCATTTAATACTCCAAGCTTTTCTGATTTTGAAGCGAGAGGTACAAGTAGGCACTCAGCCTCAGGGTGGCGACAAATATCAGGGCAGCAACGCCAGCTATTAATTTTGGGTTTGTGGCTCTCGCTTCTGCCCGGGCACCGGAAAAGATACGCAGGGAGGGCTTGCTCGCATCTCAACTGCAGATGTGGTGATTCGTTTGAAGGCATGGGACGTTGAGCCAATCCGCTTCTCGATACAGCAGTTGACAGGTTAAGCAGCACCTTTGTCCCCTGGTTCCTGGATGACTGGGACCGAGAAGGATGGTGGGGTAGAAAAAAGATCTTCCAATCCGTCGGGCCCGTCTAGCATTGTTTCTCCAAGCTCTTGATCTTAATTTCTTGTACCCTGCAGAGAGCTTGCTTCTTGAGACTCGAGGAGATCGGTGGCAAAGACAAAGGCACTCGGGGCGGTGACAATGCAGCTGAAACTGTGGCTCACAGGACCAGGGGTTGGAAGGACGCAGATGGAGCAGAGGGCACCGATGGCGCAGATGGCGGTGGCCGTAGATGGCAGCGTTGGTACGTTGGGATGACGATGCTGCCAGCTCATCGCAGCTCCACATCTGGGCCTCGAGACTTCCAAACGCTGGTGAGCTACCGAGTATTACCTCGTCCTGAGCTGCGCCCAGCCTCTCCAATATCGCACCACGATCCACGGCTTCACTCTACCGACTTTTCCCACGACCGTTGGGTGCCCGAGCAAGGAAAATTCGGCACCATGGCAAACACGTTGTCGCGGATCATTCCAGGCTGCTGCTCTTACAGTGTCCAATCTAGAAATATGGTCTTGGACCGCCGGTAGCGATCCGCAGTCCGCATTTCCTCCGCAGTTTGCAGTTGGTATCTTGCGACACGTCAGTCCCAAACCGGAACGCAGGAAACTGGCAGACTGCTGAAAATCAGCAGCAGCTCTCAATACCACAAAGCACTGAGAAGTCGCTCATGTGGAGTTGGAGTTGGAGTTGGGAGCTGAACTTTCACTGACTGCGCTCATAGCTGCGCTGCGCCCGTTGAGCTCGGCCGCAACTATCATCCAGAGTCCGCCCTTTAACAACACCACACAATCGAACAAAAATTCGCTGCTCCAGAGAACCCACGAGGGAATTACCTTTTCATGTCTTTACTGAGTAGTCAATTGTCTCAAGTCACTCACCGGTTCCGAGACGCGACTTCGCCGCACTTGTGGACACGCGACTCTACACTGAAAGCTGAAGGCCCAACCTCCATGATTTTAGAAATTGACCAGCCACCAGCAGCACAACCACGCGCACTTCTTCCACCTCACCACGTCAATGTCTCCATTACAGTTACTGTTCAGTCCCTCTCACATTTTGCCTGCCTCCAATCCTGTTTAGTCCTTCCCCTACCTCCCTCAGAACTTTCAACACCGTCTCCAACATCCTTGCGCTTCAAGCGCAGTTCCCAAATTGTCCCACGATCCCTCCCTCGTCCGGCAACCAGCAGTCGAAGTGTCGCTCCCCGATCAACCCGCCTTTGACGACCTTTACGAGTACTACGACCCGGAACGAGATCCCTTACCCCAACGCCAGCAACAAATAACCACTCCAATCTCGCAGAGACGTCCTCAATCCACCCAGTCTAGCGGTGCTCGATCGCTACGGAGAACCCCAAGACTACAAGAGCGAAGGGTGACAACACGGTCGCCTCTGCGTGCGAGAAGGTCTCAACCCCTCTCTGCAACGCCGCCAGTCCATTTTGACGAGTCGGGCTCTACCACCCCGAGCTTTTTCCAGCAATTGGTCTCAGACGACGTTTATCGGCCTCGGAGGACCTTCCACATCTCTCGACATACCCACGACGCTATCCTATTCGCCTTGGAAGCCATCAGAAGAGGTGATGGTGTTAACGCGCAGCCATTGACTGCTGATCCACTCGAAGAAGAGGCTCGAATGTCAGATTTGGTGAGGGGCACTGCGCCCGGTACCGCTGCTGTATCGAGCCGATCTCAGAATGGCGGAGCAACCCGTGCAGCCGCGGCTGCTGGCGCTGGTCCGACACCCACCGAACCCCCGCGATATCGTACTCCTACAGATGTCATGCGAGACCGACGGGCACGGGAAGCTCGTAGAGCCGAGGAGGCGGCGGCTAGGCTGCGTCAAGAGGAGGAAGCTAGAAGATTGCAAGAAGAACAAGTTGTTGGCGTTGGGGAGGATACCGCACGGAGAACGTCTGCCAGGTCCGGTGCTCAGCCTCCTCAAACCTACAACATAGGTGGAGGTGTCCCTCAGCCTGCCGGCTCCACGACACGGCGGCAAGAGAACATACAACCCGCTCAAGCCACTTCCTCCAGGACGACTGGGAGGGCTCCCGAGCCTACTGCAAGAGAACCCAGGGTCTCTGCAGCCACGCAGCGAAATCGGACAGAAGCCTATGAACAGCTTAACATTCCTGCAACGGCGAGACCGGCCGAACAGGTGCCACGACCTGCTCAACAGCCGCAAGCGCAACCCAGAGCCCAAGCTGTTCCCCAATTTAGCTCGCAGACTGGTCAACCGCCTCCCGCTCAAGGCGCTGGTACGGCGGGACGAAGCCGTTTTCCGAATGCATTTGAGCGATGGGAAGATCTATCTGCCCGTTGGGAGGGTATTGTGTCATCTTTCATCCATCGCATGGAAAATAATGCCGATGAATTGGCCGGGAAGCCCCTTGATCGGCAAATGGCACGACAGATTGATGACTTGTCTCGGGCAGGTGCAAACCTGTTCCACGCTGTGGTCGAACTGCAACGCCTTCGGGCATCGTCCGAGCGGAAATTTCAGCGCTGGTTCTTTGAAACCCGGCATGAGCAGGAACAAGCTCAAGAAAGGCAGGCCGAGCTTGAGCGTCAACTGCGCGCCGAGAAAGAAGCTCGAACGCTCAGTTCCACCTCGATCGAACAGGAGCGTGCAGAAAGGATCAGAGCAGAGGAGCTTGTAAAGGAGATGCGCCGCGAACTCCAAATCAGCAAGGAAGAAGCTCGCCGTGCTTGGGAAGAACTGGGCCGGAGGGAGCAGGAGGAACGGGAAAGAACCATTGCGCTAAGGAGCGGAGAGCCCACCCTTATTGGGGGTGTCCAGGTTGTACCGATGCAAGGTCTGCCGAGTAGGCAGGTGAGCGCGGCTCAACGTCCACAAACTAGAGATGGACCGACAGGTGCAGCAGGGCCAACAGCCATGTCCGGACAACAGACGCAACAACGACCTCACTCTCGTCAAACAACAACAACATCTCTCGATTCGCCTGGCGAGGAAAGCCGGCAGTTCACATATCGTCCCGACACGGGCAACTCCTCAACCATGACGGACCCGTTCACAGAATCATCTCGGCAGCGCGAACAACAAACCCAACTGCGTCGTGAGCCAGATACACAATTCTACACTACCCCTCCCCGCCCTACACAGCCTGCAACAAGTGATGCTGCGATTGCTGCAGCACGAGCAGCAGCAGCCGGAGCGCAATCTCCTGGACGGACACCTGGCGAATCGAGGTACTACCCGACTGCAACTAGCGATGCTCAAATGTCTGGTGCTCTGCCTGCGCCAATTCGTCAGGGTACTGGAGGGACAGAGCAGTCATACATGCCCTCCAACGCATCACTAGCACCATCCGAGGAAGAATACCATATCAATCCCGATGGCAGCTACACCCGAGACTCGCAAGGCCGCCGCATCCCTTATCGCCAACCACTTGGAGCGGGGACATCGGCTTTGGCCGGAGAAATTAGCGATGACGAAGGTGAAATACCAGAAGAAACCTCAGAGGATGACGACGATCATACCGCCGACGTGGAGCGTGAGAGGCTTTACGCTACACAGTATCGCCAACCGCAGTCTTCACAACAACCGCCGACAACAGCCGGTGGTATCCCACGTACAACGACCGGTGCCCTCCCACCCATTCCGCAAGGTCAAACATTGGACCCTCCGTCGTCAGCCTACGAGGGACAAGGCTACGATCCTGCTGTTCCACCCGCAGTCACTCAAGCCATGACAGGCTGGGAGAGCTTGCAAACCCGTAGCCACCACCATCCGACCAGGCTGAGCGACATCATTGAGGAGCAGACTGCGAGGACGAGTCCCAGTCGGACAAGCTACGTTAGTGGCTCAGGTGTTCTACCCGGCGACCAGGGGACTGGCACTGGACCCGCACGAACAGGGGCAGGGAACGGCGGCGGAAATTCCTCCGCCCGGCGGTGATGAAGAAAAGAGAATCTCGTGCCATTTCGTACGAAAAGAAGACACGAACAATCCCGGAACCCAGCTACTTGGCAAATTTGTTGCACATTCAAGCAACAGTCGCCACTTTCCAAACTCCCAGGAACTCCTCGTCGTATCAGATCAGCAAAAACGAAAAAGAAAAAAATGGGTCATGAAGATCCCTAATTCACCGGGTGGCTCCTTTCTTACCCTCAATGTACAACACACAGTACACTACGGAATTTAATGAATGCACATACGGAGAGCTCGATCCCATGCGAGCGCGCGTTAATTGATTTCTATGCCTCTAGCGATGGTGCAGCACCCGACTTTGTCCAACCTTGTTCCCGGTCGACACATGCCCAAGGAATCAAACAACGGCTTGGGTGCGTGAGGAAAAGTGAGGGAAATTCATAAGGTCGGTCCCTCAGCTTGAAAATTTGACGGTGTCGACAAAAGGACAACTTCCAAAAAAAGGGAGGGACAAAGGCAGAGAGGTCCAGATTGGGATAAGAAAGGAAAATGAGGAGAGAGCCCAAAACTTTCTTGTTCGTGCCGGGCTCAAGGCCTTTTTCCTTTTTTGGTTTTGAGCTTCATATTCGAGCTGTTTTTATAGCAAGCGAAGGCGTATTGGGCGGGTTGGGTCATGTTCTCAAATAAAATACTATCAAACTTGCGCTGTTGTCAGTTTTGTGAAGCTCTTGGAACAAGTGCTCGGCCAAGGGACAGGGAATGCAGAGATACATTTCCAACACTTCCACTTTGGCTTTCGTTCGGCTCATGCTCATTCTCATTGTGTCTGATCCGATCCATTTGGGATTGCTTATTGACATCAGCTACTCCTTTCACACGTCTCTAGCAGTTGCACTCTTATCCAAGTGTGCGGCAATGTTCTGGCCCATCTCACTTGTTCATGGCTGATCGCATGCCGAATTCACACAAAAAGCCGTCATCATCGACCGGATACTCATAAGTCCTTACCACCTCAAATCCATGGAAGTCTCCGCTTCATGGTTGTACAATTTTCGATTCGTCGTTACTGCCCCAATTCCTTCATATGCCGACCACATAGACTCATTCAGGACGACGTCGTGCCCGGCGAGGGACTCCAAGCGCTTGGGTTGAATTCGACGTACGGTTGCGTGACACACCAACAAGTCAGTTGGAAAGGATGGAAAAGCGCCGGAGTTGCATCGCCTCCATCATTAAAACATGTCATGGCGGCACAAGCTTCCGCAGTCATCTTTGCATTGTACAAATTTGGTTCAACCAAGGCCCGGGCGTCAAGTGTTTTGCCAGCGTCTTTGAAGATGCAGCCACAATATCCATCGGTGCCCTTGATCATGTTCATGTGGTAGAAAGGGCAGGCCTGGTCACATTGGACACTCCAGATTTGTCGCCTTTGGGGTTGGACGTACACAATGTTGTCAAAGCTGCGTTTACCAGCTCCTTGAGATACGGCGGTCAGGGCCAAAGCGGTACTCTGGGTCGTATTCATTTGATCAATATCCGTAACCACGTTGTTTCCGAGGACTGAATAGACGCTGCCATCGCTGATTCTCTGGATCCAGTAAGTCACGATATGCGGATCGTACATGTTGATAGCAATGCATTGACAATCAGCAACCAGCGTCTGAGGCTGCCCTTGACCTTGGTTCACCACCAGTGGGACCAAGGCAAGATTGGGCTGAGGATTGATCAGTCCAATCGTACCACAGGGTAGAGAAGTGCTGCAGTTGACTACAAGGGTGGTTGCTACTGGACCATCTAATTGCAAGGAGATTTGAATGACTCCAGCTAGAAGGTTAGGGACCATAGATGTAACCATTGCCGTGTTTTGAGGCTGAATACTCAAGGATTCCTGAATCAACTCCGGCGTGATATCTTGATTAGGTGGAGGGATGAACGTAGGGACTGCGGTGTCGACAGTCGGTGCTGGGCTGGTCGGTGTCTGCCGTCGGCGCAGGTTGCTTATCGCGTGTTGATGGTATCTTTCTGGGGTTGAACTGTACGCTTCATTTTCCTTGTTGTACCAGTCTCTCATTGTGCCGCAGTAGCACGAATCTGTTATCACAGAGTAGAACGTTTCCTTTCCATCTTCACACTCCAAGGCACCGCATGGCTGAGGGAACTGGACACAGGTTGATTAGCGGTTGGCAGTGGGCACAGGGTTGCCGCATGTTTGGGATCTTAACTTACGGGAGTGCTTGGCCATTCTGGACACGAACAAGAGAATGATGACAAGTCGAACAGGGCTTTTCCAAAGAGACAACTCTTTGACGAGCATAGTAGGTCAAGAACAGCGAATGCCTGGCTTTGCACAATCCCGAGCGCGTTGCCCATCCTGGTTGGAGCCGCCGCTGAAAGCGCAGCAAGCCAGATTGTGGTGACAAGCGCTGTGGTAGTCATTTCGACGGCCAGATCCACAGGTTTGATCGCAGTCTTCGAGTAGGAGGAGTGGAATAATGATGCAGATAGAAGAGGCTCAGGTGAGTAACGGGGGATGGGTAGGGAAAGATAGGAAGACGTAGAGTGAACATGCACGACTATTCACTTGGAAGACAAGATGGAACTGGGACTGCCAGACCCCCTATATCGGCAAAGCTCATGCCGCACCTACCTAACCGCAAAATCTTCACTACAGAAGCAATCGGTTGCCTGGTGAGAACTGCACAAAGCAGGAGCACTGTTTACTCAGTGCGAGACAATGGCGCCTTCCAAACAATCCAGGAAAAGAGATGATTTCAAATCTAAGCACTGGCATTGCAGATTCCACTCACAGCCTTTTGCATTGGATATGATTTCGGGATTTTGAGCAGTGGTCTCAGGTTCTGTGGAGGATGTGGTGAGCTCAACAGTGGCGTCTCTCTCACAACGATCTCTGAATTGTAGAAGGGTGAGGCTGAGCTTAGCCCAAAACAGAGGCAAGGCTGCCACCAGGCACCGAAGCGCTCAAAATGTGGGTTTCCGCAGAGCGGATGTGCCTAGGCGTCTCCTCCATTTAATGATCACCTACCCAGGTACCTCTTCATCCTCTCCCTTCATAGTCTTCGCCCGCTCAAGTTCTAACTTGCGACCTAGGTGGCGTCTTAGCGCTACGGCTGGCTCCCCGGCGAAGAAAATGGGAAATGACAAAGGAGGACGGGACGGGATAGGTCGGGATGGGGGCCTGAGAAAAATGCCAGAATGCACCCGAAAGAGTCAAAAAGATTGAAACACTCACAGTCAAACTCTCTGGGGCGCATTTCGCAGTGGTCGCCCAGCAGGACCTTAGGCTTTCTTTGGGGGCCACGAACTCTTGGAAGATGGGCGAGTTCAGTTTCTGGAGCTGCGGCTGCAACCAGCGCCGTGCCTCTCCGCGCGTCTTCTACCACCGTGCGAGGGACGGGATGTCTCCGAGCAGCGTCTCGGTGGCCTCAACGTTGTACGGGATCCCTGGCAAGGGTTTTGGATACAACAACCACCTCGCCACAACTGCGATAAACAGGCCCAGGAGCAGACACGCCAGAGCAGCATGTTTCAAAACAGATTCATTTCTCCATCGATGATTGTCATGAAGTATATGGGTTGGAGGTCAGCAATACGCTCTGCGGATGGAGGGTTGAGCCGAAGGCATGTCCCAAAATGATGATAGTTGAAGCTGACGATTCCTCCCAGTATCGCCGACGGGAAAACAAGCCGAAGCTTCACACAATGCTAGTCGCCATGGTTCCAGACAAGGCACAAGGCGGTTTTAAGGCGTCTTCCTTCTGTGTGCTGCTACCTGAAATATCATACACTTACCTAACTACCTAGGTACCTTCGACCATCGCCAGTCGAGAATGATCCGGTGTCGAGACTCGGAGTCAGAATCTCACGTCTCACATGTCGCATGTTGCGTCTCCGACTGCCGATGAAAACTCTCTCTCGGCTGTCGTGGGACGAGAACTCAGCCAGTAGCATTGGAAGATTTACACTTAGCCAGCCCGCTGTGGGTGACTGACAGTACTGCATTGCAACGATGTGGTATAGCCGCTGTGCTAGTACCTAGGCAGGTAAGGAAGCTGGTTTGTGACTGTGATAGATATAGGTGCAGGCTCGGTGGGTCGTGACTGCCATGGCCCACAACGGGTGATGACTGGCTGCACTAGCCCCAGTCGGGCAAGGCCCCGCCGCCTTGAGATCAAGCTCTGCATCATCTTTTTTCCGGTCCGACGCCGATGTGGAGCACTGCAGTGACGTTTCTTGGCAAACGGCCTCAACGGCCAAAGGCCCGCCTCGCCGCATCTGTGTCAAAACACCACCATCCTCACTGCAGAGCTCCTCTCTTTACAAGTACAAGTCCTTGGGCAGCCATTGCAGCATTCGCTTCGTACGGCTGGTACCGTGTACAGTCTTTGCTGGCACCAAATGAAAACATGCCTTTGCCTACCTAGGTCATCCAGGTTTCGCTTGCGCTTTACGTGATGTGTTTTACTCTGGTTGCTCAATCCTGTTTTGGGAGGCTGGGAATCTCGAGCGGTTGCTGCCCGTTCACCACTTCACACCAACCACCTCAACATCGTCCACGAGCACAACCAGTTTAATCCCAGCCTCACTTTCAAGGCTTTCTTCTTAATTCTCCGATCAGCTCATTAACTTTGCTCCCCTGCTTTCCTTTCCCGTCATCAACGTGCGTCTGTTAATCTCCGCTCTGTTTTGGCTTTGCGCATCTTTTGCCCACAGTCGTTTCCCCAAAGTGATGAACTTGGTCACTGATCCCGACGCTCACATCCAGACAGTCAAGCGAACCACTCCTCAATATATCAAATCCGACTCTCTCAAGTCCTCTTCGGCCACGAACGAATACTTTTCTGACTATGCCTCCGAAGTCGCCAGTCAAAAGTCGGACGATTCCAAAGCAAGCTATGAGACGCCTCCCTCACGCATCTCTACTCCTTTACCAGTACAGCACAACCCTATCGATTCCGAGATGACACTTCCTTCGAGGCCCGGCGCAATCCAGCCGGCTCCTTTGAATATTCGACACAACCAACCCACAGGTGCACAGACGACCGTGCGATTATTGTCTAGTTTCGACGACATGAGCCCTCCGACTCCCGGGGTTGATGATACACCGTATATCAGATTTGCCATCGAGCAATTAACAAGAGATGAGGATGTCATTGGCCGAGGCAGGGATAGTACGTTTCCTGGTCCGAATGCGCCTCTTCCAGCGCCTCTGCCTCCTATCGAGCCTGGTTTCGACGAAAGCCCGCGTGCTGCAACACCCTCTCCTCCTCCACCGACTCCACCACCACAGCCTACCTCGCCCCGTCCGTCCTCTCGGCCCCCCTCACAGGCGGGTCACCGAGAGGTTCTGATTCCAGTCGATCTTTCGAAAGACCTTCGTCTGCGACTAGGCTTTGTACCACTACCCTTAAGAATTCCGATTCTTGGTCTATTCTTCCTCTTATGCCTTTTAATGATCGCCGCCCTGATATTTAGCCTGGTTTTTGCAGGCACGAATCACGCACTCTTCAACTATGATGGAAACGCGACGCCCCGCTATTTTGTCTTCCAGTACCTGCCACAACTGGTTGGCATTCTCTTGATCCTGTGGCTTTTTGTGATTGAAGCCGCAGTGTACAGATCCCTCCCTTACTACTGCATGGGCCCTGGTCGTCGCAATCACTGGGTTTTGCAGAATATGCGGATTCTACCAGCAAACTATCTTCTGCCGGACCTCACCTTTTTCCGAAACGGCGAGCCCTTGCTGGGGGTGACATTCTTGTTCTTCTGGATGACGAGTTTCACTGTCCCGCTTCTCGCATGCGTCTTCCAGACACAGTGGATCGCAGATGACGGGCCGGCACGTTTCAGATGGACGACAGTTAGAGGCGTCGGCTGGACTCTAGTGGCGTTATATGCCCTTCTTTGCCTTGGACTCTTGTATTGCGCCTTTCGCTTTCGACGACGGAATTCCAACTTGCTCTGGGACCCCTCCTCTCTTGCGGATCTGATCTGTTTGTTCCGGAGGTCCAATGTGGGTTCCGACTTCGAGCAAACCGAGATATCACCACAGCCAGACGTGCAGATCCCGCCGAGGAATCTGCGCCTAGGTTTCTTCACCACGTCTGAACGACCAGAAGTATTTCATGGCGTGGGCGAGGAGTACGCACCTGTCAAGAGACTATCATTCCCGCCGGAGAAGCCGAAAGCTGCCCCTGGCTTAGGCGAGCGGGGTGATCTTGAAGCTCAGCGGCATTCTTATGGCTCTGCGTTTGCTCGCAACATCCATTCGCCTTTTGTCCGATACCGGTGGACTCCTTGGTTTCTCCGTGACTCGTTCGTCTTGGCATGGATTGTGGCTGCAGTTCTGCTGGACCTCGCCTTTTTGGTCGTCAGCTTTGTCAACAAAGCGGTTCAAGATGGCTTCCGTCCCCTCCTCCCATCTCTGACGGATTCAAGTGGCTTCTCACCTGCCAACTTTCTCTACAGCTTCATCCCAGCATTCCTTGGCATGGTGCTGTTCCTCGCTTGGCAGCCCATTGACATGTATTACAGAGCTGTTCAGCCGTTCCGCAATCTCTCCCAACCTACTGGTTCCACGGCAAGAAACTCGCTTCTGCTCTCATACCCTTCCTATGGACATGTACGAGTCATTATCCGGGCCCTGATCAATCGCGATTACAAGGTCGGGTATGTTACTTTCATCTCGCTCCTCTCGCTCTCTATTCCGGTGCTGGCCGGTGGAGTGTTCACAGCGGTGTTCTTCTCCTCAGACAATCAAGTCAGGATCGTCGCGAGTATGCCTGGGTACATTGCGTTATGCGTGCTGGTCACCATCTATGCTCTCTCGTACTTGGTTATCTGGCCGACCAGGAAGCGATATCTGCCGCACGGTATCAACACCACAGCGGCCCTTCTGAGTTGGCTATATGCTAGTCCATTGCTCGGTGATGTCGCCCTCCAGAACATTGGAACGAAATCTGAGTTGGCCGAGAGATTAACAGGACCGACTACCACTCCAGCGCCACTGACTGGTGATGCCGAAATGGACGAGAAAGGTCGCCGTTCACGGCGCGCTGTCCGGCGTTTGGCACAGGGCGCTGGGATGCGATATGCCTTCGGCATCTTCGTTGGTCGGGACGGTAAAGAGCATCTTGGCATCGACCGCCTACAGAGGCCTGGGAGTCGAGAAATGCTGGTGGTTCCGACTTCGCGTTAGCTCTGAGGGAGCTTCAGCACCAACGAGTTGGACGCGATGATATGATTTAACGGCGAATGTACAGTATGATGGATATGCAGATTCCGATTCCGATAATGATTTTCACACTACGACATTTAATGCTTGAACATGATAAGGTCCGACGCATTTGCGGACAAGGTACACAAAAGCAAGTGCCTTTTGCGATATATTCGAGATGGCTCCCGCTCTTCAGGGATAGGACGTGGAATCTTGGAAGGGAGCTTAGATGGGACAAACAAAGACATGCCGGTTCACACCATAAATCTCTTGTACAGATACAAATGATATACCCACCCCTGGTGCTTCAGGGTCATTCCTCAGGGTCGAATGTTCTCCTACTCTGTGCGATTTCTTTTCTGTTAGTGATTCATGGAAGTCGAGACCTCGGATTCGCTTGCTGCCCAATCCAACGGGTATACTCGCGTGCGCAAATATGTCGTGGGTGGGAGTACGAAGTACGCAGGGCTGATCCATCAAACGATCTGTCATGCTAACGGAGCAAGACCAGACTCTTCATGCACATTATCAGGCTATATATCCCGAGACTATTCTACCTACTCTGGAGAAGCTGTAGCTGAGAGAACAGCACCTTATCAACGCTTGGAAGCGGCTGATATAATGAACTCGACCACCTGCCGACCCCAGGCTTCTTCGTGGGAGATTCCCGTCCCCAAGCCCAAGACAGGGCTGATGTGATTGTGGCCTTCCATCTTGAGGACCGTCAACTCGTTAGCTACAGCGTCGGTCTCAATCCACTCTTTGACGAAATCATTCTTCGGCGTCAGTATCTCGTTTTCCGGATCAAGTCCGCCATAAAGCACCATAACCGGAACTCCTTTCAGTTCATTGATGGATCCATCTTCCTTGGACGCTCTCAGCAGCCCTAGAGGGGAGTGATTCCGGACGTGGTTGCCGAAATATGCTTGGAGAGTTTGTGCTCTTTCTGCCACTGCCCCGTCGAAGTGGAAGGGGGCTGAAAGGAATATGACACCCTTAAGCTTCAAATAAGAAGTATCTCCTGTGAGGGACTTTTGGCGAAGTGCGCGAAATTCGGGAGCAAGGAGATAAGTTGCCAAGTGAACGCCTCCAGCCGAGTTGCCCATGATGTATACGTTTGTTGGGCTCGATATATTGACGCGCATCTGCTCCTCGACCCATTTAATAACCAGTTCCAAGTCCTGGCCGCCAGAAGGGAACACCGCATCATGAGAGGTGAGTCGGTAATCCGGGATGATGACTCGGACTCCCAGGCTTTCCGCAAAGAAATGGCCCACATTGGCATACACCAGACCCTCAGGGAAATTCGGGTTGATTTTATCGCCTCGGACGAATCCTCCACCATACAAGAATATCAGGACAGAATTGCCGATCTTGGAATCGGTCGTCAACGTGGGAGTGTAGAGATCCAACTGCTGCCGTGGATGCTTGCCATAACTGAACGTCTGACGTGATGTCGATTTGATCTTTTCGGCTTGCTTGAGCAGCAATGGCGTGTATACCTGGTACGTAGGCAACAAGACTTGAGCAATGGCTTTTCCGAATGCTGGCAGGTCCTCCATCGTGATCTCGAATGATTGCTGGGTCAATGCCGGGGAACCACGATCTGTTCGATGTTTCTGTTTGCCTTTTGGTCATCGGTCTTCGTCAGACATGCGAGGGGATCATCGGTAGTTCAAGAATCTCAACTACCGATCGCGCGACCCACTCCATGTTCCCCTCGCATCGTGTATCATTGGCCGTGTTTTGTCCGCAAGGCGCTTCTCGAGCCTTGGGAAAAGAGCGTCTTACTCCCACCTTGAATATTGCAACTGTGGGAGTCGGATTAACAGATCTGCCTGTAGCCATCTACTGTCATCTGGCAGAACATACAGTCCCAGTTTTCGAGGCCGCCAAATGACTGGCCGAGATCAGTGTTGGACGTTAAATCACCCTTCTTCAGCAATGGGAACTAAACGCTGGAATTAAAGCGTTTGTAGCAGTACCGACAGTTCTAGCTGTGCATGGATACACGGCAAGAAGCTGGGTGGGGAGGGGATTTTTGACGGTAATCTTCACTGCCGATTGTTTTCCAGGGGATATTGCATAAGCGCAGAACCAAGGGAAGATTCCCGCAAAAAGTAGATGTATTAATCCCACGGCCGCCCTATGAACAGATACCCCTGCCATTCTTCGCGCCATTATAGAAGATGCAAACCCGAGCTCCTAAACTCAGACACACAGAAAACATTCGGCAAAGCCTTCAGATTGAGAAGGCAGAACACCCCGTCCTATCCCTCTCCGTGTCCCTTCAATCCCTGCACTGGAGGCATGGCTGCGTCACTTGAACACCCTCACAGGCGACATATGCCCCGTAACAAAAACTTGACTGTTCTATTCCATCGGTGTCGGTCTTCCCACCCTAGTCTCCTGAGCTTCTCTGATGACTGGGAGCCAGAGAGTCAGAATCGGTGCTATCATTGGGTGTAGCCTTGGTCCTGCTCGGGATCTTCCTCCTCGGGGTCGTTGTAGTTAGCATTGGGATCGTTGTAATTAGCATCGTCGTCGTCGTAATAGCCATCATCCTCACCATCAGCATCGGGGCCCCCATTGCTACCGAGATTCGTACTTGGTTGGCCACCATTTTGCATTTGTGAGTAGGGATCATTGCCTGTATTACCGGCTGGTGGGTACTCGCTCCCATAGGGGTCCTCCTGACCGTATGGATCCTCCTGACTGTATGGATCCTGCTGGCCATATGGATCCTGTTGACTATATGGATCCTCCTGACCATCTGGATTCTCCTGACCATCTGGATTCTGCTGGCTGTCTGGATCCTGCGGATTGTCTGGATTACCCTGACCGTATGGATTCTGTTGACCGTCTGGGTCCTCCGGATCGTCTGGATTTCCCTGACCGTATGGATTCTGCTGGCTGTTTGGGTCCTCAGGATCATCCGGATTTCCTTGACCGTATGGATCCTCCTGACTGTATGGTTCCCCTTCACCGTAGGGATCCTGAGATTGCCCCGAGGGAGGGAAGAGGGATTGTGGGAGACCAGACTGAGTGATTTGATTAAAACCATCAATCCAAGGCTCTAGACCGCTGTGTTGCTGTGGGTATGATGGCTGCGGCTGATATATAGTTGGCGGCTCCTCTGAACCCGGGCCAGGAGGAGCTGGCTCGTAAGGGGTAGGTTCAGGCTCTCTTGGGGGTTCAGGAGCATGTGGCGGTTGAACACCACTCGTGCCGGGAGGGTTCGTCTTGGGAGGCTCTAGTATGCCTATGGGTAATGCGGGCGGAACAATTGCCTCGCCCCCCGATCCTGGCGTTGCCGGCTTGGGAGGAGGGGTCGCTGCTTTGGGAGGTGTTGATGATTGAGGAGGAGGTGACGCTGGCTGAGGAGGGGGCGAAGCCGGTGGAGGAGGAGGCGATGGTGGTTTAGGTGATGTTGCTGGTTTGGGAGGAGGCGAGGCTGGTTTGGGAGGAGGTGAGGCTGGCTTGGGAGGAGGCGAGGCTGGTTTAGGTGGTGACGGTGGTTTGGCTGGTGTTGAGGGTTTCGGATCGGGAGCAGGCTTAGGCTTGCTAAGCTTGGGAAGGCTTAACTTGACCATTGTTGAGGTTGTATGATGGTTTTGGTGATCAGGGAAGAGCGCAAGATGTTATCTAGCCTGCCTTCGTGGAGGAATTAGTGTTTACTTTTTCTCCCCCAGGAACTCTATGTGCGTATACAGCTCATCCTATATATCCTCAGGGACTATCGACCCCATAGCTCTGAGCGATACGAGCGCATGAGTCGGCCGCTCGTATAGTCGTATTAGGCTGGAGTTTGGAGGGTTGCCAGAGGCGCAGTCTCGTAGCTCGTCGCGCCCGTACAGGGATCGATTCTATTTAGGTCAACCGAGCAATGTGCTCTGGAAGAATTTGCAGCGGTGTACCTCATACGGACTGACATCTCCAGACAGTCAGCTCAGGCAGGACTCTGTCTTCCCGCCGAGAACAGGCGCAAAAATCTTCCCGCCTCCATCTTTAGTGATGGACTGTCGGAGAACGGCCATGAGTGCTGGAGATGAGTCTTTAAGGGGCAGCAACAAGCGGGCTTATATGACGTGCGAGTAAGCATACCCCCGGGGTACTACTAGTGTTCCAAAATTCCATGTAAATTACAGGTTATTTTCATGGCTATCTTACGAGCGGCGAGCAATCATTGGTGGGGATGGGTGGATACCACTGTTTCGGCCCTATCCATTACGGCGAATATCCACTTGTCCGAGCTAGCCCCCTTATCCACTCCTCCCACTCAGCGGTCAGTGCAACACCTGGAGGACTGCTACTATTTCTTCTTTCCGGTATGGATGGTGATTATACCGCCACTACGAGTATGTACACACCACCGCGTATGGGATAAGAAGGGGCGGTTTTGGTTCGGCTTCTTGTGCCGGGCGCCACCTGTAATCAGTGGATTAACTCCCTTCTTTCCATGAACAATGTACTTGAGTTTAGTGGAGACGGAAAAAGATTTTCGGCTCCAGTTCTGCCCCTCGTGGCTTTGCCTTTGGTCAACAGTACGCCTTGAAAAGAGGTTCTCTCGACGGAACAGCCCCAATCCTACTATATGATTACCATATGTTTTCCCCTAGGAGATCGAAGCTTTGACTCAGCTGCAGTTTCTTTGGTAAATCTGGCAGGTAAGTTGCTATTTTTGCTTATGGTTGTCAATTGTAAAATCGACGATAAAAAGCAATCAACTTCGCCTTGGCAGTTCGACCAACGCAGAGCACACAGACCCAGTCATCATTAAAAGCAACAACTTCCAAGTCTCAACTTCGCCAATTCCGCTCATCCGCTTACACTTGTTTCAATCACATCTTGGCATTATCTCACACTCCACATAATGGGTATCTCAAGTCTCGTTCAGCACGGGTTCGATGATGTCGTTCATGGTGTCCATGATATAGCTGATGCGGTTGGGGATACTTTTCAACAAGACGGCCACGATGGTGATTATGATGACGGATGCAATTACGACGAGCATAATCAATACGATGACCAGGATGGAGATGACGGACAAGGAGGATACGGCGACGATTCATGGAAACATGGACATGATGGTCAGCATCATGATCACAACCAACACGGTAGCTGGGACCCGTTGCACGACGGTCACCATCACCACCAACACGATGGATCAGATGGAAACGACTGTGAGTTACCCAAACAAAAAATACATCCAAGTCAAAGGCAGTACATTCTAACCATTTGCGCTGCCATAGACCAAGATGATGGACAGGATGATGGACATCAAGAAGGACAGCATGGCTGGGATCACAGCGGCCACATGGGATACGGTCACGACGATGGCAGTGGTCACCAAAAGCACCATGACGAGGACTGCCATGACCCGAGCCATGAAGGTGACTCCCATCAGCAGAAGCACGACGGGAGCGAGGACTGTCACCAACAACAGCAGCACGATGGGAGCGACGACTGCCACGAGCAGCAGCACCACCAAGATAGCTCATGCCAAGATATGTAACGGTCTCGTACCCAGGAGTGAAGGCCTGCGAGAACGGTGGATGTTTAAGATGGCGGCGGGAAAGAGTCGTCGATGGTGCTGAGGATGGGGTTACCTTGGTTCAGTTTACGCGAGCGACATGTTAGTGGTTTTTGAATATTGCTCATCTTTTTGCAAAATGGACAGTGCTACATTCATTCTGGTTGACTCCCTCAAATCTCAAAATTTCTAAATTGTCTTTGTCTTTGTCTGGTCTGGGCCAAGCTTAAGGACCGCCTTCAATTGGTAGTTAGACTGTAGTGGACAAAACCGATCATAAGGATCCTCAGACGGGCTTTTCAGATCGAAGATCTTTGGACTTCGAAACTTGCATCGTCTCAAAAGGAAACCTTGCGATCTGTTACGAAACACGCGAAACATGAGTGGATACGCACAGAGTCAGCGACGAAGTGTCATTATCTCCTGTTACAACTACCAGATGGACGGATGTATCTATACAAGTTTCAGATCATGCAAATGGCCGGAAAGTCTGACATATAAGCTCAACCTGACTACGTCGTTGCTCTAAATTGGATCTCCAGCCCTCAGACAAGGAGATGGCTTTCAACATCCAGAAAAAGGGGAGGACCTTAACCCTAAGATTCACAAGAGCACCGGCCCGATGCGGTTGGCTTTCCCCATGAGTTCACGGCCAATAGCATACTACTTGAGACTCTCTCGGAGGTATTGGTGGTGTAAATCGGCATTATATCGGCGGATGGCGGGAATCAGATAGTACGGAAGATTTAACATAATGTGAAGCGGAAATACACTGTAGGGACCCATCGCTTCAACCGTTCCGCCGGCTTGTAATGTAAAATGCACGTAGCAAGCTAGAGCTCGGCAGTGCATCTGACCGCTACTCCGCTTTGAACGTAAGAAATGGCCATGATATAAGCAAACCTCCCGATATAGATGAGGGAGGTGCTATCCGCTTGTGGGGATAGGGGTAGCTAATAGACAGCCAGCCCGGTGGGTCCAGAGCCATGCGCAGCCTCGACCCCAGGAGCCTTGGCAAAGGAAAGACACAAAGTCTTAAGTTAGTAGGTGGAGAGCATCACGTGCCGGTGTCTTTGGGGTTTGCGATTTCAATCTGAGAAGATGGTCCCTTCCAGCAGAGGGGCAAACACTATTCAAAGATCTAGGGCCACCGTCGTACTAAAATTGGTGGGACTCAGCCTCTTCCCCCCGTACAAGAAGGATGTATACAGCTTGAGTATCCAGGAATAAGAATAAAATTCACCCATCGACCGACTGTCCTTACTGCAATCTCGCTGCTATCAAGTTCACTCTCGTTAACATTGCAATTCTCGGTTTTGTTGTCAATCCTTCCATCATTTCCTAGCTCTATTCTGGCGACCCCTCCTTTCACTTTTCCTAGTCTACACATTCCCTCAAAATGAATTCAGTATCAAGTATGGGAGCGGGCATGAGCTCCATGGGCTCCGGAATGTCGCAGTATTGGAAAAAGAACATAGCGGGTACGTTACAACACTTCGTTCCGTTGAACTTGAAGACTTATTAATGGTTGAATAGACAGTGTCTGGCTCCGGCTTTTCGTATATTTGTTGGCCGCGCTTGCTATTTTGTTTCAAGGTCAGTATACCTTCGACCGTTCATTCAATGAAATGAGACCTTACTGATGTACTGTGTAAAGCTCTTGTTATTCTGGGCGATGTTCCCGGTGCCCAAGGGGCAGGCAGTGGTACATCGGATTACTTTCTTTTACAATTCAACTCTGTCGATGGAGAGGCAACGACCCGGCTCCGCGTCGGGTATACAGGTTTGTGATTCTTCAATTCAAAATCAAGAACATGGCGGCTTATCATGGTCTAGCAATGTGCTGTTCGCTTTCAAGCGGACCTGAACACTGCGCCATCACCGTCGGCAAAGACCAGGCATCAAGCCTTCGGTTCCTATCCATTGGATCAAATAACATATACGACTTTGAGGCATTACCTGCCAATCAAACGCTTAACCCCATCCTGTTTGACGTGGCGGCATCCCTGCAAAATGATGTCTTCATCGTTTTCCCCGCAATCCCTGGCATGCTTTTGGCCCTGGGAGTTATCATGTTCGCCCTCTATGGAGCATTGAACAAGCCATGGGTTGGCCCAGCATCTTCATGGAGGCAGTCACAAAGGAATCGAAGACTCGACATCTTACGGATCGTTATTATCGTGCTCATTGGACTTTCGGTTATCTTCGCTTTCGCTGCGGCCGTATCGAATTCGCAAATGTTCGCTGCTGTTCAGCTCGCCACGAGCCACAACGCCGAAGCGCCAGGGATCTTCCAGGTTACAAAGGGCAGTGCCGCGCTCGCGCTGCATTGGCTAGCAGTTATTTGGACCCTTGGTTTCCTTATCGGTATTATGCAGACACACGTCGAAATCAGCGCCGTCAAGATCAAGGTCAACCCGAGCGACACGGCCGGCACAACCGGTGGCAGCCAATTCCAGGCCAACGGCAACACGATCGAGAGAGCCTCGCTCCTGAACGACGCAGAGCCTATGGCGATGAACCCAGCGGGTCTGGCTCCCAATCTCCCCAATCCAAATACCAGCTCCGCATCTGGTGGACCGTCTGGTGGGATGGGTGCACGTGGAGGGATGAGAGGCGGCGCAATGGGCGCCCGTGGAGGGATGGCAATGCGGGGCAGAGGCGGTGCTATGCCCCGAGGACGAGGGATGTGAGAAGGCGAATAGCAACCGGCATTCTTATCGTAATTTCTCCGCGGGTAAATTTCAGGTCAGTGACTCTAATGGTGGGAAAAGCGCTAGTATTTTAGATCAGCTTCAAACAATGACCCGAAGCTTGTACGGGCTCCGCAACAGACGGTATTATTTGAGCCTCCTTTCTTTATGGTATTTGTTCGCTCCTGTTGATTTAGCATCGAAGAGGAGATATAGAGTTTGCTGAAATTAACAGGCATCTGGCATCTGCCTTGCAGGAATACACACCTACTTGCCGCCTTCGGCCGACTGTTCTACAAGTCATTCCAGAGATGTATTGATATCTGCAGGTCAGACATTGAATCAGGCGCCATACTCGTAGCACGACTACTCGCTGCTGAGAAAGAAGGCTGTTGGCCGCATCCTCTGCCAAAAGATACTAGGAGACCAAGGAGAATTACTTCCAATGGCGTGGTGGTCAGATCCCGACAAAGACTAATACCGACCAGAGCAAGTCAGGGATATTGCTGTGTGGGGACCATCTTGTTCGACTGATCTATCCATTGAGTCAGCAGGTGGGAATCTATGTTCACAAACTACTTAGCGTTTCCCGATGGGTTAGAGCAATATATTGGAGCACGTCAGATGTGGCTTGGTGGATACTGGGCTAGTTCGCCGACAGAACGAATACCCGCGGATAGCACCTTGTCGCATCTCCAACTGGGTCGGTTATTTCAGTGTATTCTGGGGCAAGAGCTATTTCATAATGTGGTTGGGCGAAGTCTGTGGGTGTCTGGGGTCTGGATCCTGGCACCTTGGCCGCCCAGGACCTCCTGTAATCTGGGCGGGGCGCTAGACTAATGCAGTAATCAAAAAGCCCAAAAAGGGTTGTCATCATAACGACTAGTCGCATCGGGCAAAGTCGCTGACCAGTCGATTGGGATCATGGGGCGTGGATACGGGCCAATGGATCAACCAGGCCTGCGATGCTTGAGTGAGCTTCGCCCTCTGCTAACTGATGCTGGGGTGAGCTTAGCTTTCCATTATCCAATGATTAGATACCAGACAAGGCCGCCACAGAATCCTTTCCATATCACATGGATTTACTGATTACACTATCCGCAGAGTAGTGAGTGTCTACAATGTATAAGTAGTTCATCTCACTCACCATATCACCACCGACCCACCACGGCTCACAATGATAGGGGTCCCTTAGTCAGCTGGCCAGCCGCTGCCCGGAGGGCGTCCGACGCTTTGACCGTGCACACCTGCGGATTCTCGTTGTTTCTGTTGCGTATGTTTCTTGCCGCTGATATTTTGGACTTGGAACTCTGATGCGGAGTGCATGCTCCTCACAGATCACCCTCGCTCCGCCTTGTTAAGATCCTAGATTTCACTAATTCTCTAGGGAAAAGTGGGGGAAATTCCCGAAGTTGAAGGTCTCATTTATGTCCTCTTTTCTAGATTCCAAGAGCCTCGGCTCGGCTCATCTCTGGGGTTCCCGGGCCACTTTTGGTGGTACGAAATATTACCTCCAAGAGCGTACAGATATGAGATACCTAGGTATTAATGATAAAATTCTCATTTAGCAATAAGCCCTAATAGTAGAATAGCTTGTTTTGGCTAGTCGACTAACAAATTTAAACCCAAAATGCTGACGACAGGATCTTATCTAAATTCCTCGCCGTAAGGGTAATATTCTTCCTCCCGGTCCCGCGGATCCACCAGCATTCTTCTGGAAGAGAATGCGTCCCAATAGCTCGAATCCGGAGGATGCATGTAGTACGGTGCTGGCCTCCGTTTGAGTGCCACAGGAGGCATGTCATACCCATCCTGTTCTCTCAACCTAGTATGCGTCTTGCGCCGGCTGGGTCCGACACAAAGGGTGATACTGGTCGTCAGAGTCGAGACGAAGAGAAGGGCGACAGCAATCCAGATCAGGGCTAGAAAAACGTTCCCTTGGTTTGCAGACACGCCAATCTGCTCACCATTGGCATTGACACCATTGACAACGATTGTAATGATAGCTGTTGCAATGCCCGCACAAATTGTAAGACTCAGTAAAGCAAGCTGGAATGATGATCAGCATTCTGTTTGGTAGAAGCCAGGAATCTTAATAGAGCCTGTGACACTTACAACTGAGGTGATGAGGATGAATTTTACAGCAGTTCTGCTGGTTGTAAACAAAACCCAAACTGCCGCGAACGATTCCAATAGCAGACAGGAGAGTCCAATGAGAAAGAAAACAATCATGGCCGGAACTGCCGACTGTACGTAGACGAAGGCGCTGGTTATCCCATTGGGCCAGTCCAGGTCGTCAAAAGAAATGTCCTCCCCAAGGGCGTTACCAAGGCGCGTCATGGCCGTTTCCATAATGGTAACAAGATCGAATCGCCGCGAGAGTGACGGAGTTTCGCAATGAGTTATGACGGCACTTGCATGGGGGTCTTGAAAGGACGGGAGGAAGTCGCCCTCGCAATAATTGATGGCATAAACCGAGTAGAACTCGAAGATATCAAGCTGAGCATACTGCACTGTGAGAGTACCGTTAATAACGGCGGTCCCATTTATCGTCAGTGTGCCATTTGTGAATTCAACACAATTGCACCCGTTGCCGGTGCCGTTATTGAATTTTGTATTTGCTATTTGTGATACATTGAGCTGATTCAGGTTAGCCAGCTTCATGGAAGAAAGCAGAGGGCAACTGTTTGACTTACATTGAATAGGTCGAGATTCGTGAGGGTTGTTGTCGAGTAGCCTCCAAGCAGACATATAAACGTCAAGGCTGTGGCAGCAAGTGCCGAAAGCAGCGTCAACAAAGGGGAAACTCTCATGGTAAGCCTGGAAGAGGTGTAGACAACTTGTAAATAGACAGTAAGAAGATAGCGAATGCGTTCAGGTCTGTAAAGAGTGACTGAGGTGCAAGGAAATGGTGCTATTCGTAAAGAGTGACTGGTCTGCAAAGGGAGCGTGAGAAATGCAAGAAACTAGACAAGAGTGCACCGAGCCAGATTGAACTTAAGAAAAGTAGGATGCAATATGCCCTGGAAGGTAGATTATGAGCTATGTAACGAAGAAGAAGAGTATGACAGGTGTACAGCCTGCATGGCTCCCGGGCTCAGCAGGCGCCTAGTATAGCCATGTCCCACTCGATCATTCGAGTTGCCGCAGAGGGGCCAGAGACCTTTGCCACCTGAATCTTCGATCCCCCGCTTCTCCCAAAAATACACCTTCCTTCAGTAATCGGTATGGTGGAACTCTTGATTTAAGCTTACCCTCTTTATCCAGTCAGATCGCATTTGCAATAGAAGCTGTTTCTAAATGAGTTGCAACACTATGCCGGGTTCAGGATATGACTGAACCCCCAATAGCTTGCGCCACATATATCCCTCTACGACCTCTTAAGGTATCGGAGCACTGCAGACACAAATCAATGGCAATTCGGCTCGAGGACGAGTATTTCTTGTGGAATGAAGTTGCACTTAGGGTCTTCAGTCTTGACATGACTTCCGGCTTGACATGGTTTCGGAGATCGACGCCCGATCAGGAAATTATATTGATCTTATTGAACAGCCCAGAGATAGGGCGATTAACTTTCAAAGTACTATTTTGAATACACCCTCTTGTGCGGACTGCGTCATCTGTTTGAATATTTCTTTCGTATACACTTATTACCCTCTGCCAAACAGCATTATTCAATCATGAAATACCTCTGTGCATTATTCCAATATAATATCTTTGATTCCAGAGTTTGTAAACGAGAGTCTTCCCTTCTGGGATATGTTTTAAAGCCGGTACAGCACTTGCTTTGACATGACAACATGTAAGTAATATCCGTGAATTTCTATTTTTCCCGTGGGCATAGAACACCAGTGACACAAAATATACCCCTAATATTCCCCCTTTGCCGAAGAACTTAGGTCTGCTCAGGAGACGGAGCTAGAAAACCTATATCCCTTCCTCTCGTGGCATCATATCCAGCTATGGGTAAGGTACCGGCAGCTGATGAGGGCCTGTCCATGTTGGTGGCGGTCAAATTGGGACTTTGCGGAATATGTCTGGAGCTTGGTGGGACAACTGGCGTGGTCGGCCGCGTGCGTGCTCTAGGCCTGACCGGGCTTTTCCAGAAAAGATTGTGAAAGAAGGACTCTGTGGGAGTCGGAGTGCGAGCAGATTTTGTGGACTGTGAATCGATTGGCTTCACGCTCAGGCTCTTGTTGCGGTTGATGTCAAGCGCCCGAGACGCGGACGTGAAGCCGGAGGAGTGTACAGGAGTGCCTGTGCGGAGAACCGAAACAACTGAAATGTCTCGTCGGCTTGGAGATTCAGGACGTATTGAGAGTAGAGGAGGTGTTGGCGAGGTTGGTAGTGCGAGAGTCATATGTCTTGAGGTGTGATGGTCGGCGGTATGACTGTGGGAATGATGTTCTGTAGAGACACTCCTATCACCGTCATTAGGCTACAATCGATCACAAATGGCCGCAATTCCCCACCTTACCAGGAGTTGCTCCCGTAGTAGTGTTGTAGTTGACCGGACTGAGTGTGCATTGCTCCCTCTGTGTATTGATAGTTCCCGCCTCGAGAGTATCCTTGGTTGTAGCCATCATGATATCCACCAAATTGGCTCCCGTAGTATTCTTCAGAAGTATCATAACTGCGATCGTCACCAGCGTACCGCTGACTGTCATAATATTGCTGGTGGTAGTATTCTGGTGACTCTTCGTGATCCCAGTAATCGTCTCCCCAGTAGGATTCGTCGTAGTCATAATCGTCTCCTCCATATTCCCCGTCCCATTCATCATAGTCATTGTAATCATCGTAGTAGTAGTCGTCGTTGTAATAGTGGTAGTCCATGGCGATGGGGAACAAAAAGCCCTGTTGAGCAATCTAGATTGGTCTTGGAGAATAGAAATAACTCCCAGGGTGCAGGAAGAATTATGCCTCTTCGATGACGTATCAGGGACAGTTGATTTCCATCAGAATTCTATTCGACAAAGAAAATGGCGATTATTATGCAAAGCTGAAGGCTCGACATAGGGCTATTCAGTCTTTAATTGGATGTGATCTATTTTCTGTTGGCAAGCACGGTGGCTGTTGGACCGTCAGGATCGAGATATCTAAGCCCGTTGAGGCAATGGCTGTACCAACATCTCAGGATTCATAATGAATGCCAAAAGCGAGCGTATCTCGGTTGTCATGTCGTCTGCTCAGCCCAGGCACTTGGAATATCTCCAATATTAGTGCTCGTGGGCGGGAAAGGCCGCCATAAATAAATGGGGCTACAACAGGGGTCGTTTTAAGATGACTGATAAGCTTTACCCCAGCAGCGGGGAAATCTACGCTATTTAGGGCAGGGTGTATTATCTTATCGCGTAAAAGCCGGTGCTGATACTTACACGGATCAAAGTAGGACTAGTGAGCATGACAAGCGAGGCCAGGGGTTTTGGAAGGGCGAGCTAATATGCCTAGTAACAGCTTGGAGCCAATTTGTCATTACATCTGGTTTCAAAGGTCCACTCTCAGGTATGGAAGGAGTACCAAACACTTGCTTACCTGCCAGTATACACCAGATCCTATGACACCGCCCGCCTAGCGGAGAGCACAGGGCTTCTCCACTTCACGGCCACGCCCTCGAGACCCGCACGTCCTGTTTACACATGATATCGAAGCCTAGTTGGGTAGCACTCCCTTTCCGACGGACGGTCCCGGAAGTCAAGCATGTGCCAGAGACGTTTGACGAGATTACGATGTAAGTGCCCGCCGCACCTGCTCAAACAGATTCGAAAGGTCCATCAAGGCCAAACAATGGTTTTCTCAATATTCATTCTCCAAAAGACGTGCTTTGACTACCAAAAGAACCTTTTAATTGGTGGTTCCATCCAAAACGCTCGTTTGTACCCTGCTCTAACGCCAATTTCGCCCCCAAAGTACATTTGACAGGCTTGGTTCAACGGGAGATAAGTAGAGTAAAGCGTTCGGTCTCTGTCCAGACATGTCCCTCTCGTATTGATGACGGAGAGGATTGAACTGAAGGTCAGAGCGGTTGGGTGATCGTATGGTGTCATCCTCCCCTTCGCAGGCCTCATCTTCCCATTCATCATCCTCAAACTCAACTGGATCAGCGCTAGTCCCGGGGTCGAAGCTGTGTGCATGCCTGTTGGCGGCGTTCTCAACTTGCCAGCCGTTTTCATCTGCTCCTGCTTGTTCCTCTGTCCCCGTAAGGTCTGGCCGGTATGGCACGTACTGTGTCTGCGGATTTTGATTCATCGCGTAGTGTAGGACCTCAGAGTAGTCTGGAGGGGCGTCTTTTCCTGCGTTGTAAAAATGGGAGGTATCTTCTGGATAAGGCTGCTGCAGTTGTGTTTGTTCTTCATCATAGCCTGGAAGCACGTCGTCTTCATTCAAACGTGCTTCTTCTTCCGAGTGCACATGATCGTCATGTGGGTGTACCTGATCCTCGTCGAAGTGTTCTTCACTCAGACGTACTTCCTCTTCCGAATGCATGGGATCGGCATATGGGCGTGTCTGGCCCTCTTCGAAGTATTCTTCGTGCAGCTCGTCAAAAGGGACTTCATCGACGACCTCCTGGATTTGGTCATCTGAGAAAGGTCCATAATCCGACTCTTCATGCCACTCACCTCCTGCTACGCCTGTGCCTTGCTGATAGTGATAGGTCTCTCCATCCTGATTCCAGTCGTCATATATTCCATCCGCTTGTTGATCGTAATATTGTCCCTCGTATTGTTGGTCTTCGGGATATTGAGGTCCCTCATAATTGTTCCTGTTGGAGTCATCGTAATGCTCGCCTGTATATGTCATATCGCGGATTCCAGCTGCCCCGATTGCATATGATTCATTGCCATGAGCCGACGGATCCAGCTCAGTGTAGTCGTCGTACGGTCCTTCATCATATGTGTCAACACCGTTGTCGGGCTCGTGGTATGCACCAGACATATAAGGGCCCTCATAATAGCTCTCGCCTGCTCCTGAGGCATCATACTCAGGGGGGTCATATTCATCATATTCATTCCCGTATTGGTATTGCTCATCCCCGTATTCGAGGTCTTTCTCCTCCCCAGTGTAGGTTCCTTCTTGATCCACAGGTTCTGTACTTGTCCCAGTGTATGGATCGTTGTATGCATCTTCTCCATAGTAGTTGAAGCTGTTTTCGTCGTGTTCGGAATATGGCTCTTGTGCTCCTTGCGCTCCCTGGTCGTTTGGTTGTGCGACTTGATTTCCTTCTTTCTTGTTGAGAATGTATTCTGTCAAGTGCTTCACGACCCGAGATCTGTCGCCGCTGGCAACTGCATCTAGAAGGAGCGCGTATTCCTGAATCTCGTCACGCCAATCTTCGTCTGGCATTGCTCATTTTGTTAAACTTGAATGATACACATATCCTCCTGTCATGGATATTAGCACGTTAGAGCCTTGCGCAGTGACAAGGTATATTCTTACGCCGGGGGTCTGTTCGTAGAATAGAGAGTTGTTCACCTAAGGCACACATGTAACGCACACATGTATGCGAATAAAATTAGATACGCAGGCAACTGGGCATAATAAGCGTAAGACATAGGTTTACAACAGTCCATCATCGCCTCAAAGGGTCAATCCAAGAATACGTAGACAATAGGTTAGGATTACTCTCAGCCTCGTTTGTTGAGGAACTCGAAGACTGCGGCCAAATTCATAGGGACGTCCAGCTGGTAAATCAGCGAGCGCAGCATCAACAAGGCGAAAATAGAACCTCAAATCCACACTCCTCACACCCTCCTCCCTCAAAATAGCTAGTGGCACAGCCTGAATACAACCTGCCATCTGCTAGCGAGTTAGAATCAGCCCTTTGGATCCACAATAATATGTTATTACAGAGGGGCACGCTAAAGTGCGGGTCACATTCTGACAGAGACTAAACGGTATTCCTTCGGGGCGGAAAAAGGCTCTCCTTTTCTTAATGCAGGAATCCACTCAGAGTCGGGGAAATCAGATCTAAGGCAAGCTAGTAATCAATGTAGCTTGTATCGTTAGGGAGTAATCGCTATTGGCACCTCTGGGGCTAAAATTGGTTATCGCTGTTGGATCCATCCAGCCAAAGGCGAACGTGGCTGATAATTCTGGAGACGGCCCCGAATTTATGCCCTTAGATAATGCCCGATTTTTAGAAAATATCTTGGCTATAAGGTTTGGGAGATGTCGTGTTTTTCTGTACTCTCTCGTTTCCCCATCACGACCACGCTTCTTGGGCTCAATCCACCATTGATTCAAACCAATCAAACCCCTATAGAAATTCGAATTAGTCTCTCATTTCTCAGCCCAATTAGATCAGATAAAAATGACTTCTTTGGGTGAGGCACCGGGTGGTGTTCTCGACGATGGCACGAGCAACAACAATATGGCCGACGCCAGCTCCACCGCTGACGCCACGTCGTCAAACCAAGGCCCAAGCAACGACAACACAGCCAACGCCAGCTCCGCCGCTCTCGCCAATTCGTCAAACCAAGGACTAGGTAACAGCAACATGGCCGACGCGAGCTCCACCGCTAACGCCAGTTCGTCAAACCAAGGGCTAGGTAACAACATGGCCGGCGCCAGCTCCACCGCTGACGCCAGTTCGTCAAACCAAAATACCACCACAAACGACATAACGGTGAACCCGATCCAAAGCGTACCTTCCGCAAACGTCAACCCTGACATCAACGACACTTTTAACCCGACGATCACGCTCGACCTAGAGGGTTCAGGAGGTCACGGTGGCCATGGACATATGGGAGGCCATGGCGGGCATCGGCAGCAGCAGTATGGCCAGCAGCAGTATGGCCAGCAGCAGTATGGGGAGCCGCAGAATAACCCGGAGCAATATCCCCAGCCGCAGGATGACCCGGAGCAATATCCCCAGCAGCAGGATGACCCGGAGCAGTATGGGGAGGGGCAGTATGGAGAGCAGGAGGATGATCCGGAGCAGTATGGCCAGCAGCAGTACGGTCAGCAGACCAATCCTCAAGAGAGCAATCCTCAGCAGACCAACCCTCAGCAGCCAAACCCTCAGCAGCCAAACCCTCAGCAGCCAAACCCCCAGCAACCCCACCTTCAGCAGCCCCATCTTCAGCAGCCCAATCCCCAGCAGCCCAACCCTCAGCAGCCCAACCCTCAGCAGTCCAACCCTCAGCAGCCCAACCCTCAGCAACCGTATGGCCAGCAGCAGTCAGGCCAACAACAATATGGCCAGCAAGACCCGGAAAATGAGGACTATCCACAGGGCGATGGAGATCAGATGTACGGCGGAGACGAGGATGACGGAGGATACAACAATCCACAAGGAAGCCAGGGAAATGCAGCCTCAGCCTATGGCCAGAACCCCGGAAGCTACTATGGCGGTGGGGGAGGAATGATGGCAAACCAGGAACAGGGAATGCAAGATTGCAATGACGATGGAACGATGGGAGAAACAGGAGAAGACGATGGTACCCTGGGAGCAACAGAAGAAGATGATGGCACCATGGGAGCAACAGAAGCAAACGAGGAAGATTACGGTGAATATGATCAAGACATGGATCAAGGTATGAATCAAGGCATGAATAACGGGATGAATCCTGGCATGTATTATGGGATGGGGAACGGCATGGAACACGGGATGAGTCAAGATATGAATTATCCAGAAGACGAAGAAGGGGAGGGGGCGGACGAATACGACCAGCCATATGGGCAGCAGCAGGAGGTATACTAGAGCTGAGTTTGTCTTGATGGGATACGTGCACTCGTCGGGATATCGTTGGTTCATGGGTCAGCGTTTTATACCTTGTATTATGGTTAGATATTTGGACTATGCGAGGGTCGTCGGTAACTGTTAGATCTGAAACTCGTGGGATATTTTGACCCTTGCACATCATCATGTCCGTGTAGCAAGTGCTCAGCGCGACGCATCAAATGCTCTGCAGGATCTTCAACGGTAGAGCATAAGGAGGAATAGCGCTTTTGCCAAAAGATGCAAAGCGTTGTAGTCAAGTTATCATTACTACAGAACCCTAGGTCCGACAATCTCATTGGCTGTCGGGCGACCTCTTGCCCCTTACTCATGAAATGCTCAGTCACTTTGTCCTTGTAACCTTGACCGTCAAAGCAACTCAATTTCGAGACCAACGCACCCAGAAGGTAGTTCGGAGGCCATGAGCTCTAGCCAGACACTAAAGAAAGAGTGTTGTGGGTTTACCAAGGACATCACCCTACAAAAAGGCGAAATGGAGAGATGGGTGAAGTTTGACCGCGATACAGACTGCGCCGCCCAAAGAGGGTCGCATGCTTGAGCTACGGGGTTGCCAACAACTTGGCGGCCTGTGTCAAATGCCGATCCAGAAGACATTGGTCTAATTAGACCGGAACCGAGTCAGGCGGGGGCGTTTTATGGCTCGACAATGGCTGGCCGCTCATGCTGATTGCCAAAGGCAGCGAATCTCCATGCTGGGGAATCTCGTGGCCTCGGGACCGTCAATGAGGGTCTCGAACTCTCTCCCCGCAAAATCTCCAGACTCCTTAACATGACCAGCAGGCCTCGACCGTACATTGGTATTTAAAGCCATGGCCCCCTTTGAGGACCCAGTTGTCGACCTCCTCCAAAGTCATCCAGACTTTGCGGAGTCCTACCCCACAAAGGAACATCTGATACTCGCAAGCCAACATGTTTGGACTCAATAGGTTTCAGCTGTTTTGTCTGGCGTACATCACGTTTGGTTCTGCTTTCTATGGATACGACTCCGGTACGTCCGCAGGCTCCATCGTCCGTGGAGACCAGTTCTACTGACGGCTACATAGGAATCACCACGTCAGTGCTCGGCTACTCGAGCTTCCTGACTTACTTCAACCTGAATGCGAACACTATTGGAGCCTTCAACTCGGCGTACTATGCTGCGTGTGCGGTTGGCAACATTGCCAACTGGTACCTGCCTGACAAATTCGGACGAATACGGACTCTACAGTTTGCGTGTCTCCTGAACATCCCCGCCATTGTCTTGCAAACTGCTGCCGTCAATTTTGGAATGTTTGTGGCCGGCAGGGTCATTGGCGGCCTCGCTTGCGGCATTGTGTTTGCATTGTGCCCAGGTTTGTGCAGCAGCAGCCCCCTTGTTCATGAGACGACGACCTGTTTTTTAACCTCTGTTCCACAGTCTACGCCAGCGAGATTGCACCGCCGCATATCCGAGGCAGGATTGGTATGATCTATGCCATGAACGTCTCTATCGGCTACGCCGTCACAGAGTGGATAGGTCTTGGATTCTATTTCATCAAAGGCAACACCTCGTGGAGAGTCCTGTTCGGTCTCCAGGCAGTCCCGACTCTGGTGATGGGTATATTCTCCTTCTGGATGCCACGCTCGCCTCGATGGCTGGTCATGAAAGGACATTACGACGAGGCCAAGTCTGTCTTGAAGCTCATCCACGGTGGCTTGCACCATGACGACACCTTCTACGAACGCGAGTTCCACCAGATCAAGGCCCAGATCCAACTTGATCAGGACGAGCAACTCGGTCTCAAGGACATCTTCCTCAAGCCATCCTATCGCAAGCGGGTGCTTCTTGTCATGAACTTCTTCCTCTTCCAACAACTCACGGGCATCATCCCCCTCCAGAATTATCAAGTTTTCATCTACCAGATCTGCGGTTTCGACGCGGTCATGTCCCTTGTGCTGGTGGGCATCTGGGGCACCGTCGTCATCATTGCAGTCGCCTGCATGTCGCCTTGGTTCGACCGCATTGGCCGCCGGTCATCGGTCTTCCTGGCCTACAGCTTCATCATCCCAGGAGCCCTGCTGATTGTCATCATGTGGGCTCGATTCGAAGCCGGCGGCAGTAAGGACCTGGGTGTGGCCAAGGGCATCATCTTCGGCATGTTCTTCCTCGTTTGGGGTTATGGCGGTATTCTCAACACTTTTGCTCCGTGTGTGAGTAGCCCGCACTCTCCTTCCCTGCTCCCAGAGAGTCTTCCATCCCACTTTGATTTTGTCTAACAGGATCAACCAGTACTCCTCGGAGATCATGCCGACCTGCATCCGGGCAGCGGGTGTCGCATGCGGCTACGCCACGTTCAACTGCATCGTCATCCTCCTCGTGCAAGTCACGCCCTTGGCCCTCGAGCACATCTCGTGGAAATACTTCCTCATCTTCGTCATCTGCGACTTCATCTTCATCGTCAACTTCTACTTCTTCTACCCGGAGACAAAGAACAAGACAGTAAGTTATGTCCCACCCCAACGTCAGTATACCCAGCCCCCTCGCTCGAGGGGAAAGAGGAGGGGAAATTCTGGTGATTGATCTTCTTACTAATGCATGTTCAACCCGTTCCCAACAGCTCGAGGAGATCGAAGCCATCTTTGGCGACCGCATCGCCGAGACATTCGAGGAGGCTGGCCAACGCTTCCAGGAAGAGAAAGAGAAGACACACGTCGTGGAGCACAAGGAAGTCTGAACGCTGGGGAGGAAAAGAGAGACAAGGGGGAGGGGCAAGTGGAAAACCTGTGCGTCCCCCCGGTAAGACATTTTCCGATCACCACGAGGGACCATGCTTGGCAATGAGGACATTTCTTCATGATGTTGATGTAGTTCTTTCTTGTATCATCGATATGAGGAAGTGGTGACGGAAAGGGGGAAGGCAAGAGAGGGGGGGATCTGATGTGACGGTTCTTAATGTCCTTCTTCAATGCCAGTGGCCACGGGTTCCTCCAAATCCTTCTGGGAAAAGCTTACGTCCCATGTTGATTGTGGGCCACTGGTCTAGTGATTTCATTGTTCTAGCACAGCCTGTTTGAGTAGCTTCTATCATCCATCCCATTTTGTGACTTCTATAGACTGTTGGGGCCGAGGGTATTCTCGGCGGCCAAGGTTACCTATGAACTCCCGCACAGACCGGGGACTTTGCTCGCGCCGACTCCAACCAAACCATCTATGTACGACAGGAACGTCTGGACCGGGATGAGGTCCATCAGACCGAGAGTCGGGTTCGAGCTCCGCAGCACCTGGCCGCCCCACAGCACGCGCAGATAGTAACACCCTTGCTTGGAGTAGAGTTCGAAGACGACCTCAGAGCCCATGCCGGGCCAGACCATGACGTCGACTTGCAGAATGCTGAGCAGCCGGGACAAGGAGCCGTCGTGCGCGACGTTGTGCGTGTAGATGACGGGAGAGGTGCCATTGATCGCGTCGCGGAGATTCTGTGCGAGCTCGGCCATGTAGATGCCGTAGCTCCCAACGGACGCTGGGAGCGACGAGGGACTGTCGCGGTAGATGAACGAGTACTCGTACTGGCCTCGCCGGAAAACGGCGTCGGCGTCCGCCTCGGTAATGCAGTTGGACGAGTTCCCGATCTGGCACGGCAGGGGCTTCTGGTGACACAAGCGAGCGGACAGGTTGTCAAAGTAATGGTCGAACCAGTTGTGCCAATCAGGATCGGTGGCGTTGACGCCGCTCACCGAGTCGAGCTTTGCATACAGGGAGACCGAGTCGTTGAGGTGCAGCGTCCAATTGGCAGCGTCACTGCCAACGCCGTAGGAAGCATAGAGATCACTGGCTGCGGAGCATGTATATGCTGGTTCCAGACTATCGACACTGTCGGGCTGGATGAGCACAGCGAAGGGGGTGTTTCGACGGCCCGAATACTCGCCCTCGACTATTTGACCGGCGACTTGCGAGGTGATGACGTTGTTCGTGACGCGGTACTTGACCAGGGACGAGTTGTAGCGAGAAGGCAGAAAGCCGAGCAAGTCATGATACACGCCGAAGAGATCGCGACCATGCTGGCGAGAGTCGTTCAGACCCGCACCAGAGATTTGCGGAAATTGGCAAGTTCCATTGAACCCCTGTGGGGCCAAAGGGTTGGATGGAGAGGTGTACACTTGCCAATTGACCTGGGCGGAGGATCCGTCTGGTTCTGGCGCGCCATAGAAGAACAAAGCCTCGTCGCCACAGTCCCAGGCGTAGGATTCGCGAGGAAATGTGTTGGAAGCATACGGGGTGCGCTTGTGGTGACGATGAATCTGCAAACTCTGTCAGCCCCTCATTGCTTACTTGGTGAGGTCGCCCAAGCCTCGAGATGGACCTACAAGCTCGACATATTCCAAAGTGTAGCCCTGGGCAACGCGAGGGTACTCTTGACGGCGCGTATGCGGCATGTTGCACCAGTTGTACGTGTCGTAGGCGGTCGAAGCTGGGGTGGTGGAGGAGTTGAAGATAAATCCATCAACACCGGTGCCATTGACGACGAAGGCCAGGTTGTTGATATTGGTGGCATTGGGAGGATGCCATGTCAAATCCACCGAGGTCGTAGAGGAGCAGTTGGCTTGGGCCGCAACCCGACGGGCGACTGTGCCAACAAGCAGCACGTCGCGGAGTCGCACAAACATGACGTTCTGGTAGAGCTGGTTCGTGAGGGTGTTGAAGGAGGTCAAGAGATCAGTGAGCAGGCCTGTAAGGAAAGAAACAGATTGCTGTGAGGATTGCATGATGCAGCAGACATTTTCATGGCCCTGCTGGATCGGTTCCTGGAGCTCCACGGGTGGCCGATTCTCCTGCAATGCGCTCTGCTGTTGGTGGAAGCTCTCCTGGCCATCTGCTTACTGCAGCATCATTGGCAAACTTGGGCGCGCCGTCGCGAGTATAAGGTGTCGGTAGAGGACGAGGTTGCAATCGCCTTGCCGTGAAGATGTTGCCAAGAGACAAAGTCCGACCATGGCGGGTTGATTGGCTGAGGGGGTGAGGCCGGGGAACGTGCACCAGAGGCGAGCAATGAGAGGCCTTGAAGTTGGGGGGCTTTGTGAGCCTCGTTGGCGTTCGACACGCATACCTGGGTAGGGAAGGGGGCTGCCTATCCCAGGTAATACCCTAGGTACCTGGGTACCCTCGCACCCTCGCTACCTCTACCTAGGTAGGTAGGTACCTAAGTACGCAGGGATCCGACAGCCTCACTAGCCCTAAACCCGGATGGACAAAAGCAGCGACCTCCAAGCGCAGAGCTCGACAAGCTTGACAAGCTCCCACTACAACCCAATATATTGTTGGAGATGGAGATGGTAATGGTAATGGTGACGGCAGAGCCAAACACCAAGCAATCCATATCCTCGGAAGGCCGCACAATGCTGGGGATTCTGGCGACTCTGGCTGGCCCGGTTCGGTGCCAGGTGCGGGGTAACCATCTCACGGCTTCATGATCTATATTACCTCCATATCACAAGCACAGACAGCAATACCAGCCTCATCCTGTCGCCGACGTTTCCTAATTCTCTCATCATATCACTAGGTAAGCTTGCCGTCTTCATCGTCCAGCACAACTACCACCACCACCCAAAAACAACATGTCGTACCAAACCAATCTCTTCATCAATGGCGAGGTAAGTCCTCCTCACCCTCTTCCACGTCTGACTCCAGCTCACCAACCCAGTACGTCCCCTCCTCGTCGGGAGAGACGCTGTCCATCTACAACCCCAACGATGACACCCTAGTCACCGACAAAGTCCAGGTGGCTTCCGAGGCCGACGTCGACAGGGCTGTCGCTGCCGCCAAAGCCGCGTTCCCCGGCTGGTCCTCGACTCCCGGCGCCAAGCGCGCCTCCATCATGCTCAAGTTTGCTGATCTCTTGGACGCCAACGCCGAACGCCTCGGGAAACTCGAGACGATATGCATGGGCCAGCCCATCACTCTTGCCAAAGGCTTTGTTCACGGTCCAGCCGCAATCTGGCGCTATTATGCTGGCTATGCCGGCAAGATCGCCGGTGAAAGCTATCCTCCGGAGGGCGACGGCTCTTATAAGATTGTCGCCTATGAGCCCCTTGGCGTCTGTGCAGGTATTGCTGCTTGGAACGGCACTCACGCCCTGGCAGCCTGGAAAATGGCCGCCGCTCTCGCTGCTGGAAACACGTTTGTCTTCAAGCCCTCGGAGAAATCACCCCTCGGCGCAGCACTCTATGGAGAATTGATCAAGGAAGCTGGATTTCCTCCCGGCGTGATCAACATCGTCATAGGTGCTGCGCCGGTGGGTGCAATGCTGGCATCTCACATGAGCATTGCCAAGATTGCCTTCACTGGCTCCGCCGCCGGAGGACGAGCAGTCCAAATCGCGGCCGCAAAATCCAACATGAAACATGTCTCCTTGGAGTTGGGAGGTAAATCTCCCGCCTTGATCTTCGACGATGCCGATTTGGATAATGCTCTCCTGCACAACTCAGGGGGTTTCCTGCGGAACTCCGGACAAGTTTGTTTTGCCTCGTCCAGAGTCCTCGTGCAAGAGGGCATTGCCCCAAAGTTCATCGAAGGGATTAAGAAGGCTTTTGAAAATGAGGCAAAGAAAATGGGCGATCCTTCTTTGGCCGAGACCGCATATGGGCCACTGGCTGACAAGAAACAATTCGATCGCGTCATGGGATTCCTGAACGACGGTAAGGCCGAGGGCATCGAAGTTTTGACCGGAGGAGGGCGGTTGGGCGACAAGGGCACGTTCGTGCAGCCTACTGTCCTTCTCAATCCTGATGCACGGAGCCGTGTCTTCACCGACGAGATATTTGGCCCTGTGATTGCTGTCAAGACATTTAAGACTGAGGAGGATGCCATCGCCATGGCCAACGATACCACTTATGGTCTTGGATGTAGGTCGAAGGCTTTCCCCGAAATGATGAAGAAGTGCTAACAGCTACAGCCTCTGTTTTCACAGCCGATATTGCGCGAGCATTGCGCGTGGCCTCCAAGCTTGAGGCTGGAAATGTGGGAGTGAACCAGGCATACAAGACAACTCCACAGACGCCGTTCGGCGGATACAAGCAATCAGGGCAAGGAAGGGAGAGCGGGCATGAAGGCCTCAAAGGATATTTGCAAGCAAAGACGATCGTCATTAATATGGAGGTGCAAAAGAAAGCATGAAAAAACTCGGCGAGGGTAGCAGAACACTCTCACCTTGTGCGGACTCTTCGACCACCAAACGATACTTGTCATCAGGAACCCTAGGTCGGTAGGAATCAAAAAAATTACACATTTGTTGCGGGTTTGTCAGATGAGGTAGGCACCTAGGCGACGTAGTAGCCATGGTGGAAAATATACACGTCTTTGCCCTGTAATGCATACGCTTGAGCAGATCGATGCCGGAAAAGGTCAGATATCTCGCTCAAAGCTGCGTTCAGCCTCGCCCCCGTCAAAACGGTGTTTCTGCTGGTAGGATCTGTGAGAAACTCAACATTTCTGTACCCCAATATTGCTTGATAGTGGCCGTTATACCGGCGTCCGGACTGTCAGCAGCCTTGTCGGACGTCGAACAGATATGGCGAGGGCTGTCACGTGGATCGGTAAAAGCAAGGCAACGCGAAAGACCGTGCCCATACAATGACCGCATAGTCGATTCGGAAACGCTTTCGAGCAGGCATATTCCTACCCTGTATCTACCTCTTTAGGAAGTTGTGTTGGGCGACGCAAGGCACCAAGGCAATACCGGAAAGAGCCCACTTGTTCGATGTCTAGGAGTCGACACGTCGGATACTCTCCCTTCTTTGTTTGAATCGCCCTGGCTGCCAGGTCTCGCCCGTACCGAAAAGCCGCGAGCTGGCTACTCGGTAGGGCAATCCCTTTCGAAGAATCTAGGATGACTCAGATCATCTCCGGCAAGAGGGAAGTCCGCTCCGAGGGACGGCATCTTACATTGTACAAGCTTGAGCCCACGGTGATACAGTCGAGATCCTAGCTTGATCAAATAGTGTTGACTGTGACCGATGGACAAAAGCCAAAAACCACTCTCCTTTTGGAATACGATGTAGGGTAGAGACGCTTTGACTTGCTGTTTGGGTAGGTCCCATGATCATATCAGCGGAACCTTATGCATCATGGCCTTTGGGATAACCCAAAGAAGTCTGCGTTCATCATTTGCCGCAGTTATGGCGCACCAATATCGATCGCCGCTCGGCAGAAGTCCCGCCCGAGCTCACCGCAAGGTCAATATCTGCCGTAAATCAGCGGAAGCTGCTGCCAGCACGGCGTAACCCACAAACACCTAAAAGCCGTGCCCAGGCTCTGGCAAGAAAATAATTCCTCCAGAGAGTCTCCGCGAATGCATGCCAGTACTTTGATTGATGCATGGAATAGTGAAAAGGAATTCAATTGCGCCATCACTCAAGTGTTGATATAAAAGCTGGCCATGACGCATCTTCGTGGTGGTATATGAAGACTTGGTCCCATAGAAAGATGGGAAATACTTCTCCACTCAAGGTCATCATAGTAGGGGCTGGGCTGGGGGGCCTTTCATGCAGCATCGCCTGTCGACATCAAGGACTTAATGTCTTGGTGTTGGAAAAGGCACCAGCAATCACTGCCGTGGGTGAATCCTAAAGGTCGAACCGCTTAAGATGATGTTGACTGAATTGAAAGGTTGGCGCTGGCATCCAAATTCCGCCAAACGCAGGAAAGATCTTGCGAAGCTACGGCCTCTTGCCGTTATTCGAGAAGCTTGCTGTTCAGCTAGAGTGGCATGATATGAGGAGATATCGGAATGGGCAGCTCTTGGCTTCAAGGCCTGTAGATGAACAATTCATCAAGAAAATGGGCGCACCATGGATGTGCGTTCTAACCTGCGCCAGAAAGCCAACTTGCTGGCTGCTGACTGTAGACAGGGTCATCCACCGACAAGATTACCATGCCATATTGCTCGAGGAGGCAAAGAGGCTTGGAGCGGAGGTGAAGCTAAATACCAACGTGACAGGGCTCGAATTTGACCGTACCGAAGTAACATTGTTGGATGGAGAGGTGATCAAGGGAGATGTCATCATCGGAGCTGATGGTGAATGATGCCCAGCCATGTTTCTGCTTGAGGCTCGTTTTGACGCTTCTAGGGCTCTGGTCATCCACGCGCGACGCCATTCTGGGGCACCCTTCGCCACCAGTCGAAACCGGAGATCTCGCATATCGGGCGACTTTCTCGCGTCAACAACTGTTGGAGCTGAATGATCCGCGGGTCGAAGACCTATGCTCTAAGAAAACGGTGACGCTTTGGATGGGGCCTGATAAACATTGTGTGTTTTATCCGGTGCGTGGCGGCGCCGAGTTCAACCTCGTGCTACTTCGGCCAGACAATCTTCCCACTGGTGTCAGGACCGTCAAAGGAGACCTCGACGAGATGAGGATGACGTTCGAAGGTTGGGACGAAATGTAGGCGGCGGAAGACGACTGGCAGATCCACATGCTGACCTCGGTAGCCTGGTGAAATTGATCTCGTGCATTTCCTCGGTGTTGAAATGGAAGCTTTGTCATCACCAAGAGCTGGAGAAATGGACACAGGTGAGTCCCATCAGACAGCTGGGAAGCAGTCGACTGATAGCATCCGCTGCAGGGTCACGTTGCGTTGCTAGGGGATGCATGTCATCCGACCTTGCCATACCAGGCACAAGGGGCAGCAATGGCCGTGGAGGATGGTGCTGTGCTTGGATTTCTGCTGGGCCAAGTTGCCCACAAGCCAGCCAGCACCGACACAGCTTCAGGGTCGGAGGATCACATCTCAGCAGTCCTCAAGCTGTATGAGACGCTCCGAAAGTCGCGGACCACGGTCAATGTGCTAGGCGCCGTCACCAATCGGAAATATTTCCATCTTCACGACGGTCCGGAGCAGGAGGAGAGGGACGCGGCGTTGGCGAAGCTGGACTGGTACCGCAGTCAAACCAAGTGGAAATGGATAGATAGTGGGTATCAGGAAGATCTGTTGAGCTTTGATGCGCTCAAGGACGCAAAGGAAGCATTTGGGAAGTGGTGGGCAGAGCAGGATACCGCAAGGACAGCAGGAAGGATGAAGGTTTGAGGAGCCGGAGGATCGCTGCTGGTGGTGGCGGTAGAAGCTGTCAGTCGTCGAGTGTCGTCTTGTGCAGGGGGATGTCAGAGAAGTGGCATCTTCTTCTCAGTGTCTGAGAAGTGATGGAAAGAAGTCAGCTTCGGACATTGTTGCGGCGCCCTTGAAGATGAGAACCTTGGAACTCATCAACAAATACCGAGTACAACAGTCCTCGATGGAATAAAGTGCGTCCGGAATATGATCCGGCGTGGGGCTCCGACGAACTGAAGAAGAAATAAAAGTTCACGCACTGGCAGCACAAGCCACGACAAGCTTCGATCTCCATCGCTATGCGTGTCTCCACCTCGATCAATCAGATTCTAGTGCCTCACGACATCTACCGTTCCATCTCAACGTCATCTTCCCCCTGCTTTGCGTAGTGGTGACGATCATGCTGGATCTCCCGGAAAACACACCGTCTAATACAATATGACATGGACCGCTGTCCGATCACCACGACTGCAAGGCTGTTGTGTTGTTTCTACGTATAAATCAACAGTGATTTTGGGAGCTTTCCGCAGACTAATTTCGAGATAAAATACAGCACTTCTACGAATACAAGAGATAACCTTCGATACCTAGGTATCTTCACTTCGAAACATTTAGACGACTCGTCTCTAGACCTATCTGCCCTTCCAAAATGAGTGACCCTCGGATCCCCAAGCTCTATCACCGCAGCACTCCTCACTGGATGCAAGAACAGCGCGACTCCTTCTGGTCGCTGAATGAGGGCAAAGTAGCCCCATTCAATACGCGGCCAGACAAGCTGGAAGCGCGTGCCGAAGAGTCTCTGTCCATCAATGGACGATTGTATGCTCAGAGCAATGCTGGCAACAGCTGGACTCACCTGGCCAACCGGCAGGCCTTTTTCCGGCACCGACTAATTCCGCATCAGCTCGTCGATGTCAACGAGCGAGACACTACCACGACATTGTTTGGCCACAAGGTCTCTGCCCCAATTGGATTTGCCCCCATCGGCATCAACAAGATCTACCATCCCAAGGGCGAGCTCCCCGTTGCAAAAGTCGCGGGCCAACTTCGCTTGCCCTATGCCCTCAGCACGGCCGGATCGAGCACGATCGAAGATGTTGCTGCCTCCAACGACGCCGGTCGCCAAATGCCCGACGCAGTCCACGTCGAAGGCGCAGACAACGATTCCCCCGTCCGATTTTTCCAACTCTATCTGCCCCATGACGACGAGCTGGCTGTCTCCCTGCTGAAGAGAGCAGTCGACAATGGCTATACGGCATGTATCCTCACGACCGACACCTGGCAACTGGGCTGGCGCCATGACGATGTCGCAACCTCCAATTACGCCTTCTACCGCGGCATCGGGGCGGACCTAGGACTCGCAGACCCGGTATTCCAGAAACGCATGGAAGAGGCCGGGATCGACCCGAAGAAGCAACCCGAGGAGGCTGGTGCAATGTGGATCGACAATGTCTGGCACGGACGCGCCTTCAGCTGGGAGAAGATCCCTTGGTTGATCAAGACGTGGAAGGAGTTGAGTGGCGGAAAGCCGTTTTGTATCAAAGGGTTAGTTCTGTGCCATTGGATTGATGCCCCACCATCCCATCAGAATTTTTGACCAGCGTCTCTAACTTTTGATATTCTTTGTCGAATCCCACAGCATCCAATCCGTCGCCGATGCCCAACACTGCGTGGACTTGGGTGTGGACGGTATCGTTGTTTCCAACCATGCGGGCCGCCAAGTGGACGGGGCAATTGCCAGCCTTGACGCGCTCGAGAACATCATCAACGCTGGCATCGGCGAGAAACTGACCGTCATGTTTGACTCGGGCGTGAGAGGCGCCTCGGATGTCATCAAGGCATTGTGTCTGGGCGCGAAATTCGTCTGGGTAGGTCGCATGTGGATCTATGGGCTGAGGTACGTTAATACTTCCCACCAACTGCCGAATCCTCGTCGAGTTGTTGCCAGCCTATACTCACAGTTCGAAAACAACAGCATTATGGGCGAAGAAGGGGTCCGCCACGTCATGAAATCTCTCCTCGCTGAATTCGACATCTCCATGCTCACGGCCGGAATCCGCAATGTCGGGGAGATGCAGAAGGACCGTCTCGAAAGCTACCCCAAGGGATATACATTGATTGCAGATAAAGCCAAGCTTTAGACGTAGTGACACTTGCACGGGAAAACTGTGAGGCGTGTTGGGATTGAGGATTTAGAGTAGAACCGCTTCTCGGCGGATTAATGTGATATTCTTTCGCTCTCTCCCCTTCGGATATGGTCCTCACTATACTCACTATATGGCTGCTCGCATTGCAGCGGCCTCGCGCTCTTGAGCCATCGAACCGCCGCAGGTCCGTCTTGATGGACAAAAGACGTCTTCGCATCCTGTCCAAACGAAGGCCCGGTTTCGCACCCCAAACCAGACGGTCCCAGTCGAAGCATTCCTCAAAGGCATTTTTGGGGACTCGCCCCAGTCCTTGAAGTCAGGCAAACCCTCGGCGAGTGGTTAACCTAAAGAGGAGCCGTTTGGCCTTGCTCATTAGAAGCCTTTGCTTCCCTTCATTCCAGCATTAATCGGTTCGTATTTTCCTCCATGGGATCACGTCACAAAATCCAAGACTCGCTTCCTCGTAGCCGTCCATATCCAACTCAACATCTCAAGGGATCCAGCTCTGTCCCAGATAATCCGTCGTACACTCAATCTTTCCAATCCCACACCTGTTTCAAGAAGGAGCTCATACTGACCTTCTTGGCCTTCATCTCAACCATCCACGGGTGCTCGAGCATTCGCCATGGTGTGGCTCGCCTGGGGGGCTCCTTCTCCAAACAGCATTCGACGAAGTACTTGAACATGTCGCTCCACTTGATGCCGTTCTCGGGCTCATCTTTTAACCTCGGAATCGGCTGGGCCACAATATATGTGAGCAGATCAATCAGGCCCGCACGAGGTTGCATTTCCGTCCCATCGGCGGGGAAAGGGAAGCGATGCTGGGCAACTTCCAACAGTGTCACACCCAAAGACCACACGTCGGAGGTGATGGTATAGGACTGCCCCTGTATCCTTTCGGGAGCCATGTAGTAGGATGTGCCAATGAAGGTATTGGCGTCACCTTTTGTGCCGAATTCGCCGGAAACACCAAAGTCGCAGAGCTTGACCTGCCCGTTGCGGCAGAGAAGGATGTTAGAGGGCTTGATGTCTACATTGCACCATGTCAGTAAGTCTCCAAAGAAAGTCCGAGTGCCGCGTTTCTGTGGCTTACCTCTGTGTATGATCTTCCTACTGTTGAGATATGTGAGACCATGCAACACGCCTTCCGCGATCTTGCCCAGGACCTTTTCTCCCGTTCTGCCGCCCAGTTTCTTGACCTCGCGGTATATGCTGTCCAGGCTGCCACCCTCGCAGAACTCCATTGCTATTGATATCGTGCTGGAGGATTTGTCCATGAAAGCGCCGTAGTATTGGCAGATATATTCGGACGTGCAGTTCTTGTTGAATTTGAGTTCACGAAGGATCTGCTTTTTCACGTCCGGGTCGGGGCTGGTTGTGATAATCTGTGCGAGGAGTCAATATTAGAGACAGCTGTCTCGACAGAATCTGGTGAATACAGACATACCTTGAGAGCGAAAATTGTCTTGCCGCCTTCCAGCATGCACCGTGTCACCGCACCTCCGGCACCTTCACCCAGAGAACCCAATTCGATGATTTTCTTCTGTTCACTCGCTGCACCCCAGCCTTCGTCGTCCAGGTCTTCCACATCAAGCGGTCGGCCCTTCTCGATTGCCAGTTTCTCAAAGTCCACTGACAATCCACCCATACTTGATTCTCTTTCCATCGAGGTCCCGCCGATGCTAGCCTCTGAGTAGATCGAACTTATCGCCGAGGATGGATCAGGCGTCCCAGTTTGCCTGCCATGCATGGCGAAGGAGAGGGCAGAATATGTGGACGACGAAGCAGATCCGGGAACGCTGGCGGCATGGAAACTATCCCCCCTAGGCCTGCTGATGGCTTCATTTCCTGTCACTGCGGATATATTCAGTGGTTGTATCTGTGGTCTTAAACTGGCTCCTCCTTCTTGTACTGAGCCCAGACTTCCCATAGGTGTTGCAAGAGATAATTTTGGTGGCCCCTTTGCTCCAGATGCCGCGAGGCTGAAGCGGGGGACTTCAGCAGCGGGTTCTCCTTCTCCGGCCACAGGTCGTTGGTTGGGGGAAGGGGGGATTCCCAGTGTCAAACGAGGGGTCCGGCTACCGCTTGAGCTTCGAGCACCAGGAACAGGTGGCCGAAGAAGCGGCACCGGGGAAGACATGATTTGATAAAGGGTGCGCTCAGCTTCGGTTGGAAGGATGATGATGTGTGGGAAATGGCAGAGCTTTCCAGTCCACCGGCAGGATTTCCTTGATTTTGTATAGCTCTCTCTTTCTATAAGCAGGCTCGACAGAGTTCAAGTTCGGGGGCAAGAGGGGTTATGGAAGTGGTCGTGGCGGAATCCTGCAGCGGGTGGGAGGCAAATCTCGTCGTGTTCTGTTGCCCGTTGCACGACGGTGCAGTCGAGGTTCGGACGCAGGCGCCAAGTTCAATTGTGCCTTGCACGCCGAATGCCTTTTTGATGGCGACACCAGATCGGAGGTAATATAGTGCCTCAAGCTGCCCGGCTCGGCCAAGAAAAGGCAAGGCTGGGTTGCAGGCGGCTTGTTGGATAGTAGATGTTGTGTTATTAGTGCATGAGAGCAATCACGCGCGTGGAGGATTCGAAAAAGTACAAAGTAAACGGATGTGCATTTGGTTTTGCTGACTGCCCACGCCGGCCACAACCAGACCCTTGAGGCCACGAGGACGACGGGGTCGACGTCAAGCGTGGTTTGCCGGACGAGGGCCAAGTCACCCCAAAGTCACCCCCGTTTGGAGATGGTGGATGGTTGATCTGCAACGGGCGGCTACCTGAAACGCCTGGGTACGAGATGCACAGTACCAGCTCAGCAGAGAGCTGGACTGGGGCGACTTGTTGGGTTGGAGGTTGGACAAGGTCGTCTGATGAAGAGAGAAATTATAACGCACGCTCGCAATCTAGCAGTTCACGACACAAATGACTGAGCCACGAGGTAACCTTTGGCTTGTCTTCCACATAAGACGGAGTCGAGATACCACACGCTGCACTCCGATTCTCTTTCCAGCTGTCCTTCTGTGGGCGTGTCTGGACTGGCCTGCATCTGACAGCCCGCAGCTTAAGGCAACGAATACCAGGCCTGGAAGCAGGTCCCTTACGTCGCCCTTGGTCCCCGTTATCGTTGCTGTACTCGTAGGGGCTGGTGGACATTTTCGGACCCCATTACTCCGACCTTTGTCAATGGATTGGCTACCGAAACAGTTTAAACCACCAGGGGTTCTGAAGCGCCTGGGGCAGAAGGATGCTGCGGTAGTGGCAGCCGCAGCATTCGGGCATCAGCAGGAACTTTGACGCAACCTCATTTGACCCCGCCTAGCCTATCGTGAGAGGAGCTGCTGGTGATTCACATACCGCCCCTCGGATGCTGACTTGTCTCATCCCGCCTGTCAGAGGCTGTGAACATGCGGTGACCAATCTACGAGTCACTGGCCCCGGGCAAATCAAGACTGCAGTTGGGTGGATTTCGGATCCAAGTCTTGCAAATTAAGCGAGGTTTGCACGAAAAGTTTTCTTCGTTGGGTTCATTCGAACTACGGAGACGGAGAGTGAGGCCCGTCGTCCTCGGGTCTGATACGCTCATTCTTTTCGACCGGCACGAGTTGTGTTATGTAGGTGCTCACCAATTATCCTCTTCTGCACCAGCCAAGGGCCCTAGGCAAGTGTTTGGTCGTAACCTCTTGATAAGCCACGGGCAACCCATTTCGAAGGCCGTCTCCTCCGCCGCTATTTTCCCACCTAGTGTCTATCTTTCCTTCGCCTTGGAGAATCCAGCCTCCGACAGTACGGTTCTGGTGTTGAGGTTGAAAATGGAGAACAGCGGTGGGGGAAAGGGATGAGCATTTTGGAGTCGGGAATCGATTTGCATTGGTGTTGGGTAGTTGCAGAACATTAAATAAGGATCGGTGGATGGAGCTCGTCACGTCCAAGCTCGAGATCAGGTCATCATTCGTCAAAAAAGTCTCGCGCCCCAGGCGAGAGGTAAGGTATCATAGCTTCGTCAATGTCGCTTTGCGCAAGACACCATCTATCCGACGCCGAAGAAGGAAAAAACAATGCCGTATGCTTTTTTAGTCGAACTGTCATTTCGTCGAGTCTGGAGGCGGGACATATTTGGACGCAGGATTTCAAGGAGCGTGGGGGAAAGATTTGTTGTTGTGTTCTGAGCCATGGCAGCATTGGCACATCATTCGGACGAAACCTGCTGTCTGCGGCCCTTCTCTGCCTCGAGGTTTTCGTAGAGGAGGTACAAGGCACGTTCGTTGGCACTGGCGCTTCCCATGATGGTGAACATCCTCTCGCCTGTGTCGTCGTGGGGTGCTTTAGCGATGGAAATGCGGGCTCCAGAGCTCTTGCGGATCTCACTGATCTTTGCTCCTCCTCTTCCGATGATACAGCCGACCATATCGGCGGGGATGCTGATATTCTGGGTTTGGACTTCTTCTCCGTCTTCAGTGACCATGGGGATACCTCCTCCTCGTGGTGCGTCGGCGCTGCGGTTATACGTACGCGTCTCACTAAAATCCGCGCCGTTACCAGTGCGATTGTAGGACCGACCGCCACCAAAGCTGGCGCCGCCAGACATGCCACCAGTGCCGACCGCAGGAGGGAGCGGACCAGACCCAACTTGGACCCGAACAGCTGGATTGTAAAGGACCGTCCCAGTGCCACGCTGCCAGTCATCGACCAAGCATTTGCCAATCTCCCAGACAGCCTTGTCGATACCTTCGGGGGTGCCTTGGACCTCGACTATACGCTCGGTGGATTGCGGCAACATCTCTTTCTGGGCAACCATGCGAACTCCCGACACGTCCTGGATATGCTTGATCTTCAGTCCTTGTCGGCCAATGATGGTGCCCATCTGATTGTGGGAAATGAGAAGACGGATGGCTGGAAGAGGGAAGTTAGCCAAGCTCGAAGAATAAGGAATTGTAGAGAATGCTTACGATGCGTGCCATTATTCTGGATAACGCCACCCATGCCCATCTGTGGTGCGCCTTCAAGCAGACCCTTGGCCACGAGCGCATATGCTTTTGCGATGCCTGAGAGAGGGCCAGTGACGGTCAAAACGCGATCGTGGACACCCTGGACAACTTTGCTGACACCAGCTTTGACCCCAGTCTCTTCTCGTAAATCAGCAACATTCTTTCCCGCTTTGCCGATGATGACACCAGCTTCCTTGGTTGATACAATAGCACGTAGGGTCAATTGTGATTGCGCGTATTCCTCTTCGGTCTTTGGCGTGTCGTTCTGTGGATCTCCCACATTAAGCTGGGACAGAGAGTCGGCGACACCAGGTTCGTCGACATGGTTCGCAGAGGCAACAGACTCAGCAGAGGCCATCGTGGAGTCGATCAGAAGGAGTGTCGGAGGTGAAGATGATAGCGAATTTAGTCGGTGCAACGGCCGGACGTGGGGGGACGACTGCAGATCGGCAAAGGTGCGAGCAGGGAGATCCAACTAAGCAGGTGAGAGGTGAGCCTAGACGCGGTGCACCGCGGGGATGGAAGGAGAAGGGAGGAGAAGAGAGAGGAGTACGACGAGGTACGAGGATGGAGAGGATGAGGTAGAGAAGAGGGCGAGGATGGGGTGCGAGAGGCGAGGCAGAGGGCGATTCGAGATGCAGTGGGTGGTGTTGTTGTTGAGGATGCAGCCAGTTCTGAGAAACAAACGAAACAGTGGAAAAACTAGAGGCTGCAAAGCACAACTCGTTCGGCGGCGAATGTGCAGTGGCAGTGAAGAGCAGCGAAGGAGGGGTCGTCTCTCGACTCTCATAGGCCAGCCGGCCACTGGCACGGCAACAGCAAGCTCCAGCTCGAGTCACAGCTCCTCCTCTTCCTCCTCCTGCTGCTGCTGCTCCAGCCCTCGGGTTTGGGCTGGGCCTTCCCAATTCCAACTGCCTGGATGGCATAATATTATTGCTCTCCCATCTGCAGCTGAGCTTCAAAGCACTACTGCGTGTTTTCCCTCCATCTCTACCTACCAAACGCTGTGAACTAATTCCCCTTTGCCGATCACACAAACCAAATCCATCCCCTCAGCCCAGAGAGCCAAGTCTCCTTGAGTCGCCTTCTCAGACCGAGTCAAGCCGACCTGTGCTTTGACTGACCGCCTGATTGTACAGCCTGTGCCAGCCCCCTGGACATACCGTCTAACTGTACATCATGTCAGAGGTACGAGGTATTACTCGAGCTTTTATAATAAATCTTGTCTTACCGCGTATGCGGGGAGAAACGTCTCTGACCCACCACGACGCTTGCGGCCACGATGTCAATACATATTTCCCCGTTGTACCTGGATCTGGTTGACCTTGGTACTAGGTAACATGGGGAGTCCTGGGAGGTCTAAAGGTTGAGATCCAGTCTGCATTAGCAAGAGCTATTCCCGAGAACTGCAATATCTTGTGAACCCCTGCGTGTTTGGAAACAGAAGGTAAGTAAGTACTCGGTACCTAGGTACTAGGCATGTATTCTGGGCCGCTCATTTATCTGCCTCAAAAACCACCTTTTGAACTCTCATGTTGTTGAACTCATCATACCACTTGACCGCTTCCGAAAGAGGCTTGATATTGTCGGTCATGAAGTCCAGCTGGTCCTGTTTCTTTGCAAGTACGTCCAAGGCTTCCTCGAAGAGACTTCGAACCGGACACCTGCCCATCTGAATCCTCAAGTTCTTTCCATAAGCCTGGTTGCCTGTCCATGGAATCTCTCCGTTATGGACGCCAATGCTGGAGATGTTGCCCCACGGCCTTAGAAGCTCAAAGGCCATGCCTAATGCACTGCTGTGACCTACCAGCTCGATTGCCGTATCTGCTCCCCGCCCTTCTGAGAGTTCCAGCACCCGCTTCTTCAAGCCTTCCATGTCCTTTTGGTAATTCCAGGGTTCCGCGCCGAGCTTTCTCGCCTGCTCTAAACGAGCCTCCACGCCGTCGATGGCTAGGATAGCCTTGGGTTTGTACTCGAGCGCGCAGACAAGCGAACAGAGACCGACTGGTCCACATCCAATGAGGAGCACGACGCTCTGCGATATCACTTCCTGGTCCAACCCCCGAAATGCATTGGCAGCGGCAAAATACCCTGTCGGGAAGATGTCGGCCATCAGCACAAGCTTATTCTCCTCAATTGTCGCTGGAGCCTTGAGGATCGTGCTGTCTGCGAGCGGGATTCGACAGTATTCTGCTTGTCCACCGTCGAGGGTCGCGGATCCGAAAAGTTGGCTCTTCTCGCAACGCGATGAGAACCCTCTCTTGCAGTAGAAGCATTCTCCACAGTTGGTGGTAAAGGGTGTGACAATCTTGTCTCCTTTTTTGACCGATTTGACGTCGGAACCCGTCTGAACAACCTCCCCGGTAAACTCGTGGCCCATGACGAAGCCGGTGGCCGATGGCTGATGGCCTCGAAAGACATGAAGCTCACTGCTCACCCGTCAGTACAAGCAAGAACAGCAGAGATTGGTTGCATACCTCCCACAAAGTGCAGTGTATCTGACTTTGACAATGATGTCTTTGGGATCTTGGATCTTGGGAATGGGTCTATCCTCAACAGCAATTTGCAGTTTGCCCTTGAAGACAACCGCCTTCATCGTCTCCTTTGAAGTCATGATCTGCTACGCTTTGATCTCGGCTTCTTTACTTCTCAATGGTTCCTGAGTAAGGTGGGTCTCGACTGGCAGAGCACGACGATGATCTATGGAGCGTTTCAGCTCGTTTTATATGATGGACGAAATGTTGTAAAGCGCGACACCTATGTAAGTCCTGCGGCCTCGGGCGGAGAAGCGCTTCTTGGATATTGTCATTTATTTGCAGATTACCAACAGGGTGTATATTCCCACCCCGGCGGGTCGCATGGCGGGGGATATCGTGGGCGGATCAAAGGTGGGCTGACACGCAATAGCGAACTTTCCAGCACCCGGTGGACCAGCCATCGGTGTTAAATACCTGGATCTTCTCGAGCATTAGAGGTTGTGGCGACTCAGATGAATGCAACGTCTGCTTGCCAATGTCTTGAGTATGGCTGGATAAAAGTTTGGATAGAGAAAAAGATTGGACAGCGGAAGAGAGGCTGCTCGAGCAGGCCCAGGCATCCAATAGGAGGGTCGAAAACAGCTTCCGAATGTGCATCCCATATGGCATTGTCGGACAGGGATAGATTCCTCTCTCACCGAAGACGCGAATCGAATTCCGCCGGAAAGGATTTGATATCTTCAACAGGACGACTGCTCGCCAATTTCTAGAGCGATGGACTTACAGTATCTAGAATAAACAAGGTGGGAAGTCGGCGGGATTGCCCGATCGCAAAGACTCTGTCCCACTTTCGGATGAGCCCTCGCGGCGCATCGCGGCGCAGCGCAGCGGTATCGCTCGTTCATTACTCTGGTTGACCTCCTTTATACCAAATCCAGAGGCCCGAACGCTTGCTTCCGTGTTCACATTAACAAGAAAGTTGACTCCAACGGTGCCACGAGGCACAAATATCAGAGAACTCCAGTGCCTTCCAAGGTTTCTTCCAATGCCCCCATCCAAGATGCTCCCCGTCACGGATAGCCTGACCCTGCTTTCAAGTCACCGTGCAGAGCAACTCGCTTTCCAGTATGAATTTTCCCTCCTTGTACTTTTCGGCAGCCTCGTATGCCTTGTCATATTTCCAACCCACCGTCTCATCGCACTGCTTGCACTTGATATCCCTCACAATGTGTCTACCAGTGGTCATGTTGCGTTCCATGGCTTCGGCCTGCTTGATATTGACAACGGTGGAGAACAGGAAGGCTTTTCCATGTTGGCCTCGGAAATTTCGCGAAATGATGTCGTCGAAGTCGGCGAGGTGCGTTTTGCAGTTCTGCAGTAAGGCCCATGACCGCCTCCATTAGCAAGAGGAATATGGGGATGTTCAACGGGGAAGGGTATACCTTGCAGCCAAATATTTTAGCAGAATTGAGGTAGACGTTGTACGCAAGACCCATTTTGTTCAGAACGGGCCTCGGCCTCTGGCTACAACTTCAATGCTGTTGAAGCCAGAGAGCGTTGTTCCACGTCTCCGTCACCAGACTGCAGTCTTTCTGCTGTTCGCTGAATACCCGTCAAAGATCTTCCCACACCGTCCCTTGTTTTTTGGTGTACTCGACAATCTTCTTGTAGCCCGAGACCACTTGGTCGATGGTAGCCTCGTGATCGACGGGGGAGATGGTCAAGTGGATGTCGTCGGTAGGAGGCCTGAGAGAAGAGTGGGAGCGTGGGAAACGCTAGGATCACACACCGAGAGGCTCGTGACAGGTCTGAGGAACTGAACCGTGCAACCGGAGAATGGAGAACAGCCACCGCAGTGAAAAAGGCTGTGTCAAATATCCTCGTATAGCTCAATCTAGCCAGGAGGATGATGGAAGGCAGGCAGCCACGGTGTTTGGTAGAAGACGGAAGTCGATGCTGGTGTTTAGAAATGATGCGGCTTGGACCGCGATCCCATGCCAGTGTTCAACTCGGGCCTTGGTCGTTCGTTCCAGCCCCACCGCCTAGGTACCTTACCTCATACTCAAGTAAGTGTTCAGAACGTCGAACACCCTAGTCCGCTGAAGCTTGTAAAAATAGGAATTATAGTCCTTTCTTCTAGAAGCATATCCTTTAATCAATAAAGCAGCCCACCAAGTCGCATATGACATGCTGTTCAATCCGTGTCGGCGGAGCATTCATCACTTCTGCTCTCCTTGTGGAGAATATCGGTACTCGGACTTCAGCGTTGGGAAGCCGTCGAGCCGTCAAGGGCTGTTTATCGATAGCGGCTGGACTTCGGCTAGCAGAGATGCGACGGCGTGGGAAAGCAACGCTGTAGTGGCAGTGCACTAGGTAGAAAAAAGGAATTACATTTGCAACGGTTCAGATATACCAAAAGAGCAACCAGGTCGCATCATCTGAGTCTCCCTGTGTCACTAAGAAGCAACATTACTTCTACCATTTTGTTCTTCCCGGTGACAGTGGTCATCTTCGTGAACACATTAGGCTTCAGATGTCGCAGTCGCAGTCGCAGTCGCGGCCGCGCCCTCTTTTCAATGAAGTGGTTCATTGTTACCACGACGCGGCGAAGTGACAATGTTCACTGCTGCGGGTGAGGTGAGTGAAAAATGGCAAGCAAGGAGACAAACCGCGTGCTTCAGTGCTTGCTGTGAGGGAAACGCAGCTGCCTTTAAAATTTCACTTTCTCATCGCCATCCGATTCACCACCTATTTTCATTGTGCCGAAAACAGCCTCGCTGTTTGACTCTGTTTGACTCTGTTTGCTTCTTCAATTCAAAGCTCTTCCCTTACAACACTGTAAGAGTCCAATTCTAATAAAGATCTAGCCGGCATGGCTTGGTTTTTGTCTCGCAGTTTTTGCCAAAGTCTATGCGAAGCGCTCACTTCTCAGACAATGGTGTGGTCTCTCCCTGATGGAGACTGTTGGTTTTGTCCCCTTCCAAGGACTGAACCATCGGTGCAGAGCAACATAGAATCTCAGGTCACCTCAAGTCCTTCATCGCTCCAAGCCACCTCCTCGATACCTTCGCCGACCCAGCCCCATGGGCAGGAATCACGACACCGGAACGTCAGGGTCGATCTGAGTGAGGTTTGGTTTCCACAAGCGGTCTGCTCACTTGGCCCCCCTGTCCTAAGACTTCGATCTGATAGCATGCTAGAGTCATACTGCCACTTCCGGCCCCAAGGTGCTGTCAACCTTCGAATGCCTTCCAGCTTGGATCCTGACCCTCATTTTCAAAAACGTTTCCTGCAAAGCAAATATTGTCAGCCTTGCGCTCACCTCCAAGACCATGGCGGCGCATGTTGCACCCTTCATGAAACAGGCTCAATGGACTTGTCCCGGGGACCACGAGACCTACATCACATTGATGTCGAGACTTTCGTCGTGGATGCCTGAGAACTTCCGCTTCTGCCATCACTGTCTGCAATACCGTCCAGCAATCAACTTCAAGTCTCCTGCAGCCTGGTCGTCGAACGGGCCGGATGCTCAGTCTGGTTCAACCACAGAGCAAGACATAGAGTACGATGAGAGCGGGAGAGAGCAGCGAGAACATCTCTTCAGGGGTATTTCGATTCGGATCTGTTTCGACTGCCACAGAACGATGGATTCCAGCAGTCGTGTCAGCAGTCCTTGCCCGTGCGGCGACGAACCCGAGTCGTATTATAGCTGTGACGGGTGCGAGGCTTTCCATTGGACACAGGATGAGACGAGGGTAGAGTCCGCCAGGTACGAACTTGATGAGCCGTGCTCCGCTGGATCCGGGCCCTGCCACATTTGGGAACAGGATGAGTGTTGCGAGTAATATGTCCGTCTGAGAACTCGAATCAGAATGTCCAAGTCGGCCGAAGCGGAAACCGGGTTCTCGTACACCATTGAGACAAGGTTCGTGCTCAACGGTGTCCGAGCAAATTCTTGTACGAATACCAGAAGTCGAAGCAGTCCTTGTGACCCCAGTGTGCGACCCAAAACTCGCCGAAAATGTCATCGGCGTCGACATCAACATCCATCAATCTCTCTGTGCGCTTCAATCCACAGAGTGCGCATTGCTTTGACAGGTCAGGAGGGTTCGTCTGTTTTAATGTCTTGATGGGAGGAGTGGAAGACAGTCTCATCCGGAATGGAGAAACTTGGGCTTGAGTGAGGATGCTGTTAAATTCATGGAGGTAGCTTGACCAATCTCGAACCATTTCTTCAGTGTCTCGCTCTTCTTTGGTGGTCTCACTCTTGTTCACTGCTGCTAGTTTCATTCCACCACTCTTGCCTGATTGACCGATCCTCACACTCTGGGCTAGAACGGTATCCCTCTTCCACCGCAGAGTCCTGCCTGCTACTATGCGGCTAGCGACTCGATAGACGAGCAGCACTTGCGACGCTAGCTCCGGTTTTGACAACACACTGTCAACATTACTTTGATGGACGAACTCAAAGACAGATGAGAGCAATTGCAAAAGCGAGGACGGGGGTGGGACATTGTTCGGCCTCTCAAATGCCAACGTCTCAACACCGGATGGAGAAGCGACCTCCGCAGCTGTGCCTTTGATTGACGCAGGTGGCTCTGGGTGAGCAGCGTGCTGCATTGAGGCAAGCACACTATCTTCGACAGGCTCCCATTCATCATCAGACCGCTGAGCGGTCTCTTCCGCGACCGAAGGAGGCAGCGGTTGAGTTTCAGTCTTTTCAAAGTCGCCCCATTCATCATCCCACGAAGGCTGTCCGCTAGTATCCGTGCTTTTCGGGCGACTTTGGGTATGCTGGACATCTAAAGTCCGGGGAGTTTTGATTTCTGGATGCGATGGTTTGTGAAGCACATCAATGGCATCCGCAGATCCAGCATCTAAAAGTGCCAGGCTAGCCGTCTCGGTAGATATAAGTGGCTCGTCCCCGAAAGAGTTATCCTGTCTAGTATTGCTCACGTTATTCGCGTAGTCGCCTGCCGTCTCAAAGTCGCCAAATTCATCTCCGGAATCAGCTTGTTCGGCATCAAAGAGGACATCGCTCCCAGCCGTACCTCGTCTCCAGAGGGGCGAAGGCACCTTTTGTTGCTGGTTTGCTTGAGCGGCTCTTGTAACCACAGTTGGGCTCTGAATGTTGGTGGTTGTCACGCGATGGGCAGGAGTCGTCGCACATGCCTTGACATTGCTCGTCTCTTCTGGCTTTGGTGGCGTCTCCTCCGCGATAAATGCCGCATACAAATCGGCAGACATTGTGCCACCAATACAGGCTGTAGCCAGCGCAGAGTGACTGGTAGCGACGACGTTTGAAGAGGGTTGGGGTGTAGAAATCATGCTGGCGAATCAGCCAGTTTCGAGATGCCAAGCATCCAAAACATCACACCTGTCACTTACAAGGCCCAACTCTGAACTCATGACTTCCATGTGCGACGGACTTGGTTACCGGCCGGTCTCGAATCTACCCTCTACCCTTCAGTTCACTTCTTCGCTGGATATGACCGGCGGTCATGCGAAACTTTGCAGATATACGGTAAGTTCGATGTCTGGGGCATGTCGCGGTTACTCAACTGAATCTAGGCGTCGGTGGGCTTCGCTGTTCAGTACCTCGATCGGAGTCGACTTGAGACAGGCTGTAAGAGACGGTGAAGGCTTCGATCCATGTGAAGATGGATTGCGATCCGTCTCTTGGAAGGTACGAGACGAGCACGGCTCCTCAAAGATATCATATGCCAACGTCAATCTGCAGGCTTTCCTTCTTTACGGACCCTTAAGCCAGGGTTCGTGGTCCAAGAAGTTGGCGGAGTCTCGGTCCGCATACGTCTCTCTACGAGATCACTTCTTGCGCTTCATAGAACACCCCAATGATCTTCACTCGTCTGCAGATCCATTGGCGGACGATGAAAATGTACGTGGCTGTATCTCTTGGAAAAACTTCATGAGTCTGACGTCTGACGAAGCGAAGTCTCCCTGGGCAAGTCTGCGGCAGGACGAGATCAGTAGGGAGGAGATATTCCAGGATGTAACACGATGCATGCAGGACAATTACTTCTTCCGTGAACCCACCACTCAGAAGAGGCTGCTCGACATCCTCTTCATTTACGCAAAGCTGAATCCGGATATTGGCTACCGACAAGGCATGCATGAGCTGTTGGCGCCTATCGTCTGGGTTGTCCAGCAAGATGCCGTGGATCCAACCACTATCCCAGATAGTGACAAAGACGCCGAAGATATGGACTTCCTGACGGAGGTGTTAGACGGCAAATTTGTGGAGCACGACTCATTCAACTTGTTCTGCGCCTTAATGCAGACCGCGAAAGCATTCTACGAAGTTGGTGAGAACCGCGACTCGTCACCCATCATTGCAAGAAGTAAAAGAATCCACGATGATATTCTGAGTACCATTGATCCAGAACTGGCCCTCCACTTACATGTGCTCGGCATTCTTCCCCAGATCTATTCCATGTGAGTCGTCTTCCTTCCATCGCGTGGAATACAATCCCTGACAGGGTGCAGCCGCTGGATTCGGCTGCTCTTCGGGCGAGAGTTCGAGTTCAAGGATGTCCTCAGGGTTTGGGATGTTCTTTTTGCCGAGAACTTGAGATCTGATATCGTCGATTTGACCTGCGTTGCAATGCTGTTGAGATCTCGTTGGTCACTGATTGAAGCGGACTACACCGCCGCCATCACCGCACTGACTCATTATACTCTGCCCAATTCCGCTGAGGACCCCCGGTCCCTGGTCAGAGATGCTGTCTTCTTGGAGAAGAACCGAGACAGCGAAGCGGGCGGAATAGTCATCGCGCGATATTCTGGCAGGTGGCCGAAGCGAACAGAAGCCCAGAGCAGTAGAAGTTCGTCGGCCATCAGAGCAACCGGGCCCGCTCAACACCGGCAGTCACCAAGCGCATCTCCAGGACGGTTCGCTTCGCCGCAGAGACAGCTCGAGGGGCTATTCCGAGAAGTCACAGGCAATCTACAAAGACGGACCGAAGGGTGGGATGTATCGAAAGCCGTTAGAAGCGCGGTGGGGGAGGTACGACGTAATATGAACCACTACCAATCATCACACCAGCGGCACTCCAGCCTTGATACACCTCCGTTAGTCGGTCCGGAGCAGAAACGGCCAGAAGGAGAAGTTGGAGATCTTACACAGATTGTGAAACAGAAAATGGAATCGCTCCAGGAGAGGAATGTGGTGCTGAGCAAAATGCTCGATGATGCTTTGGACTCGTTGAGGGCGATCAAGTTGTCTGCTCCTTCTGGAGTTGGAGAGGCAGAACAGGACCTGAATATTTGCCTCGCCAAGATCCAATTTGTCTCTGTCTATCTGTCCAATCCAGACATTCCCATTCCGAAGGAACAAAAGGTCCACGACTCAAAGAGCCCCACGAAAACAATCGACTCATCTGCGCACAAGCCAGACGAGGCTGTTAGGGGCGAGCAGGACAATGAAGATGGCATGAAGCCGGGGTCACGAACCCCAGAGCCATCCCAAGACGCCAGGAGCGGAAAGGGTGGTGGAGTCACAAACAAGGCCTTGCCACGGCCATCGCTGATGGATTCATCATTTTCGTTTATGCTCGGGGAAAATCGACACCGATCCAGTTTTGTCAGTTCTGTTGCCGACTTACCAGAACAGAGAAGGGAGAGCGAGTCCAAAACCAGACTTAACAAAAGGGCAGCTGAGACCAAAACGCAGCAGGAGCGTGGGGATTCAGGGAGCGAGGATGAAGGCTTTACCTTGACTAAGATCCAAGGACAGGCTGAGTGGAAGAGCGAACGCTAATGCAGGACACGATCGAATATTGTGTAACATGAGTATACGAGCGATGCGTTAGACGACAACAAGGCGCTGTAGGTAGAGCCGTCCATCGGCCACGCGCTGGGTGTTTGTCCTTTGGTACCTGGATAGTGTCCAGCGTTCTTGGAGCACCTACTGACTCCAACCTTGTAGCGAATGGACCAACAAGCAGTGATTGTGATCCTTGGGGTGGTCTCGAATACTTACCACATCTTTGTGCAGTGGTGGTTGCAAATAGAACATTACCTAGCACCCCTTAGGTAGGTGTCATTGCATGGCGATTAAAAAGTATGCTGTATCTTAACATGGCCGGCCAAGTGATTCGGGGTCCTAGATTTACGCAAGTCCTCTATTAGGTACCTAGGTAGGTTGTGACCAGGCAGTGGCCGTTTTGATTGCGGTTGAAAGTGTGACTCCCGTAGGCCAGAAGTCTTCATTTTCGCGTGCCGTTGGGATGCTAGTGAGATGGCGAGCTAGGGCGTGAGGCTGCCCAGATCTCTCGGCAAACACGCCTACGACCAGCCCACCAGCCCGACTTCCTTTCAAGCGGGCCCCAGTCAAGGGTTGGTAGAGGCACGTTATTCAAAGCGAAACTGCTTAGGCCACTAGCTGGACCAATCGCCACTGACGGCACATCTGCGCCTACAGTGCTGCGCAGCTTCAACAACGACTCACCTTTCCACCGTCTCCTCCCAACTCGCGAACCTGCATAATAGCCGATGACCTCTTGATCGACGATTCGTATTTCCCGTCCTGGGATCGCCACGACTCATCAACCTCACCTTCGAACCCCGAGTTCCAGTCTTGACCCCGTTGCTGTCCGTCTTTGCCGTTCCGGCTCTGCTCCCTCAAAAAAAGTGCTCGACTCAAACTTCGGAGACAGTCAATTGTTTTCCTACCCTCATTTCCCCCACTCGATCTTATACTCATCACTGTCCACTTTCGCTGAGAGATGTGTACCTCCAAGCTGGCACTGTGATACAGGCATTGGATCGGCCGGCCAGGCGGCCAGACGACGAATCAGAGTGCTAATAATCAGCATGACACGAAATGGACTGGATATTCACGGTATGCATTGAGCCCGTGGCTCTGCTGGGAAAGTCCTGGCAATACTCGCAAATTGTTTGAGCGACCAGCATGGCTTAGACATGTATTGACATTTCTGCGAAGGAGACACCACCCCGCCACTTTCCCCCCTCCTCGCCGTACCCGGGGGAGATCAGTCACTGCGAATCCCCAAGAACAAGAGCACTGGAAATCTCTACCCCGTTAGGTACGATGCACCGGCATTGTCTCAGAGAACGCGGTTCTCCTTTGACGCGGGGACCGCTCAAGAGATGAACAACCTGAAAAGGTGGGTGTATACACTGTCCGTGCAAGATTGGGGGATTGACAAACGCCTAGGGCTGCTCGTGTCGACCATGATGGCTTGGGTAGGTCTGGGCTTCGACGAATCAGACGACAAGGGCCGTCACTACGGACGCCGACGCTGATCTTGGAATCTGGGGAGTTCGTTGCTCCTGTGCTTCATCACTCCAAGACTGCGCCAATATCGGGCTCATCCAGCAGGTCCGTCTCAATCGGTCATATGATGAGCGGACCATCCTCTCCTGTGATAGAAGATCTCCATCGGTTTCCGTCCGAATCCCTCCACTCGTTCTCTTTTGCCAAACAATCCGAAGAGATCCTGCACAGCAGACAGAACATCCTCCAGAAGTCGATCGACTTTGTGAGAGACCGTTCCGCATGGGCCGCGAACCCAGCACTGGCTGACGCGCAAGCGCGAGTTAGTGGAGATCCGGAGCTTCAAGGCATGATGGACCTGCTCAAGAAGGCCAACATCATCCCCCCCATCGACACAAGCGCCACGAGATCTAAGGCGGTTGGGCTGGGGCCACTCACCGGTCCAGCTCATGTCGACGGACGCAATGTCTTCGAAAAGAGCTTCAGCCAGGAGCTAGAGAATGCCGAACAAGCGATTGCGAGCCCTGATCTGGAGGAAGCAATGGAAGGACGAAAATATTCAATAGACGAAGATATGTCGCCGAACGAACCTGGTCTTGAAATGCAGATACCGCCAACCAGATCAGGCTCAATAGACGCGCCACGCCGGACCGGGCTCAAGAGAACCTACACTGATGTGCACTCTGCATCTCTCCAGCAGAAGCTTATAGAAGCTCTCGCACAGCCATACTCCGTCGATGACAACAATACTGTGCAGAGCGCCGTGTATACATCTTCAATAGCAGGTGTTCCTGCCACGCCTACCACCGGAAATGCCTCGTCCGTTCATACCCACAGCAGCAAGTGGTCGCCTGCGCACCAGGCTGTTTTCCGCACAACAGCTGACGCTCCTTGGACGATCCTAGCAGCCAATGATCTGGCTTGCCTGATTTTTGGAGTGACACGAGCAGAACTCCGGTCTTTGAGTATCCTTGGTATTATACAGGAAGAAAGAAGGCAATGGTTGGAGACGAGACTGTCGCGACCTGAAGAAGTTCAGGAACCGAAGTCCCCGCCCCCTCCAAAGAGTGAAGCGAGGAGTACTAGCCTCTCATTGGTAGGGTCAAGAAGCGGTATTACAGCTCGGCTACTTAGTAAAGCTCCCTCTCGAGCTAACAAAACTTCAGAAAGAGCAAGGACGGACGATGGCTCTGGCGGCCACTATAGCCCCAAGCCTAAAAACCACCCGTCAAACAAATCTAGGGGCGTCCTGCTTTGCGGAGACATCGTGCCCATTCAGAGACGAGATGGCAGCAAGGGCGCCGCCAGTTTTTGGGTTATGGAAAAGCGTGGTGGTCTCATCTGGGTGATCGAGGAGATCACCGAAGATGTCGCATACCTCGATATTGACCATTCGGGCGAGGTGAAAAGCGCTCATGGTGAACTCCTCGCCATCTGGGGCCGATCTGACCTCGACGGCATACACCTCAAGTCTCTCCTTCCAAAATTCCCCTTGGATGCACTGGACTCCCACGACAAACATTATATAGGATATTTCACAGCGGAAACCGCTGAACATGTCCAGGTTCCCACCACCGTAGAGGTGTCGCCTACGGGAGACCAGCTCCGGGTCTCCAGTTTGCCACACATAGCCGGGGTCATGGTCTTGGATCCAGATTCTCTCAAAATCACGAGCTCGAACAGCATATTCTCCGCGGCGCTGTTTGGTCATCCGAAGCTCGATGGTTTACACATCGCCAACCTGATTCCCAGCTTCGAGGATGTTTTGAGCATTTTAAAGCAGGATGATGGTGTCGATCTCGTCGATGGGATTGTCGTACCAGAACACAGTTTTCGTCGGGCGCGAACCATTCTCTCCCTCCGAGAAGGGAAAGGAAATCCTGCTCACATATTCTTGCGGCCGTGTGGTGTTCCCGCTAGACACCGAGATGGATCGGACATCATGGTCGATATTCAGATGAGAGTCATCCGCAGTGAGACCGTCTTCCCCATGTCAGACGAGGCAGTGATCGAGGAAAAGGATGAGTCCCGTGCGGAATCAAGTGTTGCGGTGGCAGAGCTCGTCTACGCACTCTGGATCATATATTCCCGCAATATTCATGGTGTGGCAGTCGGCCCAAGCGATCACGACCATTTGACGCATGAGCGCCCCCTGTCGCCACCATCGCAACCGGAACCACCGCTAACTCTTCCCTCCCCACCCCCAGTGCCTTCAGACAGATCTGGAGACAGCTCTCAGCTGTCGCTTGTGGCTGACCAATCCGATGAGACAGAATCCATCACCATGGATGAGCCGCTTGAACATCCACCTCCCCACATGACATATATTTCTCACAAGAAAAAGACTATTGATGACTTTATAATCTTAGAAGAGATGGGCTCCGGAGCATACGGCCAGGTCAAGCTTGTCAGGTATAAAAAGGGCCAGTCGAGGAAGATGGTTTTGAAGTATGTGACCAAGAAGCGCATCCTGGTCGACACCTGGACCAGAGATCGCAGGTTGGGTACCGTTCCGTTGGAGATCCACGTCCTAGATTACCTTCGTCGAGATGGGCTCCGACACCCCAATATCGTGGAGATGATTGACTTCTTTGAGGATGACATCAATTATTACATCGAAATGCTTCCTCATGGTATTCCCGGGATGGACCTGTTCGACTACATCGAGCTGAGGACGAATATGACCGAGGCCGAGAGTCGGAACATCTTTCGCCAGGTCGTGGATGCCATTCACCATCTTCATACCAAGGCTCTTGTGGTGCATCGAGACATCAAGGACGAGAATGTTGTTTTGGATGGCGAAGGGCGAATCAAATTGATTGACTTTGGTAGCGCGGCGTACATCAAAAATGGGCCATTTGACGTGTTTGTGGGAACTATAGGTGAGTGCAACCAGGATCCTTGTGATGTTTGCCCTTCTAACATGTGCAGACTATGCCGCTCCAGAAGTTCTTCATGGAAAGCCCTATGGCGGCAAGGAACAAGACGTATGGGCATTGGGCATATTGTTATATACAATTGCGTATAAAGAAAGTGAGTCAAGCCTCTTCCTCATCGAGACGTGCATGACTAATATGGCGCAAGATCCCTTTTATAATTTAGGTGAGCCGCGGCACCGTAGAACCAAATTGCTTGCAGACTGACTTGTGGCAGACGAAATCCTCGATCACCCGCTGCGGGTACCGTTCTTGCCATATTCTGAGGAGTGTCTAGAGCTCATTCGCAAGATGCTGGACCGAGACGTGGACAGGCGTATCACCATTGAAGAAGTGCTTGATGACCCTTGGCTTGAAGAAGATGATGACTGAAATGATTGGGCGATCTTTGGAAACTTTTATGTGCTATATGTGCCAAATGAACAGATTTACGGCCAAAAGACAAAAGGAATGGTTGCACCGAGGCTTTGCCGGCAGAGAACAACCGTCTCGACGAATGGACCAGCTAGTTTTGGAAGCTTGGAGTATGGATGGAGCAGATGCGAGAATATGAATGGGCTTGCCGAGCACGAGCAACAGCCGCATACGGCCCAAGGGGGTCAATTCTCGGAGCGAGGAGGCCGCGCCTCTACGCGGAGAGGTGAAAGTCCGGTCGAGAACAAGCTGCCCAGGGTCAATGAAGCATGGATGTCATGGCGCGCACATTGCGTACGGAGGTCCAAGGCGCGTGCCTCGCTTGGACGCAGCAACGATTGACTTTCAACCCCGAACTGTGGAGAGGACTCCGCAGCCGAGTTCAACCTTTCTGTCTAGAGGGTGGTTGTCCCTCGGTAGAGACTTAGTACCTCTTGGACTAGAGATTCAGAAGCGACGTGGAGCCCTTGAATCCATATTCTTCAAAATTCCGTGTTTAGTTCCGCTGTGTGTTCCTTGGAGTGAGTTTTCTGCAGGGCCAGCAACACTCAGTCCATGAAAATTCCCCACGCGTCCAATCACTTGGACTCTAGAGTCTGCAGTGTCCGCGTGGGTCTGTAAGGACTGGGAAGAAGTTTAGTGGTTCCTGCCTTCCAGGGAGGGCAAACGCCCGTGTAGCATCCGAAGCACATTCAGCCGAATTTTGAGAGCTGGGGAACGGGAGTGCGACTGCGGGGATATGGCGTTGAGAAGGTGATCCATAGAGAGGAGAGGGCTGTTGGATGTGCCTTCGCTCAAATCTGGAGCTTCTCCAGTTCCCCATTGCCGTTGGTGTCAAGACTATGCTGCTCCTAAAGGGCATTAAATCCCCAGCCCGCATGGGGAGTGGCTGGTCTTGGAGTACCTGCCTCGCTGCCACCTAATTACCCCAGAACATTTTGGCTTTACTCCGAGAAACACGCCAGCGGTGAATGGGTGTCTGGGGAAATGCCGTGCGGTCGGGCACTCAGCCGCTTTCTCTTCACGACAAAGTCGGCAGAAAGAGAGGTTGTCCTTCCTCGGGTCGGAAAAGGGGCCCGGATCAGCACATTCAACACCGAGTTGTCTGGTGTCGTCACAGAGATTGTGAGAGTGAGACAATCAAGGCACAGGCAGGTCAATCCTGGACAGTTTCGTCTCCCACTGAGTGGTTGACGACATCGCATGTGACGACTGATAAACCGAGATACTGATTGGCCCTACTCTATGGAGGCAAAGGTGAAGATCGTAACCGTTCAGGATCAAGGACCACCCAAGTCGTGGTTGTGGTTACCCCTGCAGTCCGCGGTGAGCAGGGGGTGGCGGTCCCTGCTCCTTGAAGACCAGCCATGCGTCCGCAACTGGTACAAATGGCCTTCGAGAAGGGGTCGCCCTCGGTGGAATGTGTGCCTCCAACGCCAGCTAACCCAAGAAGATTCGGAATCTCCTACCTAGATATCGCAAAAGGGCCTGGACCGTGCTTCGCAGGGAAGACCGTCTGCATGTCTCCAACTAGAGACGGGAACCACGCGCAGGATGGGCCGAGTCGAGTCGAGGTCCGCCGCATTTGGGCGAGTAGAATGGGATGGCGAGATGGTGGCCACGAGGCAAGGGCGCACCAAAAGTGAGATGGGTTCCTCTTCGGTTAAGCGGCCAGGATCCGCAGTGACTTTCCTAGTCTCTCTGGGCTGAAAACACAGCCTCTGGCTCCACTAACGCACCGTACCAGCGAAGTTGTCGGCAGATCTCTGTGGGGGAGTGGAAAACTGGCATCCAAGGGGCACTCTTGTTTGCTCACAGGTCCGTCGGCGGCTGCATGGGTCACTAGATGATAATGCAACGGCATCTGATGGCGAGGACAACCCCCTGGATGGCAAAAGACCAAGGGAGGAATGGGTTGACTTGCCAGAAACAACGCGATGACACCTTGAGAGCCAGAAAAAGGGAAAAGCAATGCACGCACTCTCTGCTGATCATTTGTCTGGGATTTCACATGGAATCTCACCACCTGGTGATGCCCATAGTGCGGCGTTCTGTACCACGTTATCTTGACCAGAGTCCTGCAGGGTCGTCAGATGGACAAGTGCTAGAGGGTCAATGCAAGTCCGATGATGGACCAGTCAGTCACAGTGGGCGGGTACGAGTGACCTGTTTCGGGGGATGGTGGGCTCGTCGGAGGATCGATGTCCTCGGTGTAGTGTCTTGTTGAGTGTGTACCGAGTACTGGAGGGGAGTACCTGGACTTTTCCATTGGGGAGGGGTCGCTAGCTAATTTAGCAGAGCTCTTGGCACTGATACAGGCCTGGCCAGCCTATCGATAACGCCGATAAGCCAAATCTGACCGTTATTTCCAACTCCCCACCATTCACTGCAAGACACCAAGCGACTTCGGGAGGCAAGTCAGGTCACAGGTGGCAGCGGTGGCAGCTGTGGCAGCTTGAACCCTTGCCCACCAGACGCTGTCGAGTCGGCCTTTTCCTCTATCCCCTGGCCTAAAGTACATCAGGCACGTAAAAGTACTGAGTCCGGATAAACAGAACGGAATACCATTAGCTGGCCTCGCCTGTCCCGTCTACATACCTAGGTACTGCCGCAGTGGCTCGCCGTTCGTTGGGTGACTATCCTACCTAGGTAGGTACCATGGTACCCGCTTTGCCCTTGCCTGTGTCCGTGCCCGCGCCCGTTTGCCTTCAGCTTTTAATAATGACCCTCATTTAGCCCCGCTCACCCTTTCCCCTCCCCCTAGGTAGTCTGGGTCGTGTTAGCAGGCAGTTCACTAAACCCACCGTGCTTCTTGACTCCCCCCGCCCGTGTCGCCCGATGCTGTTCCCTACACCGGACAAGATGACACCCACTTCGCTACCACTAGGTAGGGAGGTATCTTCCTAGGTACTAGGTATGCAACTATCAGCTGCACTCGTATGTCCGCGCCCACCAGCATCGATTGCGTGTCCCTTGTCTCGGCTCGGCCTCTCAAAATCCTGAATTGATCCCCTTGCCTTACTGCCCCAAATCTCCATCTTGTTGACGCTCTCTTTGACCTGGTTACCCCCCAGTCGCCTGACCTCACTGTCGTCGCTCGGTCTTGCAAATGGACTGACTGCTTCTCTCCTCCTCTCGTCCTCTGTCTCTACGAGAATAGTTGCTGGCCAACTCGACTCTGGTGCTCAACCAAAATCCCTTTTCAACGGGGCATGAGGGGTTGCCTCTCCCTCGTTCGGCGTGTTTGATTTGATCGACATTCCATCCTACAGTATCGGCCGAAGCTGCATTTGAACTGGATCCCGCACATCAGTTCCTGCTTTTGACCTTGGGTTGTCCCGAACCTCCACTTACATCATGGAGCAGCAGCAGTCATTTCCTGCAGCCATATCCAGCACCATCACCTCCTCCTCGTCTCAACCTCAACAACTCGATTCTCCAAGGCCAATGACTCCGGCGAGCCCACTCATGGATGCCCAGACGGCCTTCGACCAACCCGTCAAGCTGAAAGGTCGACACAGATTGCTTCAAGGCCTACAGCGCATGTCTTCTTCTCCGTCCCTCGCCAAATTGGGTCGAAACCGTTCGAGTGACAAGGTCTACAAGTCCGGCCAGAAAGCCTCCATCTCGTGCGTTTCTCTAAACTCTCCGCCGTCGACATACTCGTTATCGCCCCACGCTTCCTACGCCTTATCCAATGGCTTCTCTACTGCGCCAACGACGCCCGGCTCACCTGGCAGCCAGCAGTCCTACTTTGAAACAAACGCCCGACTCCGAATCTTAGACCCCAATGAGATCACCACCGTCCCCGTGCCAGTCGATATCCGTCCCTCGAAATCTCTCTCCGCTCCCCTGCCTGAGATCTCAGAGAAGCCTCTTCCTCGTCGACCCAACTTCAACTTTTGGAAAGACTTGCCATATGAAATGAGAGTTTACATCCTGGGGTTCCTATCCCCCAAGGAGATCATCAGGGTCTCTGCAGTGTCCAAAGAGTGGCACGATATGTGCTTTGATGGCCAGCTATGGACGAGCCTCGATTGTCAGACATACTACCAACAAATCACCTCGGAAGCTCTGATCAAGATCATGCTCAAGGCTGGCGCTTTTGTCAAGAACCTCAATCTGCGCGGATGTGTACAACTGCGGGATCAGTGGCTGAGTCTAGGGACGAGAATGACAAACCAAGAGTGCCGGAACCTGGAGAACTTCAGTATCGAAGGCTGCAAAATTGAGCGATCGTCCATTCATTTCTTCCTCCTCCGAAATCCGAGACTTCTCCATATTAACATGCCCAGCATGCAGAACATCAACAATGCAACCATGAAAATTATTGCTAGCCATTGTCCTCAGCTCGAGCTGCTGAATATCGACTGGTGCTCCCAGATTGACACCAAAGGTCTCAAAAAGGTCATTCAATCGTGCCCAAACCTCACCGATTTGCGGGCTAGCGAGGTTCGAGGGCTGGATGACAACGAGTTCATGCTCGAGTTATTCCAGCGTAATACTCTGGAGAGGCTAATCCTCCAGCATTGCGACAGCTTGACAGACGAGGCTCTGAAAATTATGATCCACGGCACGGATCCCGAAAGGGACGTTCTGACTGACCGACCGGTAGTCCCTCCTCGGCGATTACGACATTTGGATATCTCACGGTGTCGAAGTTTAACCGACCGAGGTCTTAAAGCCCTTGCATATAACGTGCCATATTTGGAAGGTCTCCGGACGTGCCAGAACACGGCCCTGACTGACGATGCCTTCGAAGATCTCCTGCAATCAACACACCGTTTGACGCACTTGGAGGTGGAAGAGGATGAGCTTCTTACGAATGCAACTCTGATCAATCTTTCAAAGTCAAAGGCGGCAAAGACGTTGGAGCACCTGAGCATTTCCTACTGTGAGCAGATTGGAGATATTGGCGTGTTGCCTCTTCTCAAGGCCTGCCCTCACGTCAAGTCTCTGTGCTTGGACAACACCAGAATCTCGGACTTGGTGCTTATGGAGGCCTCGGAGCAAGTCCGAAAACGGGGCAGCACGACCAAGAAGTCACAGCGGCCCGAAAAAGGCCTAGAGTTGGTTGCATTTGACTGTGCCAATGTCACCTGGGCTGGCGTCCGCGAGATTCTGCAGGGAAATGGCCGCGTCATGCAAGGTCGGAAGAAGTCTGTGGTGCAGACATTCAACGGCGAGGATGAGTTCGGTGAGAAACAGGAGATTCGGAAGGTGGTTGAGATCCAAACTCTCCTTTATCCTACGGAAATCATCCATCTGAAGGCCTTCTACGGTTGGCAGCAAACGGTGGAGGAGCATTACAAACGTTGCGTCACCGGCCGCTGGGGCGCTGCTGCCCGCTTAGAACAAAAATGGGCTGAATGGATGGTCGCCAGCGAAGAGGTTGGTGTCGTCGGTCACGGCTGGAGTTCGAGGCGCCGAAGACGGCGGGCTCGCGAGGCCGAGTTCCGTGTCAGGGATGATGAAGACGGTGCGGCTCAAGAGATCGGGACGGGCGATGAAGGCAGTGGCCAGGAGTTTGCACCTGGACGGGCCCCAAGAGGAGGGCGGCGACGTGCCAGGAGTGGCGGGTGTGTGGTGATGTGAGCCCCTCCCTCCTCGCAAGATGTTGATTTGTCCTTTGATCTTGGTGTATATGGCACTGGCAATCCGCCGGTTGGACTCGCGAAGGCAAGAAAGGTGGGATGGCTCCTAGCACCAATATGGTTCATCTGTGCTGATATACTATTGTTTGGAGTTGGGGCTTTTGGATGTTCAGTCACGGTGAGGTTCTGGTACATGTTGATCTCTGCTTTGTGTTCCAGCGTTTATCGTTGTTGAGGTGTTCCAATAGTCTGCCGATGATGCGACTGTTGTGCCATCTTTGAGAACGGTCGGGGCAAGAAAGGGTGCCATACTGGTCTTGTCGATCGCCGCTAGCTTTGTTATATATGGGTCAATCGATCTTCCATACTTACCAGGAGTGTGACCATTCCACTGTTTTGTTTGGGATCAGCCTTGTCCAGTTGGAAAATGGACGCGTGGAAGGATTGGGACGGTCATGTCTTCATTCAACAAGCTATCGATCGTGCCTATCTCGACACCAGGCCCTCACCCACTCCCACAAATGGGAGGGATGTCCTTTCAGAAAGCCCTTTCGGCGCAATCTGTCGGGATGAAAGGGCGATAACCGCTGTACCCAAGCCACCAAAGCCAACCCAGGGGAGTGCGACAAATCCAACCACCATCCTGCCACAGATCATTGTTGTTGCTGGTGTTGTGGCTGTTGCTGTTGCTGGTGTTGTTGTTGCTGTTCTCGCTGCTCCTGCTCCTCCTTCTTCGCCCGCCAATACTCCTCGCGGACTGCAGCCACCGACTTTGGCAGCTCCCCTGGGCGGCGGAAGACAAAGCGCTCCCACGAGCCGCGACCGTCCTGCAAAGCGCCCCTGGGTCCGGTGACGTCGTGCCCAAAATCGCGCGCAAAAAAATCCAACAACTTCTTCTCCAGGTCTTTTGGGCCTGAGAAATAACCCAACTCTACCCACTGCTCCCCGCCGTCCTCCCCCTGCTGGTTGGGGTTGTGCCACTCCCAAAGCCACGCCTCCGGCGCTTGCCGCATCGCCCTCCCCTCCGCATCACGCTTCACGCGCACCCGATTCGCCACCAAGGGCCACGTCCCGCTGATAAGGACGGGCTGCGTCCCAGGCTTGGAGACGAGGCTCGAGTTGTAGTCGAGCTCGTCTCCCTCCCGGACAAAGAACGCCTCGGGACGGGTTGCCAGGTTGTAGAACTTCAACTTGGTGGCTCTCGCAGGTCTATCGATAACCAAATCGTTAGTGATGATCCGAACCAGGTGTGCAAAGTGAGTGAGCCGTTGATTTGGAAAGGCAGGGCAATGTCTGTGCAATTCTCAAGGCGACAACGACGGGGCTTGTCCGCGGCGTTCGAATTGAGCGACATGGTTGAGCACGGCGTTGCACAGACTCGCGTCCAGGTTCGAAGGGAGCAGGCATGAAGCACCGACCATCAACATCGTTTCATACATATCATTGTTGTCATCTTGTTCACCGCTGTCCAAGCCGAGCAATCTTTCAAAGACCTTGTATGTTGTGGGTGGGAAATTGTACAAAAGGTCGAGTTGGAACGAAGGTGATGTGAGGCATCATGGAGGGCATGAACGTCGTCGAGGGAGGCGCAAAGGATCTTCTGCTGGCCTGGATAGCCATGGACAGGAATGAAGCTGCTGTCGCTTCTTTGATGGAAGACCAAGTCAACACAGTGGGGAAGGGGGATGAAGTGAACAAATCAAGAGTGGACACTTACAAGGCAGGCATTTTTGTTTGGGTTTTGAAATTGGTAAAGCGTCAAATCTTGTTTCGTGATTCTGTTAAAGCGGCGGCTGACTGTCGCTGGACGCGATTGTGTGCGGGTGGACTGTGGGTGAGACGAGGGTCGGCAAAGTTACTGAAGAGAGAAGAAATTTAAAGCGGCGAGGAATCCGAAAAAATTAAAATAGAGTGTCGTTCACAAAATTATGCCAAGGCTAGAGTATCTCGTCGACATTAACGCCAAGTACCTCGTACTAGTAGAGTCTGCCAGACCTCTCAGGTTGTACCTAGGTAGGTAGGTAGGTAGGGAACTCGCCTGTCATTGTGTGTCCCTCAGTTGTCTCTTATTCTCACAGAACTATTATACTCTACATAGGTGATGATTGTACCGCATTAATTCGTCGAAGCTCCTACTCAGACCAGGACATATAAGCTACACATGGTGCTCAGGCCCAGGATCATGCTGCCCCAAAATGCCGCATTGTTGAGCACCCATCGTCCTCGAACCAGTTTGCTCCTCTGCAGTGCTACTATTGGCAGCTGTAGCATCATTGCAAAGAAGCCGTACCCTCTCAGTTTCTTGGTGATGCAGCCCATGATCAGCTCATGACCCAGCGCGCTGACCAGGAAAGTGATTGCCATGGCAACTGGAGTTGAGAAGTACGTCTTGGACGAGAAGAAGACGTGTCTGCGAAGAAAGTGGTAGACCGGAATGTTCCACTCGCGGCTGAATTCGAGCCAGTCGCTAGAATTCCACCAGTCCGAGTAGAAATGGCGATCACCGAAGCAGGTGATCTCTGCAAACGCGCCTAGGATGTACTCCCAGATCACCAAAAAGACCAGCAGGAAGGTGATCATGAATGGGAACAGCATCATGCTGGTGGTCTCGGCCAAAATCAAGGCCATTTCTGAAAGAGATGTTGTCAGACGCAGCCGGGCAGCCGATTCGGCTAGGACCGGCATGATGAATTCCTCGCTGATTGTGATCATCAAAAAGATGCAGCCGAAGACGGCAAGGGTCTTGTAGAAGAGTTCATCCCATCGGATTTTGGGTGTCCTGGGGTACTCGAGCTCGTAGCAGAGAGTTGGGCATAGGACGTAGTCGATGTAATTATACAGGGTGAGATTTTGGGGGTATGTGACTTGCCCAAGGGGAGAAGTCAACTCGGTGGCCAAATCTCGTCGGAGCTGGGCCAGATCTTGCTCCTCTTCTTTCTCTTCCTCGGAACTCTCCGAATCCATCTGGCGCAAGCGAGAAGGAGAGCTGGGATACTTGACGGCCTTGCCTCGGTCTGCCGTTTCTGGCTTGTCGAGGGCTCGTAGTCGTCGCTCGGTCTCGGCCAAATGGCCATTATAGAATGCGTAAGAATGCATCTTCATGAGGAAGGTCAAGGTGTGGAGAGCGAAAAACACTTGCGCAGTCCAGGTCCAGCCCAGCAAGAATGGCCAGCTCACCCATAATGCCAACCATAGCGCTTGAAACGTGCTTTGTATCCAGATTCCAGCTCTTCGCCATCGCAGGACGCCATTCGTGCCGCGTGCCACTTTTTGAATGGGCAAGCTCAACGCGGTGCTCGCCACCATGGCGGCATCGCTGAGGCCCAGGGAAATGACATTCCGGGACAACAGGGCATATACTTCGACCCGCAGAGGGTGGCCCGTCTCTTTGATATTTCTCAAGCAAGTCGTGATTACCATGATGGTCAGACTGATCCAGAAAAGGACAAAGAAGCCCCGGAAGTCGCGGTATTCGCTCCGCGCATCGAAATAGGAGACTCGAGAAACGTAATCGATCGTATAGAATAAGCGGTGCTTGGCCTGAGCACGAGCAGCTTTCCTTGCAGTGGAAAGGGATTGTACTGAGGGCGGTGCATCTTGGGGGATTGGCGTGGAGCGGCCACTAAAATGTCAATGTCAGCATCGCGGTGTTTGAGGACACAAGGGCGACATGCCTTGAGATACTCGAAGAGACATCAGCAAAGCCATTCAGACCTTGGCCAGAAGCACGTAAGGCCTCCGGCAACGCCCTTGTCGGTCGCGGACGCAAGATGTTTCGCTCTTGACTCGTGGAGCGAGGCAGCGCCATGGCGGGGTATTCAAAAGAAAAAAGCAAACGATATGCTAATGATACAGCAGAACAATGGGCACGATAGAAAGGCAGGCATCCATGATTTTGAATGCAAAATCCAAGAACCTGCTGGGGTGCTAAAATGCAAGATTGGAGTTTCGGACACCCAGAATCCGAATGCGCAAACTGACCTTTGGATCATCCTAATCTCTACCGAAAATGGAACCATAAGCACCACCATTCTCCAAACTCGTCACCCTCTGGGCATCAGCCTCGGCTTCCGTCAAGCTACGAAGCACCGATTGGGTCACTGTCTCCAGCACGCCTGGTTCTTGGGTGGTGTCTGCAGATGACCCTCTCGTGATATTGTGATGGGGGCATTGAGTCCGTGGCATTCCTACTGGGTGACGGGAGTATCGACCGTGATGGCGAGATATATACCTGAATGTCTTGCGAAAATCACCCACTATCCCGACAGGAGCTCTATTCAGTCTCGCACACATTGATCTCCAGCAGCCTCTACCACTGAGGAATTGCTTTTGGTCCAATACCGTCACAGGCCAGGCGACAGAGGGCCTCTTCAGCCGCAATTTCTTGGCTGTCATCGTCCCTCCGAGCGGGAAAGATCTTTCGCCCAGCCTGTTGCTCTACCTCCATGTGCTTGTATAGGACATCTCTCACGAGATTCTTGAAGTAGATGACACCCTTTTCATTGTGCGGGTGTAGTGGTCCTTTGACGTATGTGTCCATGTTGAGATTGCGCTGCACGGCGTTGCAGAGCTCGAGATCTTCCTTTTCGACTTGTTTGAAAAAGGGATTCATGGTTTCGAAGTCTTGATCAGAGCATGATTTGTGACGGTAGACCTCATATTCCAGCTTTAGTGAAGTTGCGGATTTTGGTGCGAACCGAGTGAGATATGTTACCCCATCGCTAATATCTCCTTGTCAATAGACTAGGTGAGTGCGAGATCACATCAATGCAACTTACGATATCAATATGGCAGCGTTGGGGAAGAAGTAAGTGGGCTGCACGCCGTACTTGTGCTCAACACTATCCAGCGGCTCCGAGTAGTGCTCAATCCACCCTTTGATGCCCTTGACATCGTAAGTGTCGAGCTTTGTCGTTGCCAGAATGCTTGGATGTGCAGTTGTGCAATGGTAGCACTGAGCACCTCGTCAGTTTGAAATGCCTGAGCCGGAGAGTGGCCGCACCTCGTTGTAATTGTCCACCATGGCCTTCCAGTTATACTCGCCCTCCATTTCCCATGCATGGTCAAATTGGAAGTCATCCATCGTGAAGTCTGTCTGGCGTGGCTGCTCGTCGACTCTCTCGAAATGATCTTCCCAGGCGACCGTTGGTGGGTCGGCAGCATCGAGATTAACCCAAACGAAGCCGAGTCTGTCAATGCGCACATGGATACTATACAGCGAGTATTGAGATTTGTCAAAGTTCTCCACTGTCTCAAAGCGCGGCGCCTTTGCGAGGTTACCGGACAGGCCATAAGACCATCCTGATAGACATCGATCAGCGGCCATGCAGTCGCTGAAAGGATGTGGTGTGGTGTCACAGCTGTCGGCTTACCATGATACTTGCACGCCAGAATACTTATCTTCCCTCCCTGGCCACTTTGCTTCTCAATCACGGGATACGCTCTGTGCCGACAAATGTTCAAGAAGGCCTTCAGTTCATTCTGTCGGTCGCGGATAACGAAGAATTTGTAGCCCGCAATCTCGAAATTCACAAACTCTCCGATCTCTCTGAGTCGAAGAGAATGGGAGACACAGAGCCACTGCTTGGAAAAGATCGCACGTTTTTCCAGTTCGTACATTCCCTCTTCGCGGTACCAAGATGCTGGCAGGGTGTTGCTAATCGGGCCATGAGTGCCCACGCCATTAGTCGTGCGATTCATCTTGATACGCTCAATGAAGTTCTGCTAGTCAGACTGCGAAGTTCGCCGAATCTTCCTGAGATTCCCTTTTAGAGTCAAGCGAAATTGGCAGATGGGTCTTTTCACAGGCACGGGAAATGTAGATAGAGAATACTCAGAAGCGTGTGCGCTGCAGCGCCTGATAAGAGACTTCCGCCCGTCTCGCACAGATCCGAGAATGGCTTGCTGTATGCGGCCATGAGTCGGTATCAATCTGCATGATAGGCGAATACCTACGCGCCTCTCGGCTTGAGCTATGTCGTGGTCCAAGGTTGGATCATTTTCAAGGAGGTTCCCAATTTTGCTTCAAATTGAGTAAGACGTAACAAGCATTCTGCCAATGACAGATGAGGCGATTATCCAGCCCAGACGGAGTGTGTTTTTAACCGTCTTGCATTTGCCGGGCTTGGTTGGCGCAAACAGATACGCTCCGCGTACGCAGCGCACATCACCATGGTCGTATTCTATCGAAACTTCTGTGCGAAGCATGCGGGGAAGCCCGTTCCCAACTCTGGATGTATTGTCGTGCTCTTAAAACCTCAGCAAGCTGTAGCGGCATTTCTGGCGGGCTTCCGCTCGTGAACGATATCCGTCGACCTTGAGCTGGGAATTGGAATCACTCCCTGACGTATTTGTCTCCCCGGATGGTGAGGCCTTCGTCTAGGAACGGTTTGATTCCAGGAAGGGCTTCGGGGTCACGACCAATATTCTGTCCCGCTCGAAACGCTGCCTGCAGATGCTCAGCGTGCTTTCCACCCTCCGCGGTAGAGCAGTCATCGAGTATAGTGATCCTGAGAGGTTCGAATCCGCAATAGCCGAAGATACCATATCGCCAAAGATGATGAATATGCTTGTCATGCCCCCATCTATCGAGTTGTCGAGAAGTAGCGCCAGCGAGAGCAAGGACTGTACAAGGCCGGCGCCTCAGTAGACTGCCTTCGGGATCGCGCTCCCATTTGTAGCACCAGCCTGCGGACCAAACCCTGTCCAGCCATCCCTTCATCATGGCGGGCATTTGATACCACCAAATAGGAAAAATGAGAAAAATCGCATCTGAGTCTTCCACGAAACGTTGGTGCTCAAGCACATCCTCGGGCATAGGAACACCCTCGAATTGCTCCCAGTCGCGTGAAGTGAAGACTGGATTGAAACTATCTCGATATAGGTCAACGACCTTGACCGTGTGGCCTTGGCTCTCTGCTCCTTCAATGACCTGGCCGGTCACAGCGTGGGTGAAGGACTCCCGGTTCGGATGACAAAACACCACGAGGATGTGCATCGTGAGGTTCGCGATTACAAACACGACCTGGGGAAAGGTATGCGTAACACAATATAGAGCTAAAGGCGATGGTAGGACACAAGAAATGACCGCTAGGAGTCGCTGTTGAATATTTATTAGCAGAAGCCTTCCAGACTTTCATCGCGGACTAATCCGTGACCAATATTTGCTGGCCGAATGATGCCCCCGAAGCCTCCTGGCCTCAACAAGGGCATCGCAAACTCCCACCTTTCTTCGTCAACGACCTTGGAAATCAACACAGAGGAAAAGCTTGACCTGGGCCCATGAGCCCAGAGATGTTTAAGACTAATAATTTTGTCTGCTGGATTGTAGAAGATAGTAGGATATGTCAAATTCGGCCAAACCGGGTGAAAGAAGGATTTCGGGCTTCCGTTACTCTCAAATGGCGATGCAAGCTGGAGAACTCACAAGGCTGCACTGTTGCTGGCAGGTGGGAGCATAATTACCTGATATATCGCACCTCGTCTCGCCCTCACATTTGAATGGAGTGATGGTGCCTTGCAAAGGCTCGCGTGATACGATAACCAATGTGGCGTCAGTATTTCAAGTACCGGATTTTGCTCAAGTTCTGATCCAGTACCTGCAAGCCGTGATATATATCCTGAAGCCAGGAAGAGAACTCCGTGGGAGGGTTAAACGTCCTCTGCCCGGAGATACTCAAGCAGCAATTTACCTCCGGCTCTTGGCGTGCCATGGGCCCCAATTGGCTGTCACTGAAGGACACTTCTGCGGATGCATGGGTGTTCCTGACCTGACACTCAGACACCAGTATTGTCAACGGACGCAGACATCCTGGTGCAGCCGTCACTGTTGGCCGTCTCAGTCGAAGGTCTCCCTAGAGGGATATCCGATAGTGCCAAAACCCATGAAAAAGTGAACATCGTTGAACGACCCCGACTTTGGGTCAGCGCGAGCCACTATGACCTCCCGTCAGTCGCCCTATGGAGTCTGCGCTGCTCGAGGCATACTGACATGTGTTTCAAGTCAAGCAATTCATCCGCAACGTGCGAGCCTCCAAGACTATCGCAGACGAGCGTGCTGTCGTCCAGAAAGAAAGTGCCGCGATCCGGGCCAGCTTTCGAGAAGAGAGCGGAGACTCCAATATTAGGTCGCTCATCACAATGGCCGTGTGAGAAAGGATGTTTCTGACCTGAAGTAGAAGGAACAATGTCGCAAAACTGCTATACCTCTTCACCCTGGGAGAACGCACACACTTCGGCCAGATAGAATGCCTCAAGCTCTTGGCCTCTCCCAGGTTTGCGGACAAACGACTGGGCTATCTAGGGACGATGCTGCTACTGGACGAGAATCAAGAAGTCCTCACATTGGTTACAAACTCATTGAAGAAGTACGTATGCGCGCCATTAGCTCCATCAACGGTCTTGCTGATCGTCCACAGCGATCTCAATCATTCGAATCAATATGTTGTCGGCCTGGCCCTCTGCACCCTAGGCAATATTGCCTCCATCGAAATGTCTAGGGACTTGTTCCCTGAAGTCGAGACGCTCATATCCACCGCAAACCCTTACATACGTCGAAAAGCTGCGCTGTGCGCCATGCGAATATGCCGCAAAGTCCCAGATCTGCAAGAACATTTCCTCGAGAAAGCCAAACTTCTGCTGCAGGATAGAAATCATGGGGTGCTCCTCTGTGGATTGACGCTGATAACGAGTATGTGCGAGGCGGATGAGGCAGAAGGGGGTGAAGAAGCCGTGGTCGAAATGTTCCGGCCAGTTGTTCCACACTTGGTTCGCACCTTGAAAAGCCTGACGAGCTCGGGATACACGCCTGAACATGATGTTTCCGGGATCACAGACCCGTTTTTGCAAGTCAAGATCCTCCGGCTTTTCCGAGTGTTGGGGCGGGGAGACGCTGCGACCAGCGAGCAGATTAACGATATTCTGGCACAAGTCGCCACCAACACCGAGTCCTCCAAGAATGTTGGAAACGCCATCTTGTATGAGGCGGTCCTCACTATCTTAGACATCGAAGCCGACTCGGGTCTGAGGGTGCTGGGCGTTAACATTCTCGGCAAATTCTTGGCCAACAAGGACAACAACATTCGTTACGTCGCACTCAACACGTTGATCAAGGTGGTCGCGATCGAGCCTAACGCGGTTCAAAGGCATCGAAATACCATCCTAGAATGCTTGAGAGATCCGGATATCTCCATCCGACGCCGGGCATTAGATCTCAGTTTCACCTTGATTCGAGAAGACAATGTACGGGTGCTCATCCGGGAATTGTTGGCTTTTCTGGAAGTCGCCGATACCGAGTTCAAACCCGTGATGACCACGCAAATTGGCATTGCGGCAGATCGGTTCGCCCCAAACAAACGCTGGCACATCGATACTATGCTGCGGGTTGTCAAGCTGGCCGGAAACTATGTCAAGGAGCAGATTCTGTCCTCTTTCATTCGCCTCATCGCTACCTCGCCCGATCAGCAAACTTATGCAGTTCAAAAGTTATACGCTGCCCTGAAATCAGACATCACACAAGAGGCTCTCACTCTGGCTGCTGTCTGGGTTATCGGCGAATATGGTGATGCCCTCCTCCGTGGCGGATCCTACGAAGAAGAGGAGCTGGTGAAAGAAGTCAAGGAAAGCGACATTGTTGACTTGTACTCGACAATACTCAATTCGACATATGCAAATCAAGTGGTGACCGAATACATCATCACTTCTGCCATGAAGCTGACCACGAGGATGTCTGATCAGTCACAGATTGAACGGATAAGGCGGTTAATGAACTCCAGAACAGCCGACCTTAGCATCGAGATTCAGCAAAGGGCTGTTGAGTATAGCAACATGTTCGGCTACGACTCGATCCGAAGAGGCGTACTAGAGAAAATGCCGCCACCAGAAATCAAAGAGGAGCAGCGGGTTCTTGGTCAATCCACTACGCCTGCGAAGGACAAGAGAAAGACTCTGAAAGCGAAAACTAATGTCAAAGTCGCCAAGACTACAGAATCCGACATGCTTCTTGATCTTATGGGTGGAACGGACGTGCCTGCTCTAGACACCAGCGCTACACTGAACGGCCAACAACAAACAGCAGACCTGTTAGCAGATATTCTAGGGGGTGGGAACTCAATTTCGAGCCCTCCGCCACAAACAAAAAGCCCTGCACCGCCTTCCAATGCGAATGCCATCATGGACCTATTCGGCAACGGAACCCCGAAATCTACCAGCCCTGCACCTGGCGGCCCACAAGCACACCCTGCATACGACAAGAACGGTCTGTCCGTTGCGATTCAAGTTTCTAGAAGTGGTTCTGCGTTGCAAGCCATTGCAAGATTCAAAAACACCTCCGCCTTCGAACAATTGTCGAACGTTGGCTTGCAGGCTGCAGTTCCAAAGAGTCAAAAGCTGACCTTGCAAGCGATCAACAAAAGCACACTGGCAGCCGGCGACGAGGCTACTCAAGGCATGAGGATCGTTGCAGCAACTGGGGTAAGTCTTCCTTCATCTGTATCATTAACTGTGCAACTGATTGCTTGATTAGTCCCTTCCCACAAAACTCCGTCTAAGATTGAAAATCTCGTACACTAAAGACGGGGGTGCATCAATGACCGAACAAGTCGACTGGACGGAGCCGTGAAGTGCGGGAATATTTCTGTGTCTTCTGTGTCTTCTTGTGCAGAAATGACGTTTGCTCCTAGAACATCAGCACCAAGACATTCAGCTAGTAACCAGTCAACATCTTCGCCGGCCAGTGGCGCGCAACTCTGACAAGGCAAAGGGTTCATCAGCGAGAGCCCGACGACAAGGCGAAAGCTATCCTCGGCTCGATCCAGGCTTCGACTTCAGCTTGGGTGCTGGGGCTTTCTGAGAGCGGTGCGGATGTAACGGCTGGGATCGAGGAAATCTCGTCCAGAAATTCAGCACCCGTAAATGTTATGTCGAATCGAACGTGGGCGGCGGACCGATGGTACGGAAAGTGTTCCGCCCCGAAGCAATAGTGCATCCCGCATCTTCCACCCTAAAAAAAGATCTCCAACAAGTACCTTTTACTCCTTCCTGTGTCCATCTAGATCAGTTGTCGCGCCGTTCCAGAGTAACTCGACCATCTCACCTTCCGTACTTTCTCTGAGCGGAAGAACGCCGAGGAGAGTGACCCGGAGAGCGAGAGGTTTCCATGGTCACTTCCCCGTTTCGAGCTATATCTTTGCTGCTTGAAGAGTTGTAATACCACTCGAGATGCGTTGTTGACCCTTGGAATTCAACTTAGGTCTAGCCGTCTGGTCGATTCTACATTGCCTTGAACCCTTCGAGGAGCCATGCTGCTTCCCCTTTTGATCTACGCCGTCCCCGTCTTCTTCATTCTCTATGCTCTCAAAGATTACTTCTCTTTGTCCTCAATACCTGGGCCTTTCGTGGCACGTCTCACGAATATCTACCGCCTTCTTCTTGTCTACAACCGCAATGCTCACGAGAAACATCTTGTACTCCACAAGCATTATGGGAACCTTGTCCGACTGGGGCCAAAGTGCGTCTCCGTCTCAGGGTCGCAGACTTACATTCCCCAGATCTACGGGATCGGCAAAGGCCTGGTGAAATCCGACTTTTACAGTTGCTTCCAGAATATCGTGAACGGCCGTCGAGCAGCCAGCCTCGTGGCCATGACAGACGAGAGCCAGCACGCGAAATCGAAAAGGTTGATCGCTCACGCATATTCTTTAAGCACACTGGTGGAGTATGAAGAACTGGTGGACCGCACGACGGATGTTTTTCTACACACTCTGGAGGAGCAATTCGCCTGCGCTCCTACTTCGCAGGGACGGGTGCTTGACCTGGGCCGCTATCTACAGTTCTTTGCTTTCGACGTCATCGGAGAGCTCACCTTCAGTCGACGCTTGGGGTTCATTGAGTCTGGCACCGATGTGGGCAGCATCATCGAAGCCATTGGAGCAAATTTCTCCTATTTCAGTGTCCTCGGTCAAATGCCTTGGCTGGACGAGGCCGTGCTGGGAAAGAACCCTTTGTACGTGAAGTATTTCCGGAAGAGCGTCAGTTCGCCGATCCTGCTGTTTGCACAACGATTGCTCAAGGAACGACTGGCGGACTTGGAGGATGGTGGTGCGGAGAAGGAAGATGAGCTGGACAAACCAGATTTCCTAAGCCGATTTTTGAAAACCAGGAAAGAGGGCACCGAAGGGGAAGAGACGTTGACGGATGCCCAGATTCTATCGAATCTATTTGTAAGTGCCAAATTACCTTTTTTTTCGAGCGTCGTCACTCCCTAACCATAAGTTGGCGTAGATGAATATCAATGCCGGAAGCGACACAATAGCCTCGACCCTGCGGGCCATCTTCTATCATCTCCTCAAGAACCCCGACTCGCTCTCGCGCTTGACCACCGAACTGGATTCAGCAGCAGCACTGAAGAAAATCTCGAGCCCGTCGCCAACGTGGATCGAGGCCCAGCAAAGCCTGCCCTACCTTTGTGCCGTGGTGAAAGAAGGCCTCAGGATGAATCCAGCTTTGTCCCTGCCTCTCGAGCGCGTCGTTCCAAAAGAAGGCCTCACCTTGCAACACGAAGACGGCACCCACACTTTTCTTCCAGGAGGCACTGTCGTCGGTATAAACCCCTGGGTCTTCCACCGCAGCCCCCATGTCTTCGGGTCAGACGCGGAGACCTGGAACCCAGGCCGTTGGCTTAGCGATCAAGAAAGGGAGACCAAGAACATGGAACACAGTCTCCTCTCGTTCGGCGCCGGGAAGAGATCCTGCCTGGGCAAGAACATTGCGATGCTGGAGCTGCACAAGCTTGTTCCGGCGCTGCTCATGAAGTTTAGGATTGAGTTGAATGACCCCAAGCGGGAATGGGAAGTAAGTAATGCTTGGGTCTTGAATCAAACGGGTTTGAATGTCAGGTTGGCACTAAGGTGACCCCTTGCACATCAAGCATGGACTTCCATCATTGGTATCAAAAAGACGAAGAAATTTCCAAAAGCGATTGCCATCATGGCCAACGCGGTGGACTTGCCTCAATTACCTCCACCAAGACTTTCAGAGATCGCCAAATATCCTCATCCCACGATCCTCTTAAACCCTCAATCAACCTTTGCCCAATAACGCTGATACCTGCCTGCATGGCCATCGCTCTCTTCCTAAGTGCATACTCGTTGAGCCTAACGGCCGTGTCTTCAGGGAGACCAATGCCCAGCATCTCTCTTGCCTTCTCGGGAATGCGGTGTAAACTTTCATTCGAGGCTGCGGCTTGTGCCCAGTACCGCTCCATAGGAACGATTTGATCTCTCAGTCGAGAGAAGTGGAGGTCGATAATTACCCAGGCCGTGATGGCCGAAAGGAGCAGCGAGGATGCAGAGGGAAAGATTCGGCCAAGTGTCTCGATGTAGGTTGGATTCGAGATTTGTGGATTTCGCAGCTCCATGACAGCAGGCGAGTCGAGACAGAGCATGCCACCCGGGAATTCGTCAATAGCCACCGTCACGGCGTTGAGAGCCCTTTCTAATTTTCGACATCGTGACCATTTCGCGCTCTTGATAGAAGGCGACGGCTCAGAAATTGAGTGCGAGTTCACTCCCAGTGTCTCCCAAACCGCCCACCTCTTCTCTAATGTGCGGAACGATCGATCGCTTCGCGTCCGCCGAGGCGATGTCATAAATGGATCCGTCAATATACGCATCCGTTTGTCGACACTATCGGACTCACAGGTTTCCGATAGGCTGGTCCTGCATCGCATTGCACAGGTCATACGCTGTGGAACGAAGTCAGTCGAGGGAGGCGAGGTTTCAGAGGTACGACTACAGACGCTGTCTGAAATGTGGGATTCGATTTGAGGCACATCGCAAGGAGTGTCGTATGGGCTGAAGGCGGAGACCTCAATAGGCGCTTGCTTTGGCGTCGATGGAGCACCCGTGTCTTCACCAAGCGACTCAGCCCTTGAATGAGTCGAGGGCGGACGTTGAATATGAACTAGTCTCGGCTTTCCCGGTCCGACAAGGACTGTGGCGATCATCTAAAACACGGTTAGTGCACGCTGAGCTGAATAGACAGTTTACGAATATGTACCACTCCATCCTCGTCGCCTCCTGTGTGAACAGAACCGCAAGGATGCTGGACGACTTGATAATAGCGAGCCTTGAATCGTTGCATTCTCTCTTCATGCGATGTGGTATTGGCTAGCCATCCAGATTCGTCCGAACAAAGAGCGCCTTGTTCCTCGTGGTCAAGCGGAGTTACCGGCGTGGATTCCGACGCTGTGCTTAGATTGTCGTCTTCAAGTGTCCCGTGGCCGGAGGACTGGCTACCTTGATCGTCTCCGTCGCCGTCCTGATCGTCGCAGTAATAGGACAAAATTTGGAGACTATCTAAAGAATCGTTGTTTGGAACCGGTGACGGCAAATGTTTTCGTGGGTTGTGAAATCTGAAATATGATTGACGTCTTTTCTGAAGCGCTCCCACAAAAGGGCTCGGAAGTAACGGGCTGATTGGGCTTGAAGCAGCCTGATTCCGAGCCAAAGCACGCAGGTCGATATAGCTCGCCGACATCCTACGCAGCCCGGGAGAGGGCAATGTCCGAGTAGGGTAGTTCTCCTCCCAAGCAGAAGGAGACTCGGGCGGCAGTAAAGGAGACGTTGTCTTCTGGCTTGGCACGTATGGATACGAAGTGGCGATTTGAAGCCTAGCTTGAAGTAATCTGCTTTGCTTCGACTTAGCAGGCTTGTATCGATGAAGCAGCCTTGACAGTTGCGACCTTGAGACGTGTCGAGAGCGCAGGAGAGGCGATGGGGGAGGTGTCCTTTGTCCCTCTCTTAAACAGTGGATGAGATCGACCGATGAGGTTTGACCTTGACGGTGAGCTGATGCATTGAGAGCTTGAGTAGACATCAGTTGTTCCATTTTGATTACACGAGCTCAAATAAGTAGGCTGCTTGAGTGGCTTTCCCAGGAAGGATGGGATGAGACATATATTCAGGGGGAAGACAGTTGCTCACTTTGACGCGTGTTGCAAATCAAACTGCCAATCGCGTCAGATCCTTCTGCGAGATGCAAGCTGCCGTTTCGTGAATCTCACCCTTGCATGGCTGTCGAGTATCAGATTCTGCGTCACACAGAAGCGTCCGCCCTGTGGAAGAAGTCTTGTCCAGCCATCTTAGGGTGCCCGTAGTGAACCAATTTATCCCTTGCTTTAGCCCGACCCCAGGTTGCACACCACAACAGTGACAGACTTGCAAAGTGGCAGGATATGTTGCACTGCACAGCATGACATTGAAATTCGAAAGGGCATATGCAGCTTTTTAATTGTCATGCCTCACATGACGGGGTACACACTTTGGGCACTGCGTTTCCAAATCCACCGCCGAGAGCTGTCACTCGGAAATTGCCATTCTCCAGAGCTGGATCAAAGGCTCTGAGGTCTGAAGTTCAACAGGAGGACGCCAGAGAACTCGTGTTCAGCTTATTCGACTCTTGGTATAGGATGAGATGGCCGTTGCTCCACCATTGCAGAAGGTATTCAGACTGAGCATAGCTGGACGGGCACAAATTAATCCCTCGGCCTTTGATCGATGAGAAATAGCCTTATCGGAAGATAGGTAAACGTCCAGGGAACTTTCATGAATTGGCGAAAGAGATGTAGATGCGAAGGTCCTCCGAACACTCTTCTCGAGTTGACCGGACTCTACATATGTTCCACTGGCTCTTCTGGCAAAAGTTCCTCGCGTTCACCGTTTCGCCTGGGAGGCAATAGCGCCTTGATAGGCGGTCTGACGAGGTCATTGAACATGAAGGTACCGTACACTAGCTACAGCAGCTGTCAGTTCCTTCCCGCACTGAAGTGGACGGCATTTGGACTCACCAAGGCAAACCCAGCCACCTGGAGCCATTTGAAGGACTCCCATCCAAGCCCAAGCGAGACAATCCAAATGAAGAGCGTTCGACAGGTATCTATGATCGATCGAGAAGTTGCAGAGATACTGCGAGTTACAGAGAGGCCAAAGAAGTTGAACCCGCCAATAGAGACCATGATTGCGAGGCTTGAAATGCCGATTGCGCGATTGGTAAACACCTGACGATAACCTTCCTGAGCATCAAAGTATCCGTGCTTGCCAGCTTTTGTGATGCCGACCGCCAAGTGCAGGATGACCTGAACCGCGACGGTGACGATGAACCCAAACAAGCCCTCCCAGGCAACAACCTTCAGTGGCTCGAGGGCGTAGTGTTCGAGGATCCATTCTTCGAGGCAGAATTGTGTGGCGGTGAAGATTTGGGCGAAAGCAATGAGGAAAATACCCAGGACAGTGCGCAGCACGCTAGGATCCACTGTCTCCACGATAATGTCTCTCGCAGTAAGGATCGCGTGCCGAATCAGCTCGGTGCCGCCCTCCTTGGGCGCAGAAGAGTTCTTGTCGCCAGAGGAGATAGCGCCGGCCAATCCAACCAAGGCCACCCCCAACACAACAATAACGAGGGAGAGCCAATGGTACAGGTAGAGCTTTCTCTTCAAGAACAGGACGCTGAATAGCCCGACAAAGAGAACCAACGCTCCTCTGGTCATTTGGTATATGGAGGCAGCCACGAACAGCAAACCGACGTTCATCAAGGTTGTACCTGCGATGTCGCAACATGCTGGAAGTCCTAACAGAACAACTTTCCATCCCTCGAGATGAGCTCGGTCCTCCGCGTTAGGTAGGAGTGGTTTCAAGGCAGGGTCTGTAGCATCTCGTGAGGAAGCTGGCCGAACAGTGTCATCATCTTCCTCTTGCTCCTCCTCCTGTTCTTCTTCGGCATGGACGCGTTGGTGGAGAAGCGGCGCATCTTTGGAGCGCAGGACGATGTAGCGGTGCAGGTAGAAGCCCAACATAACCAGCCAACATCCCATCTCTCCAATGAACATTTGTACACTGTGCAGGTTAGCGATCAGCAACTCTGTCTGGCGAATAGTGGAACTTGCGTTTGGATGACTGGTTGTTCAAATGTCTTGTGGTCCTGTGGGTTCTTGCTCTTGCAACCCCGGACACATTGTTGATCTTGGAACTTTGTCAGAAGGGTGTTGGCGCACCCAGTGAGTAGCATCATTCCCACAAGGAATGGGATCACTGCTTTGACGGCCATTTCGCCGAGCTCGCGTGTCTTCGAATAAGTCTCACTACTCGTCCTTCGGCAGAAAATCGACGGTCAATCTCAGAATGTTCTGTGGTTGGTAGCCTTGAGATAGCTGGTGAACGAAGCCGTCCAACGAAGAACACAGCTGGAGACAAGAACAAAGACTTCGCAGTGACTCTCACAGCAACTGATTACAAGGTGGAAACCGAGCAAAGAGGAAGTCCGCTGCTCGGCAGAAGCCCGAATGGGTGTGGCTGGAGGAGCAGGTCAAGCGAGTCCAGCGGACCGAGCGAGGCGAGTACGGGAGCATGGAGTAAACAAAGTCATCGGGAGGAATACTTCAAGCAGCTGACTCGCAAAATTTCACATCAATGGACTGTTAACTCGGCGATCTTGTTTCATGCAATATAGGATCTCATCCGAGCCTGCACATTTGGACACCGTTCCTTAGATCATCAGGTACAGACACCTGTAATTCCCATGGCTAACCCAGTAGAGTTGAAGATTCCGCTGCATTCCAAACGACTGGGCTCTTCTCACAGACAATGCAAAAGATGGTTCTCCATTAGTCCCATCTCAACTCCCATATCCAAATCTCATAGCTTCGCTCTCAACCAACTTCGTTGAAAATCCAGAACCGATCAGCTGCCATGGAGACGTGTCCCAAAGTCATGTTGCACACCTCATCGTCATTTCACGATCACTTATCGTACAACTCGTGTTTCGCCTGCCACCTCATCATGAAACCCAACAAAACGTCAGATTGAATTTTATCCAGAGTAGACTCTGCTCGGTCGCCGCACTCCCGACGAGCTACCACTTCGACTTCGGCGCCGTCGCTTGCGCTCCACTATGACTTCTTCACGTCGATTTCCGAAATTGCCCCCTTGCAATGAATTGAAAAGAAAGATCAATAGAAGGGTTCCAAAGAAAGTTCCGATAATAGCGCCAGCGAGTGTACCTCCAGAGTATTGCCCTGAACACGACGTCGTTGATTGCGTTAGAATGGTAGTTGTGGCCTGGCGAGGTACGAGAGCGGGGGTTGCTGGAAAGAAGGCAGATGCGAGCGTCGCGAGAGGAGCCTATCAGTGTGTTAACTACAAGTCCCAACGCTCGGTGGAGGAGGTGCAGACCATTGAGAGGTAGCGAATGCCCCGAGAGGGTGTTTGAGGTTAAATCTGTAGCGACTCCGAGCAGAAAGTCGAGCAGTTGCGATATTCTCTATTGCTGGTTTGTCGTTTTCGCAATGCCGAACCCATCCGCAGGCTCAAGCGTTTCGTTGGGGGTTCTACCGAAGAAAAGATTGAGGTTGTAGTTTCGCGAACGACTGAGCCAGGAACAACAAGGGTTGGAGAGAAGGCAATGGTCTCACAGGAATTAGCGTTGTCAAATGCGACAGCGGAAAAGAACGAGCGTGAGATATGAAGGAGCCGAAGGAGGCTGGATAACGGCCATTGTTGACAAAGTTCCCTGCGAAGGCCGGATATGAGAGGGCGACAGCCTGACAGCGAGCAAAACCATTTGACGTCAGGCAGCGTCAGAGGGTGAGTGGAGGGGAGAGAGTCTCGAGGGCAACCAACCGCGTCGCCTGTTTGGGGAGCCTCCACCCCCGGAGTATTTTCCTTGGTTGCTCCAGCGCATCGCTGGCGACCACAAGACAGTGTCCCATGGGTTTCTGATTCGTGCTCCTGCCCTTTAGCCCTTTTGATACGGGAGACGAGCATGCAATAATGGTCTGAGCATTTGAGGTTTCCGGAAGTTCCTTGCCGTGACTTTTCGTGCTTCTTCTCTGGGTTGTTCTGCTGAAGAGAAAACAGAGATCACTGGAACTTCCCGCTATATAGATCGGAATACCGAGTACTAGTAGTGCCATCCTGGCACTAGGTACATTGCATCACATCCGGCTCACTCAGGAGTTTTCTGACTTTCTGCTCCACACGGAAACCTCCTCTAGTCCCATGCAAATGATTTTGTCGAAAGTCCATTGCCCCTTGTTGGCTCTCTCTACGCCTCCAGGCAGTGGTGCAATGAACAACCTTCTGAGATACTAGTTGTCCTGCGGTCCGGACATCGTAGGTGTCCAGTCGCGAAAAATCATACCACCAGTCCAGGACCAAGTCCGGGATGTATCCTCTGCGTGCAGCATGTATGTCCGACATCCACAGCAAGCCGTGGTCTGTGCATATTTGATGTTGTCTGAACAGAACCACACATGCCTCCTCGTAGAATTCCCGTGCTCACCCTTTCCATAGGGCGATCCGGGAGAATGCTTTCGGTGTCGAAGGCATAGATAGTCTCTCGACACGGTCGAAGTCAACTGGACCTCTCTGACAACCCGGGCGGGTCTCAACAGCATCCCCATAATAACTTTTGTTGACAGATGAAAGTCGATCCTACTCTCTCGACAACACTTTGCCGAGTCTGATATCCTCGAAGCTGTTGCGCCTGCCCCAATTTTTCGGTTGTCGCTTGAGAAATGCTCCAACAGCGCCAAGGTATCCTTCGTGCCGCAGGAAGTAAGCTTGTTTCTCGCCTTTGGACCAAAATTTGATGGCGTAAGAAAGAGTGTTCATCGTCTGGGTGTGGCCTCGAATGAAAGAACCCCCAAAATAAATGTGCTGGAGGTTGTGCTTCTCCGACTGGAGGTAAGCAATCTGGCCAATGTTGTTCGAGATCGCGTATAGTAAACTTCTGGCCATGTCTTCGATTTTGAACCCTCGCAACATGTCATGGTCCTCGCCCTGACCATCGCCGTTGAACAACCCCTCGCCATCTTCTGCGTGCCGTTCGGCCAACCTCTTCATTCGAAATACTTTCCCGAACGTGCTCGCAATAGTGGTGCTTTTAAGCCCAATTTTACTGTATCCTCCGCCATAGATATCACCCACAAGCATATCGACGCCACTGTTGTCGCCCATTTCCGCCAGGCGGAGCATCTCATCAAATGTGCGGGCTCCAGTGAGAAGGGACAGAATACCCCAGAATGTTCCGCCTCCCAAGGATGTCCCGCCCACGCGCTGAAACTCTCGAGGTCCAGAGACCTTGACCATCGAGACACCAGATCCGATATTGACCAAGAGATATGGGTATATGTCTGCGCGAGCCTCGGCGAACTGCATTGGCTCCTCTTCACTGTATGTGAACACCTCGCGTGGGATTTCTGTAATGAAGAAATCTAACCCTGTTTCAAACCCAGTCAGCCTTCATGCACAAAAGATTGTCGTGGAGTCCTAACCAATGATGAGGCACTCCATCTCGTCTTCTTGAACTACATCCACGTGTAGCAGCTCCTTCATCCGGTTGTAGAATTTGTATGCGCCACCTCCTGTTGCCATAACACACAATTCCTGCGGAGTCGACCCATTAAGCCTAGACTGCGTCTTCTTCAATTCTTGAATAAAGTCAATGCACAAATCTATCCGGTCCGTTTCGAAGTTGAGGAAGTTCAGTCGTCCGCCGCCGTGCGTTGAGCCTGGCTCGCGGGAGAAGTAGACCAGCTTCGCTAGAGAGCCGCCAATCTAGGTGCACAGTCAGGCTATTTGTAACAGGAGATATTGCATAGGTGACATACATCAAGAGCAACATGACTCACCACATCTGTATGATGTGGGAGACGGATGTCCTTATGTTCCCAATGGACATGTTCATGCTCATTTGCAGTGCCATTACGGAGATTCATCTCGTCGTCGACGATGAATGCGCCTTCCACATTGATCTTGACTGAAGCTGGGTTTGGAGGGACACGCGGATGACGACCAGAGGCCTCACCTTCGGCGATCGCAGAACTGTCTTGGTGTTCATTGTCCGTCACCGTCTCTTCTAGAGTCGGCATGGTGAGAACAGAGAGTCGAGGCCGGCGTTCAACCCATACAATGAAGCAGCCGACCGCGTCGTGTGACTGCTCGGCGATGCACGTGGGGTGGTCGAAGTTATCGGCCACCGATCATTTCGCAGTAACCTTGGGCGTAATGTGTATAGTCATTGCAAGAATCCGGTCGACCAAAGGCATACAAAAGTAAACCTAGTACCTAGGTATCTAATAGATAAGTCACTCAGAGAGCGATCGCTGGTTGTCACCGGCTTGGAGCCAACGGATATTCCAGTAGTGCGAACCTCGGTCGAGAAATTTATTTGTCGGATCAATGCCAGTGCTTTGACGCTGATTCAAGCAAGCGAAGTTGGAACCCCTCCCTCCGGGCCCCGCTGGGCTCGCCCCGAGACACCAAAGCCGAAGGGAGCCGCAGCCTTTTGCAGACGTTGTTGCTACTGTAGCATTATTCTGATGCGACGTGAGGGAGTAATGAAGAAGACAATTCCTCGACAGACTTCCTCATTGTTGCAAGGGGCCCATCTCGTATCAGAGAAATCTGAAAACTCTCGTTACGACCATCTGCCAGCTGTCTCAATCCGTTCTCCGCGAATCCATTATTCGACCCTTGACCAATCCCTTGGCGCTGCCCATATCTCCTGCTGGCTGCTTGAAGCCTGCCACCAAGAGCCAGAAAACATAAATTTCGTCAGAAGTTGCTGGAAGCAGACAAAAGCAAGGCAAAGAGCAGTAATGCAGTGCCTATAGTCGAAATGCAGACGCGTGGATGTCTAGAATCAGAGGTTCGCGAAGCAGCCGTAGGATCTGGAATTGCATTTACGGTGGTCGCCACATCGACAACAGGACTCTGTGCGCACTACTCTGGGTTTTGGCCCTGGTCCAGTCAGTTTCGAACCACAGGATAGTGTGATACGGACCTACGGGCTGACAGCATCGGCTGGCGGCAATGCCAGTGCCACATAAGAAACCACTGGAACAGACTCCTAACCAGGGATAAGTCAGTCACAACACTTCCAAGGTAAGAGGATTGCTCTCCGCTTCCGGCAGCGCAGCAAATGTCTTCAGCACTTGCATTATAACAATATGCTCCATTGAAAGTATAGCAGGAAGTTATCCCCATCGGACAAATGAGCTGAGAAGTTAAGGCTACTCTTCGCCCTTGATGAATTGACATTGCCATAACTGCTTCAGTTGACCCGAGGACGAGGGAAGAAGCTCAGTGCTTTCCAGTATTTGGGAACTATCATCCTACTTCGGAAAGATTATGGAAACGACATGTCTCAAACAACCAACCCTGGCGAATCTGTTTCACTATTTCCCCCCCCTTTCGAAGCTCGCCAACAGCTTGGTTATGTTGACCGTCGCAGTCACTGACGACAAAATTCAATTCCAGTTGAGACAGGAGAGACACGCTTTGATTGCAGTCGAATCGTGAGGATAAGGCCGGAACATTTCGATCTGTGGGATCCATAGATTAGAATTGAAGTGCGGAAGAGTTCCCATCATGGTAGCCACCCCTTGGGGGACGGCAACATGGGAGATGTTGAGAGGACATCTTTAGGTGCAAGGATGCCTGGCGTTGGCTTCAGAATGCAATCGCGTAGTTTGAGCACATATATTGACAAGGCATTGTCATTCTCGGACCTAATTACCACTTCGGTTTACTGCGAAGCTACTCTAAGAAACGGCTTCCCGACTGCCAGTGTTCGTTGTGAGTTCACTGTTCGCTTGAAATTCAGGACTTGAAAGTGTTGATCAATAGATTACCTTGCTTACCATCAGAAGTTCTTCCGCAGTCTGGAAATCGAGCTAATGGGAAGGTACCTAATGCGCTCCCGTTCACAAATGCAACTATAACGGCTTGGAGAAATAGCTGCTCTTGTTTTCCAACTCAAGCGCAAGCTGCACATTTGCTGTGTGCTCGAGACGCAGCTATAACAGAACACCTCCATCTGGAAGACATCAGCATTAGCAACGAGATCAGCTCTGCTACTCACCGATCTCTATCAATTTTCCAGTGGAATAATCTGCTCGAATGGCGTAGAGGTAGGCCTCGGCGATATGTTCAGGAGTGGCAACAAATCCTACCGGGAGGTTTTGACTAGCTTTGTTGAAGATTTCCTCCTGCTCTTCCGGCGTTTTGCCTTGTTTGTCCCAGAGGGGCGTTTTCACCAAGCCTGGCACCACTGTATTCACACGGATCTTCTTCTCTGCAAGGTCTGCTGCGAGGCCTTTAGTGAGAGAGAGAACCCCGCCGTTCAACGCCCCGCCAATGGCGGCGCTTTTTCCAGGCTTGATGCCAGCTGTCCCGGATGTAAGGGTCAAGGAGCCTCCCTTTCGCACAATATCGTACTTGAGAAGGGCTATGTCTCATGAGTGACGGGTTGTTCTCATATTCGAGGGCGCCAGATCTACATATGTACGTACCTTTTCCTGCAATTACTGCGCCCCAGAACTTCACTCCAAAGAGTTGCTTTGCATCGTCGAGGTTCTGATCCTCCAATTTGCCTCGAATGATGTTGTCGACAGCCGAGAAGACAACGTGGTCAACAGGTGCCAGTGATCGAAGCGTACCAGTAAAGGCTGCCTCGTCACGGACATCGGCCACAACTCCCTTGGCATCCGGAGACGCCAGTCTTTGCAGTGCGGCATCTAACTTTGCTGGAGAGGATGAAATGATGGTTACTTTGGCGCCAACATCAAGAAGTGCTGCTGCTGCTCCGAAGCCGATCCTATTATATATCAACAAAGTTCTGCTAGGGAAACAGCAACCAGGCACAAAATTGAGCAATACACCTTGGCTTACCCTGTGCTTCCTCCGACTACCACGATCTTCTGGCCTTCAAGCCTATCCCTGAAGCCGCCCATGTCGGAACAGATTATACCAATAAAGGAGTTCTCTCTTGTCGAGGAGAGAAACCAGAATTTCTCGTCTGATGTGACTGCAGTCTATCTGTACCTATGTACCTCGGGGTTCAGTATACTCAATGGCTGGTATGGTGTCATTAACAGCAAAATGACGCCAAATAGATTACTAAGGATGGCAGATTCTGGACAGGAACAGACCCTCGGAAAACTCTATGCCGGGTATATCTCTGTATCTGGGTGTGTCTATCTACTGCATGGCGCGATGATAATTCGTCGTGCTCGTCCGAAGCACCGATGTGGGAGATAATAGTACTTGTGTCGTAGCTCAGCTCCGTGCTCCGTACCAAGCCCACGTTCCTCCAAGTTTGCAGAATGCGGGGTGATCGATGCCAGTCCCAAAATATTTTAATTTTTTTGATTGCCACGCTAATGTTGAATTCTGCTGGGCCCACACCGTGAATCATCAGCGCAGCCGGATTCACCCATGTTTTTGTAAGGCGGATGACAACTCACGATGTCGCGCACAAAGCAAAAGGCTCGAAGGGAACGTGGGAAGACTGCACTGGCTCCAAACACGCGTGTGCAGAAGGAAGTGGCCTCAAACGAACCGGAAAAGAAACAGGTGGTTGCAGGCCAGCGTGGGAGGAAACGAAAGCTCAACGAGTCCGATGATATCGACCCGAACCCTTCATCGAAGCGAACCGCCCTTGACATCAAGCCCGGACAACCCTCGTCCTTAGATACCGTCGCCGACCCTGCCCTTCTCGCCGACCACTTTGCCAAGTGCATTCAAAAGTGGTTTGCAAAGTACAGTCCCATCGAACTGGAAGACCGATATCTACCAGCGAAGGCTTTTCTCGACACCACGAGTTACAAGAGAGCCCGGGTCGCCGCGAACCTACCGGACTTCCTCGAGCGATATTCAGCTGGCGGTAAAGAGGGTCTTTGCACCTGCGACAAAGTCGCGTCGCCACATACCATTGTCATTACAATATCTGGCATGCGCATAGCAGATCTCATGCGAGAACTGCGAGTGTTCAAGAGCAAGGATTCCAAGGTCGGTAAATTCATGCCGAAACATATGAAACTCGAAATGAATGTGGAGTTTCTCCAGAGTAACAAAGTGGGGATCGCCATTGGCACTCCGGAGAGGTTGAATCAATTGCTAGAAGCAGGTGCGCTGAAGACTGGGGGCCTACAACGAATTGTGGTGGATGGCTCTTATCAAGACGAGAAGAGAAGCACTATATTTACGAACGGCCAAGTTTTTCAACCGATGGTCGCCTTGCTCAATGACGATAGCATTCGTCCGAGATATGGAGCTGCACAAAACAAGATTGATATTCTCGCTTTCTGATTGAAAATGATGGAACCTCGCAACAAAAGGCCGTCACCGACGACGTGTGAACGATTAAACTGGAGTCGCAGCTCCGCAGCCTTCAAAGCTCTACGAGTCAGCCTCTATCAGGTACGAGCACGAGCGTGCAGGGGCGGAAGCACTAGCGTCTGGATCAGGCTGTTAGGCCCTTTCCCCAGCTCAGATCAGCAAATCAAAGGGCTCTTCGCACACCTGGTTTCCTCGAATTTTGGCACTCCTCCGCAGTGTGTCTCGGCTGCTGGAAAGAGGTGGCGCAACCTGGGGGCACCAGTGATTCATGGACGCTCCACTGCGCTCCTGCTGAAATAATGAAAATCCGCTCAGTTGCTACCACCACTGCGCACTGCGCTTTAGAATCATTTCTCCAAAAAAGCTGATTGATGGTGATTTGGGTGCAACACCCTGGAGGCTGCACGCAATAAGCCTTTCCCCTACAGTGCTTCAGCTGTCTGCTACTTCCGATAGGTTGGCTCTTCCCAACACCCCAAAAATGAGTTATCAGTCATACCTCAAATCCACCGCAGCGTATGCCAACAACAAAAGTCCACCCTCCGGCTCTATCCATCGAAAACCTCCTCCCGGTTCAGCACTGTCCACCACCCCCTCCGGCTCATCGGTCCATAGCACTCTGAAATGCAATGCTACTCCCAGCTCAACCATCAACCCTCCACTCACGCCTGCATCATCCACGAGCTCCCCAGCAAACCCCTCCGCTCCCAAAATACCACCTTCCGGCCCTAACGTTCCTACCCCCGAGCCAACTCGCACATCTCTGACCAAAGAACAAATTGACGCTGCGTTGAAAGCATGTTTGGATCTACAAAATACTGCTACTGCATTGCACGAGAAACGGCCTTTTGCAGCCTTGCTTCTGGGGCCTAACAACTCTACTGTCCTCCTTACGCACTTCTCCATCTCTCATGTCCAGCACGCAGAGACCGAGCTTGCCCGGCTAGCGACGATCCACTTCTCACAGAAATACCTTGCTGCATGCACCCTTGTGTCGACTTGGGAACCATGCGCTATGTGCACAGGGACACTGTACTGGAGCAATATCGGACGCCTGGTCTATGCTGCCAGCGAAGAGAAGCTGAAAGACTTGACAGGTGGTAACAACAAAGAAAACATGACGATGTCATTGCCCTGTCGGGATGTGCTCAAGGCCGGTCAGAAGGATGTGGAGGTCATTGGACCGGTCGAGGGCTGGGAAGAGAAGGTTGTTGAAGAGAGCGGTAAATGGTGGAAAGAACATCAGTCAACGGATTCTGCAAGGAGATTGAGAGAAGGCAGTGTGAACGGAAGTGAGAAGCCGGGAAGCCTATCAAGTATGCGTCACGGCACTCCAACCACGTGGACAGGAGAAGAAACCGTCCTCAGCAGCATCGATGATGAGGGTGAATACAAAGCAGAGCTTGATATTGACTGGATGAGGTAAATGGTGTCGAATTAGGAGACTGTTCAACCATCGCTTCACAACAATTCATAGCCCATCAACGGCGTGTAACAGCATTTTATGTGAGGCAACCCTGAAGGCGGCTGGGAGCGCTGAGTGACTGTAACATCATTGAAAAACGGGATAGCAGATTGCCAATTGGAAGAGGATAGAAAGGACGAACAGAAGTGTAAGTTAATATCCCGGAGATTAATTGTTTGCCGCAAGAGTACGATATCGGGCCTTCTCGTTTTTCATAGAGGACATCATCGGAATCGGTCAACAGTGCGGCGTTGAGGTAGTCTATCCGACAAATGCTCGCTTCCTATCCTTCTTGATCTTCCTTCGCCAGCCTTTCACGTCCTTGCCACTCTCAGCATCCCGAAGAGCTTCCATTCGCGCCTCGGCCACGTCCTTCAATGTGCGGCCTTTCACAACGCGTGTCTCGATGTTTACTCCCTCTTCGGTCCATTCCGCCATCTTACTTCCTATGTACTCCTCGATGGCTAGAACGAGAGCGACGTCTCTCTGTCCAACAAATGTGACGCTCGTACCTTCCCTGCCCGCTCTAGCAGTACGCCCAACTCGGTGAACGTAATCTACCGGATTCCGAGGGACATCAAAGTTGATCACGAAGTTGACTTCGGGGATATCGAGGCCTCTTGAAGCCACATCTGTGCTAATGAGAATCCGCGACTTTTGAGAGCGAAAGTCGGAGAGATTCCTGTTTCGCTGGCTCTGAGGCAGTTCGGAATGCAGTGCTGTCACAGGATGGGAGAGTTGGAGGAGGGTACGGTGAAGAATGTCGGCGGTGCTGGTGCGGTTCACAAAAACCATGATGCTGGGCTCGGGTTCCTTTGCGAACGAAGGGACGGATAGGAGGACGTGAAGGAAGGCGTCCTTGTGAGTCATGGGGATCTGGAGGTATGTTTGTGTGAGCGACGCGGGAACGAGGCTGGAAGAGGAAGAGGGATCCGAGATGTCTGCAATTTCAGAGATGAAAATAGGAGGCCGGTCTGGTGGCCGTGCAAGATCCTTCAGCGCTCGAACTTCTGGCGTTATTGTCGCGGTAAAAAGCAGGGTCAATCGTGATGAAGGTGGCGGAAGAGCAGAAAGGCAAGTATTGAGGTCTGGAAGCATGGAGCCCGGTCCAGAGGCTAGCAAGCGGTCGGCTTCATCGAGGACCATCACTCTCGCACGAGACAACCCGATGGTGGTTTCTTTGCCGGAGCTGAGAATGTGGTCTGCCAGTCTACCTGGTGTTGCAACGACGACGTGTGGCCGCTTGGCAAGAGCAACGGCTTGGGGCCTCATATCACATCCTCCTGTTATCAGAACCGTCTTTAGATTCTGTGGGGCTCCTAGCGCCTGAAACTGCTCGTAAATTTGCAAAGCCAGCTCTCTCGTTGGCGTGAGGATGACGGCGTAGATACCGAACGGATCCTCTGCCCATTTTTGCAATATAGGAACCGCAAACGCCACAGTCTTTCCAGTACCCGTCCTCGAGCCTCCAATGCAATCTCTTCCTTTTAAAATTTCAGGTATGCAGGAACGCTGAATCTCGGTGGGATGTGATATGGCCATTGCGGCCAGAGAATGTATCAGCCATGGTGCCACAGAAAGCGACTGGAAGGTAACAGAGGTTGTAGGGATAGTAGGTCGCGCCGCCGATACTGATCCATTCTGCTCTGGTGAGACGATTCTTTTCACTCTGGATATCGGGGCATGTCGCGTGGCAGTGCCTGGAGGACTATCACTCTCTTGCGAAATGCGTCTGCGTTTTGGAGGAGGACTTGGGAACTCGTCTCCGCTGTCTAAATGTGGCTCAAGCCGTTCGGCCAGGATATTCTCGTTTGACATTGCGAAACTTGCACATCAAAATAATTTTCGTGCAAGCGGAGGAGCAGATGTCACACACCGGCAGGAATTTTTCCCTTCAGGGTTAGCGCCCACCAGGCACCGAATTTCCTGCTGCAAGGCTTGCGGCAAAAGGCTGAATTCTCTTCAGAGATAGGCGGTCCTGAGCACGCTGGCACTCTGCAGCGTCATTATGGCGAATAGCCCCCAAATGCTTGGTTAGGCATCAAATGAGCTTGACACCTGGCACTGCAGAGGCCAGGACGTTGGAAGCAGCATTATTACGGATGCCTGTCGGAATTTTGCCGGACTGCGTCGAAAGGGTGGGCTTGGTTTCTCATTCAAGTCATTATCAAGCGGGCTATGCTCAGGCAGAAAAGCTAATCATTTACGACGTAGACACGCAATCATACCATCGAATTTCGGAAACTATTGTTTGCCTGACATTTTGCTTCCCTAGAGAAGCTTCTGGGGACGAAAGTCATGCATAGCCTCCTTTCCCCCCCCACAAACCCATGCACTCGTGTTGCCGTATCGCGTATTGGCAATTCAGCCACCCACAAGCTAAAAATCTTCTCCACAAGTAGCACGAAATGACTGTCGCCTGAAATTCAGGGACAAACATGGAATGGAAGCGCTCAGTAGTTCCCTCATGTCTAGAGTCACGACGCTGGAGGTTCTGTCGAGGATAATCCCAAGAATGCGCTGCTTCCTGGTCCTTTCAAGACCGCTACTCCCTAGCTATGGGCAAAGGAAAAGGTCTCTCTCGCCGGCCTACTGCCTTGCCTCCGTCTTTGCAACTTCCAGACAGTTCTACTCAAACTGACAATGCTCCTGCTGCTGAGGAACCCGATTCTCCGCTCCCTGATGCTCTGTTGGAATTAGACGATACCACCAGCGTTCTCGACGACGGACGCGTCTCGCTCAACCTCGACTCGAAGCTTGCCCAAGTTTTTGCGAAACTTATTGAAGCATCCGAGGATGAAGACGATGCCTTTGAACCTCCACCAGCGTATTCAACCATCTCGGACCTAGACTCGTGGAACTTACCTCTGAATATTGTGATCCAGATTGTCGGTAGTCGTGGGGATGTTCAGCCGTTTGTTGCCCTCGGGCAAGAGCTGCAGCGCCATGGGCATAGAGTGCGTCTGGCAACTCACAGCGTGTTCAAGCAGTTTGTTGAGGGTGCTGGATTGGAGTTCTACTCTGTGGGAGGCGATCCAGCTGAATTGATGGCGGTACTTTGGTTTTGTCCCAATTACTTGCACCTAAGCTAACTGGTTGTGTAGTACATGGTCAAGAATCCCGGATTGCTTCCTCGCATGAAGGCACTGCGAGAAGGAGATGTGAGTAAGAACAGGCAGATGATTCGAGAGATCCTTGAAGGCTGCTGGGCTTCATGCATTTTACCCTCAGACAGTGGCGATCCGTTCGTTGCTAATGCCATAATCGCCAATCCTCCTTCCTTTGCCCACATTCATTGTGCCCAAGCACTCGGGATTCCGCTCCACATTATGTTCACCATGCCATGGAGCCCGACTCGGGCATTCCCTCATCCTCTAGCGAATATCAGAAACAGCAGCACTGATCCGAAGTTGGCAAACTACATCTCATATGGAATGGTCCAATTGTTGACCTGGAACGGGTATGCCGGGTCTGCTCCTTTGACGACTCTCTGCTGACTATCCTTTGAGAATCGGCGACATCGTACAGAGTTGGAGGAAATCAATAGATCTGGAACCCATACCAATGTCTGAAGCTCCTTTCCTCATGGAAACTCTCCAAATTCCTCACACCTACTGCTGGTCGCCGGCATTAGTCCCCAAGCCCAAAGACTGGGGCAAGCATATCGGTCAGTACTTCTTAATCGCAGCGTATTCTTGCTTTAACAAATCATGCAGACGTCTGCGGTTTCCTACTTCGAGATTCCGCTCCGTACACTGTACCAGTTGACCTCGAGGAGTTCCTGAAGTCGGGTCCGACCCCGATCTATATTGGCTTTGGCAGCATTGTGATTGAGAACCCTGAAAAATTCCTTCAAATATTGCTTGCTGCAGTTGAGGAATGTGGTGTCCGTGCCATCATTTCGAAAGGGTGGAGCAACCTGGAAAGCAAAGATGTTGATGAAAATGTCTTCTTCCTTGGGGAGTGTCCTCATGGTGAGTGACAACTTGATGCAATCTTCTGCGGTCTCTCTCGCTAAATATGTAGAGTGGTTGTTTCAACAAGTCTCTGTGGTGGTACACCACGGCGGTGCTGGGACTACGGCCTCCGGTCTGGTGAATGGCCGCCCAACTGTCGTTGTGCCATTCTTCGGAGAGTATGCTGCAACTTAAATCCATGCCTTTACTGTTGCTGATCAACCATAGTCAGCCGTTCTGGGGTAGCGTGGTTGCAGCTTCACGAGCCGGACCGCCTCCGATTTCACACAAGAAACTAAATAGCAAGAATCTGAGCAATTCCATTCGGTTTTGCTTACGCGAAGAGACTCAACAAGCTGCAAAAGGTGTAGCTGAAAAGATGTTTGATGAGCTGGGAGTCAAAGCAGCAGTTCATTCATTTCATCGCCATTTGCCAGTCAATGATATGGGTTGTGATCTAATCAAGGGACTACCGGCCACATGGGTGTACAGGAGATCGAAGAATTATCTCAAGATATCTGGAGCTGCCGCTGAAATCTTGATCCAAGCTCAGAGGATCAGGGCCGACGATCTTCGATTGTACAAACCGAAACCATTCACTATTGAGAACCGCCGGTGGGACTTCCTTACTAGCTCACTCGCTGTTTCGATGGAGGTCTCATATGATCTTCTAGCCGCTCTCAGCGGGTTTTGGAGAAACCCGAGAGCAATCCGCAAGCAGAAGGAGAAAGAGCGTGCACTGAGCCGTGCCTCATCCCATCAAACCGAGATTGCGGCGGAAAATGACCCAGGGGAAGGTTCCAGCAAACAATTCGCCAAGATGGCAGGGGCCTCTGCCATGAGTATCTCTCACATCACAGGAATAGTGATAAAAGGCTCCTTGGTCGATATCCCAGTCGCTGTTGCTGAAGGCTTGCGGAATACGCCGAAGCTCTACGGCCAGGAAGTGCCAGATCATGCCGCCGTGACTGACTGGAAAAGTGGCATCACAGTTGCCGGGACCACTTTCGTTCATCAGATGGCCCAGGGATTGACAGATCTTGTGGTGCAGCCAGCAAAAGGTTTGGCTAGAGAAGGGGTTATTGGCTTTGGCAAAGGAATCGGTAAAGGGGCACTCCAAACTGCGACAAAACCCACAGCAGGTAGGTTCGGTGCCCACTTGTCGATGATAACAGCCTGATAATTTGTTTGTTGAAGCATGCATGGGCCTGATCGGCTACACTGGTCAGGGGATCTACAAGTCAATTTATTCTGCGGTGCATTCGAAGACCAAGAAGTCGGTGGCCTCCGCCCAGCGAGTGCAGGATAAGTATTTCATCCGTGCGATCGGTACGGACATAAGCAAGGGCCAAGTCGTGGACGAATTTGACCGGCTTTGTCGACGGCGGCTTAAACCTGAGTTCGGCAGATCGAGTGGTGGCCTCACTCCAACGAGTGTTTCTAGGACAGCAAGTTTTGCTTCGACTCATTCACAGCCTCCTTCACCTGCACTGCCCATTCTGACCGACAATCAGACGACCTCTCCTGCATATACCGCTCCCGCCTGTGACTCTGCACCATCTCGGGAAAGTCGCTGATCGAGGGAAGATTAAGGCTCTCATACTCTTCTGACAAGCAAAGCTTATTCGGACAGTATAAAAACTTGGATCCGACGAAAGGGCACCCAGAATCCCATTTTGACGTCTCCGCCACACCGATTGGGTGCCGATAGACCCTTTGCCAGAGCTCGGTCGACAACGTCTTTAACAATGGTAATTGTTATCGACTGTCGGCCATTCAAAGAGTTGGGTCGAAGCCAGTAGGGCAGCCTGCACATATAGTTCAAGAGCGGGGAGAAGCAGTCCCATTTTACTTTGACTTGGCTTTCTCTTCCTTGTGAGAGAAAGCGAGCTTCAAGCTTGACCGGCCCTGAATTGAAACCCTGGGCTCCTCGGGTGCCCTCTAACGCTTTGACCAAGACTTATTCCTACTATTTTCAACAAAACACGGCTTACCAGAAGTCAAAGCTTGACATAAGATGTCAAAATCCTCGTGCTCGAAGGTGCAACCATATGAGGCGATATTTCCCTTCTCCACACCAAGATGAGAATCTACTCTCCCAGTACTGTGAGATTTATATTCGTGATACCATGAAGGAGTATTACGCAGGATTTCGGTTAGCTCGGACTGCTCTTCAGCATTGAATGGGTTTGACTGGACCCTGGTGCAACTCAGTCACTCCAAAAAGGGCAATTCTTCCGGAACCTTCGGCCGATGGCTCTTTATGTTCAGCGGCTTGTATTACCCCTTTGCAATGCAACCTATCGCCACGGACTCTTCTTGTTACCCTTCTTGTTTCAGGTAAAAGAGGATAATCTTCCAAACTCACACTTTTCGAAAAAATCGTTCTCTCCGGATTGGAAGCGCCGTCGGCGCGAGTATGGATCCGATACAAGAAAACCTGATAATAATAAGACAGTGGCTGCTGGAACATAAAATATTTCAATCTCCTTCGTTCAAATGCCTTTCGACCCTCCCTACACGCAAACTACAAGTATCGCGCTCAAGGTGGATTACTCGGCGACGCGAAGTACATGCGGGTGGAAGAGCAACAAACTTGGTAAATTGGCGGCAAAAGTGACCAAGAATGCCAGAAGGAGAAGCTGGGTTTACGTTTGACAACGGCTGTCGGATATCACATGGATTGGCACATGTGAAGAAGCCCTTCAACAATATCAACCTGACGATGCACGAACTATGTTCAAGGAGCAAACACGTCTTCTCTGGTCAGCTTGGGTTTATCGAGTTTACGTCGGAATTGCGTCTGCCACGGCACATCCATATGTCCCTGGACCAAGCAAAACTGACAGATGAGCGCATCTTGGTGCTGCACGGGACGGGAATGGTTGAGCTCGCTGGCACGCTGTATGTTGCCGCCCCGGGTTCTCTTGTTGATATCATCGGTGGAGTGCCACACACATGGACCGCCTGTCCTGCTGGGGTGAGATTGCCCGACGGTTCGGTCTCGGATGGGTCGTTTACTATGATCTATGAGTACGAGGAGCCAACTAGATTCTTTCCAACTGCATCCACCAAGGTCGTGACGCAGTTGTCGGAATACGTCGCATTCGAGGGCGCATACGACGACATTCTCATACCAAAATTGAGTGCGGGGGAAGTCTCTAAGACAGTCAAAGTTGTTTTTAACAAGGAGCTCAAGGAGCTCCAACTAGCTTGAATATGTCAAACCCCGTCTGCACATAATGCTACAGATGGCAGCCTGTCATGTTGATAGCACCCCATTCTTTCACTAGAGGTACTTGTAAATACTACCGTGCTGCCTGCAGCAAACATCGTACCTAGAGCAACAAACGAGCCTCATATGCTCGATGGGCTGCAAACTATCGAGGAGATCCGGTCGTGTAAATCAAGTCTGAAACTGGCTTCCAAAATTGCCCATCAGTGGCAAGACCGGAATGGCTTTCCCAACCCCCAAGACTCCTGCTGAGAGGTGGAATTCCTTCCGGAAATAGAGCGCGTACCCCGCATTTGGTAGTTGAGTGTAGCTGAGAGTAAGTCATGCATCCTCCTGAATTTCTTTCCTCATCTGACTGTCGAACGCGTAGCTGATTTCTGCCACACTCCTCATGCTGAAAACCAGATCACGCCGTGGATGGTGAGTACTCTTTGAATCGCTACGTTTCACTGCACACTAAGCAGAAGCTTAGCGATACCTGCCGGAAACGGCACATAAAGTGTAGGTCACGCAATCTATGGGCTCTTCCGACTCAGCTTACCCTCCGAATTCAGGTGATGAGCATCTTCCGGTCTGCTGGCGGTGCGAAGAATCACACCGTAGATGCACAGGCCGCCCTCTCATCTCCCAATGGGAAGACGGTAGGACCTTTCAGGACAGGGACGCCAATGGACATAGTCGCAATTGGCTGCAAATCCCCGAACGATGTCTGGCTCAATATTGTCGACCAGCGAGCGGATCTTGCCAACTAACGAGGTGTTTGTAGTGACCTTCGTCGCCGAAAACGTCGAAAATACTGTGCCGGAGCCAGAAGCTGCCCAAAACGAGTCAGAGGACAATCCCAGTCCGACCGAGCACCAAACTGCCGAAGAACACGATGAGTGGAATACACCACTCGCAGACGGATCGATGCCGACTTTCTCTCAGGCACTCGTTCCGGAGAGCTGTGACTATTCGCATAAACCATCGGACTTGGGCACCTCAGATGCATTCGTCAATGAGCCTTCAATGCAGACGTTCGGAATAGCTCGTCCGGAAGAGTTACTTCCGTCTGATGGAGCCCTTCCAGGAGCAAACCTTGCTCTTTTCAATGACCACGGAAGCCCGTCGGTAGCTACGCCTTCAATATCTGTCACGCGTCGTCGATTGAGTGATCGCGTAGAATCTATCCTCTTGCAACACTTCGTGAAAGAGTTAGCTTCTTGGGTATACCCGCCCCTGGTTCCTTCTCGCTCGTTTGCTAATGTCTCTATGCAGTTCGATGTAACCGACCCTTTTGGATATTTCCAGGTAGTAGTGCCTGAGCGAGCTTTCGAGTGTGAAGTCCTCTTGAATGCCATATTTGCAATTTCCGCTCTTCATCTCACCCGGTCACCGAGCAAGGAACTTGTCGACGGATCTCCTTTGCCAGTCGACACTGTCCTTGCCGAAGTCTATCATACAAGATGCGTAGGGATGTTGATATCTCTAATTACCGATGAGACTTTGGCGACCACTGAAGATGTTCTTGCAGCCGCAGTTATACTCCGAAAATTCGAGGAGATGAACGGTAAGCCCTGTGTTGGTTGATTCAAGGTGCGATTGAGGCCAATAACTTGGGGACTAGGCTACGTGACACAACGGGATTCTGGCAACCATCTTCTCGGCGTTTCAGCCCTCTTCAACTCCCGCACCTGTGCCGTCACAGGAGGGCTGGCGGAAGCGGCCTTTTGGCAGTTTGTGCGTCAAGATGCATATATGTCGCTTTTCATACAACAGCCACCTCGGATCGACTTTTCAAAACAGCATTTTCACTTCTCGTTGTCTGAGGCGCCTGATAACGTTTGGGCCAACCGCATTATCTTCTCTACGGTAATGATTCTAACATACTGCTTCGCTAACCAGGCAGAATCATCAGCTCACTGGGAGGATCTGAATTCACAAGTGACTGCCTGGGACGCACAGAAGCCTATCTCATTCACGCCGATATTCTCTGAGGAGGCATCAGCGCATAAGGGCGAATTCTGGCCCGAGATCCGATTTTGTTCTTCATGGCACGGTAACTACACCTTTTCTTAGAAGCTTTCCATACTCTGCTGCTTCCAGACGACGTCGAATTCTTACGAAATACCGTCTATATAGCAACTGGATCCCAATACTTCCACCTTTGCAAAATCCTGCTTAGTCTCTACAAACCAGGTCTTCCGGCACCGGGAGCAGGACTGAGGTATACTCGAGCTCACAAGGAAATGAAAGTGCGTCAAGCTCTTTAGGACCAAAAACCCTATCATTACGACATTAACATGCTTGAAACCCACTGTACGAACCTCAGCTGACTAAGTTCTACCTCAAACAGGAGGCGGTCATGTATCACACAAGAGCTGTGTGTGGTATAGCTCGTTCGAATCATTTTGTCAACCCGAGATTCAACCTGTGTCCAATTATGCATATGTGTGAGTGTATACTCTTTCATATTCAAGGCGGATATTCTCAGATACTTCGTGCGGTGTGAGTCTTGTCGACCCGTTTGCTAAAAAGGTGCAGGTGGAGGCTGGTTCACGAAGGTCGACGAGCAACGCGCAGTTCTAGAGCTTCTCGACAGTACAGAAAAAGCACATGGATGGCCCACGAAATACGTTCGAGACTCGCTCAAAGAACACTGGGATATGGATTAGAGAGTGCTTATAAGATGGCATACGAGCGACTGAGACTAATCCAGGCTCGAACTCAGGCCTACTTGTCTTCAGCCTCTCCGCAATAAACATCCATCATTGTGACCTGAACTCCCTGTCGAGATCAAACCCAGCCGTTGTCACGGTCCTTGCCACGTATGTCTTCTTGCTCAGCAAATCTTCCTCTGCGAGTATCTTCGACATGGTGAGGAAATGAGGTTCTTTCAAGTGCCGATCTGTGTCATCCATGGATGTATATCTTGTAAAGGTAGAGAAAGATAGTTAGTTACTATTTTAACTGCTCGAAGGGGAGAAACCCTGTTCCTTACGTTTCAAATAGTGCCAGTTCAGGCACATCAACGTCGATTTGCTCCGTAACCAAGAACCTGAGGGCATAGTCTTCTTTCTCATGAACCTCTCTGCATTGTGCAATGAGGAGCTCCTTGACCTGGACCGTGATTTGAGACTCTTTCCACACGCCGGTCAGGGTACCAGAGACCTACCCTCTCGACTTTCCCAAGTCTGGGTGTGAAGATTGCGATGATGTGGACTTCAGGCATTGTATTTGCTACCATAATGCGGGCTCAAAGATACACGGCCAAGGGTGAATGAGGCCAGAGAGCCCCCAAGTCACACTTTAAGGCCGGCGCTTGCATCTAGATCGCCATGAAGGAAAATTGGAAAGAAACGCGTTGTTGGGGAACTTGACTAAATTACCAGGAAGTACGAACTGGGCAGAATACGCGGCCCCTGGGTGTTCCATAATAGGATAAAGTGCTTCCCGTTCCAACTTGTAATACCTGTTTTGGTATCTATTCCTGCCCCTGCAAACTCTACTAAGTCGCTAACTTCCACCCCTCGTGGGCGCAGCAGACCCCAGGAAATTCCCCACCTCCGACGAAATAGTCTTTCGACGGTCCAAGTCAAGCATGCCTAGGTAGCGTTATTCCAACCGCTACCGCAAACGAAGGGCAGGTTATATATAAATCCGACAAGATGAGCACTCGATTCGCTTCGTCCACGGCTACTCTTTATCCTCTACCGTTCAGCGTCGACACCAGCAACACAAAATGATCAAGACATCATCAGACGTACAAGAGATGGCAGATGTCGTTCATGAGGAAAAGGTGAGTACTCTGACAACTGCTATGTGAGTTGCAGACTGCCATTCTAACACGTTAGAAAGTCATGCCCAGATGGAATCGACGTTGAACAAACAGGTGTCAAAGACGAGCTGGAACAACCATACGACGAGCCACGGATGAAGAAGCTTGTGCGCAGAGTCGACTTCCGCATCGTCCCTCTGTTGTCTTTCATGTACCTTCTCAACTACCTTGATCGAGGCAACGTGGGCAATGCGAAGGTCCTCAATCAAGAGACTGGTGACGACCTTTTGCAACAGACACACATGACTCCAAATGGCTATGCTATCACACTGAGCTTGTTCTCCGTTGCATACACTCTCTTCGAATTGCCATCAAACTGGATTATCAAGCGCTACGTCCGTCCTTCGGTGTGGCTGGGAGTACTCCTCGTGTGCTGGGGTGCCACGACGCTCGGATTTGCTGGTGTACACACTTACGCGCAAGTCATTGTTCTTCGATTCCTCATCGGCGTCTTTGAGGCTGGATTCTTTCCTGGTATGTCAATTGAAGAAGATGTTGCTTTCGCAGGCTTGAGCACGTCGCCTGGGCACTAACAGTGATAAAGGAATTGTCTACTTCACAACCTTCTGGTATTGCATCGAAGAACGCGGGCTCCGCATTGCGTTTGTGGCCGCCCATGCCAATCTTGCTGGTGCCTTCGGCGGTGTCATTGCGTACGGAGTCGGACACCTCAATGGCGCTAGTGGCTTGCAAGGCTTTCGTTGGCTATTCATCATCGAGGGAATCGTCACAGTTCTCTGTGCTCTCCTTCTGATCTTCTTTCTACCAGATTATCCCTCACGTGCCAAATGGCTCACTCAAGAGGAAAAGCAGCTCTTTGAACGAAGACTGCAACAACAAGGAGCAGGGTACACCAAAGCTCACGCTACCCGAAAAGAAATAATAGAGACTTGCTTCTCGCCAAGGATGTTGCTCCACTACCTTATCTATGTGAGCACCCGTTCTGACACTCAAGATCAAAGAGGGTCAATGAACTTAGAGTACTACAGGTCATTAACACTATTCCACTCGCATCTTTCACGTTCTACACTGCAACAATTGTCACAGGCCTGGGCTACAAGTCGCTTGAAGCACAGCTTTTGACAATTCCTCCGTGGGTGGTAGGATACCTCTGTGCGCTTTTATACTCATTTCTCGCCGACCGATTCAACGCCAGAGGATATTTCATTAGTTTTGGCTCGATATTGGGTGGCCTGGGCTGGCTGATCTCGGGCTGTCTCCCTGCCCACTCATATACCGCTCGATATGGTTGCCTTGTCCTTGCGTCCGCGGGTGCTTTCCCATGTGTTGCACCACTCAGTGCATGGATTACGGGGAACGTGCCTAGTGTCACCACGATGGCCATTGCGACAGCTTTGAACAACTCGGCTTCTGGAGTCAGTCAAATCATTGCTCAATGGATTTGGAGAGCCAATGAGGCTGAGAGGGGGTATCCTACAGGCAACTTCACTTGTGCTGCCTGTAGCTTCGCCGTGGCGACTCTGTCCATCGTCTTGAGAGTCTGGTATGCGAGGATGAATAAGGCTGGTGTTGCTGACGCAAGCGGTAGACCGAGAGTGTGGGCATATTGATATGGGATGAGCATATTGCTGGGACTATAGTGACAAGGAGAAGGCATTCAACTGAGGTTGAAGCAGGACCAAATCTGATACCACAGCCTTGAACCGAGGGCAGTTGGCTCTATAATGGATTTATCAGAGCTTCGAAAGAAGAAACAAGGCACAATTGCTGTATTCTACGTAATCTCCCTGGAGTTTTGATCATAACTGCCTCTGAGATAGGCTTTCAATGATTTCAAGATTGCAAGTAGTCGCAAAGGAATGAAAGAAAAGGATGGCTTGAGCTGGATTCTCAAGATAATGGAATTTGGAATTCTTTCTACCAAGTCCACCACGACCGAGAACCTAAAGCTCCAGAAGACACAATCCTATTGGTCACACATGCGTGATCCAAGTGACCAAGTCTGTGTCGAAACAAGATTGGGGATGGGAGCAGCTCATTTTTTATTTCGGCATCGCCACATCTTCGTGCTATAGACTGTACTCAAGGTCGTAGGCTAGGGTTTCGGTGCAGAGGGATTCTCTAAGCTGGTGGATTCTATATTGTTTTGAGCGGTCAGCAAATCCACTGTTTCATTTATTGTAGTATATGCTGATTTCGCCACAATGGGTCAATCAATTCTGATCCAGGGCACTGGTAGAGAACTGATACCACCCAGAGGGACACGGGCGTCGAGCTCGACAGGAAACTGAGGCGTAGAGATCCAAGACTTACCTCTGATGCTCTGGATGCTCGCAATAGCACTTTATCGTCTCCGGGCCATCTAAAACCGCAACTAAGCCCATATTATATCCTTGTGAACGGTGTGCCGTGCTGGAGTGTGGTGGATCAATGTCGGCTCTAATCAAACCAGGGACTTTGCCAACCATTCCTACAACTGCGTGTCGTAGTTGGTCGATATCGCTGGAGCTGACATTTGGCTTTAATTTGAAGAGCACTGGTCATTGTTAGAACGGACAACTTCAAGGATAACCGGTAGCACAGTAGAATGTTAGTGTGGCTCTCTCTAAACGTACCGATGTGGTAGACTGCCATGGCTTGACTTGTCGAGGTAATAATGATTCTTGCTCTTCTTGACTATTACTATCACTCGGGACGACCCGAGCCTCGACTTTAGGATTTGATTTCTGGCAGTGAGAGAAAACAGTGTTGGAGAAGAAAGTAGGAGAATAATAAAGGGAAGAAGGTTATGGATTGCAGTGAGCTAACCTTCTGGCGAGGTTGAAATGGAATATGTAAGTATCAGTAATGAAGATCAAACAGTTCTCGTGCTTCAGATCCTTCAGGCTCTAGCTTATGTGACCATTTTGCGCCTCAGACACCCATTCCTAGTCTGGCCATCCCAGGTAGGTACCATTCAATTTTGTCATTCACTTTCTTTGGACTGTCACTCCATCCAAGCTGTTGGTGTAGAGGACTGGGAGAAAGATAGCCCTTGTATTCGTTGCCACTGTACTAGGGAGACTATCCAAGGACGAATGTGACCGGAAAAACAAAGGGTGGAGAGTGAAGACGGCTCAAAGGGAGGTACTTTCCGATGAAATTCGTGTGGACATGTTCGAAAATACAATATGTAATATCTGTGCGGCAAGTAAGCTTGGGTAGATTAGTACGGCCCCATCCAGGTAGGTCCCACCAGAATGTACGCCATCCAATATTGTGGCAAACGGAATACCTGCCCGACATGGTAATCTCGCATGTCAACTTCTCGCGGATATTCTAAAAGGGCTAAATTTCCGTATCGTGGGGGAAAGATGCGGGATTCGGGCCATACAAAGCAGATTTGTTTGGTCCAATAAAGGCACTAACTGGAGTTTCCCAAAGTTCTTTTGGTGCTGAGCCGCGGCACAGGATTTCTTTCCGATGCCCTCGCAGATTCTCAAAGCGCTCCAGACCGTCATCCTTCCTGCTAATTGACTCTGTCTGATACCGCCGTCAAGATACAATATCACTTCATACCCTGTTACTGAAGGTTGAGTTGACTCCAACTGTCAAGTGTGAAAGCCCAAAACACCAAGAAGCGCACATTTACAAACTTACAAAAGAGCGTCGAAGATGAGTTGCCTTTCGGAAAAGTTGGCGGAGAGGGAAGCCGCTGGTATTCCAATCCAAGTTGGGGTCATCGGCGCTGGAAAATTCGGGTCTATGTTGTAAGTCTGCCGATCGTCCAGATGAGCAGAGCACAAGAAGAATATGCCCTTGGCAGAGGCCCTTGTCCAGAAAGGATTCTGCTAACTGATGGCTATGTATCGATATCAAGCATTGCTCAAGTGTACCGATCACCAGGAATGAAGCTCGCCGGTGTATGCGATCTCAACACCGCTCGCATCTACGACGCTTTTAAACGAACAAACTATCCGGAAAGCAGAACCGACATGACTGGCACGATGAGCCTGACTGAAGGGATCAAGTCCGGCAAGACAATCGTGACTACTGACTCTGCTGCCCTCATCTCCCACCGCGAGATCGATGTCATTCTTGAAATCACTGGAAGTCCAGCGGCTGGTGTGCGCCACGCGCTCCTGTGCTGCGAGCACAAAAAGCACATCGTAATGATCAACGTCGAGGCAGACGTTCTCGCAGGCCCACTCTTGGTCAGAAAAGCTAAAGAGGCGGGTATCATATACTCCATGGCATATGGTGATCAGCCTGCCCTGATCTCGGAGCTCGTCGACTGGGCCAGAACCTGTGGGTTTGAGGTGATGTGCGCCGGCAAAGGGACCAAGTATCTGCCGCAGTACAAATACTCCACACCCGACACGGTATGGGATCTATATGGTTTCACACCTGAACAGGTGGCTAGGGATAGTCTGAACCCACAAATTTTCAACTCGTTCCTCGACGGAACTAAGTCAAGCCTGGAGATGGCAGCTGTGGCGAACGGCACTGGGCTGAGCTGTCCGACTAACGGGTTGAGCTTCAGCCCTTGCGGATATCACGACATGGCAAATGTCTTGAAGCCCATCTCCGAAGGCGGGCTCAGTGAAAAGCCTGGCATGGTTGACGTTGTGTCGTCTTTGGAGCTCAACGGAAGGCAGGTGTTTAGAGATGCCAGGTTTGGTGTATACGTGGTGCTCAAAGGTAAGTCTCCTCTCACTCTTGATTTTAATCCAATACCTCATTCAGTGACTAAAATGTCTCGGATTCATAGCACCTAGTGATTACCAAAGGGAATGCTTTGAGCAATACGGCCTGGAGACAGACACGTCAGGCTACTACGCAACGCAGTACAAACCGTTCCACTTGATCGGCCTGGAAGTTGGCTTCTCAGTGGCGAGCATTATGTGTCGCGGTGAACCAACAGGACAGACCAAGACATTTGCAGGTGATGTGATTGCTACTGCAAAGCGGGACCTCCAGGTCGGCGAAGCGCTAGACGGTGAAGGCGGGTTTACCGTAGTTGGTAAGTTGATGCCTGCAGAAGTATCTTTGGAAATGGGAGGTCTACCAATCGGACTGGCCCACCGTCTGAGGCTTAAGAGAGATATAAAGAAAGATCAAAGTCTCAGCTGGGACGACGTTGAGTTTTCAGAAACATCGCAGGTCGTGGCTGTTAGAAGAGAAATGGAGGCTATCTTCCGCGAAGAGTTTGCGGCCGAGAAGCTGAAACAAAAAAGGACCTCGAATCGAATATCAAACGGCGTTTCGGTTGATTTTCGAAATGGGGTGATACAAGTCTAACACTGGCGCGCAAAAGCTATTGAGTGTCCAGAAACGTACATGACGCACGAATATAAATGGCTTGACTTGTCCTAACCACGTGTTAAGAGCACGCACCTAGCAGAAATTATGATTCATTAAATTTCACAGCATTCCACCAGAAATGGGAAGAACATCTTTTTTCTTTTTGACAAAGAGGCGAGAATTGAGGCCTGATTCCTGCGAAGTGGTCAAGGCGAGCTCCCACGGAAGATCAAAGCTTAGAAACCCGAAAACAGGTAAACATTGTGGTATCGGGCGAAAATACCCGACTTGGATTATAGCGGGACCTTTTTAACTGGTCTCCTAGATTTTTCCATATCCGTATGACATTTGATAATGCTAGCTTGTTAAAAGCTTTGTGATATACTCAGAGAGAGTAAGATGGAAATTTCCTGCCAATATGCTAGCTGTTCTGATTGTTTCCAGCCCTCAATTTCACTGAGTACATGAATACTTGGCAATCACTTGATCTATGCAAGCAGTTCCTGCAAGTTCCTACTTCTCAAGTAGTCCTCAAAGCTCATGACTGGAGGCGGTGGGTTCCTCAGTCCGCTTGGCTCGATATAGTCTGTCACCTCACACATGTAAGGAAACTCGGCCAAATAAGCACCACCATCGACCACCTCTTCCTTTAAGCCTGTCATACGGCAGAGTAGCTCCACAGTGACCTCCACAAAATAGGCCTTTCGCCCTGTCACCTTCTCCCAAGTTTTCATACCCTCTTCGAGCCCAATCCACCAATCGACCGCCAAAAGTTTTGTACCTGCTGGTTCATCCTCCACGAGACAACGTACATACCCACCCGTGGACATGTGTGGTATGAAAACCGGAATTTTCCTCGACATTTTTGCTGGAAGAACCATGAGATATTGCCCACCTTCAGACGCCTTCTTTGCTTGGGGTTTTTCGTGGGGCGCAGGAGGGTTGGGCAAGCACCGAACAAGAAACGGGAGTTTTGAGACAAGCCACACGATCCACGGTGTTCCGAAAGGCACCCTGTGCGGGTACAACAAAGGATTGTCGGAATACGAAGACGCGTAGATGTAACTTGCTTTGGCCGCGAGTTGGGGCAGATCAGTCGAGATGTATGCGACGACCACGCCCTTAGTTTCAAAATGGTGGCAGCGAGCGTACTTGCCACCAGAAGCGACCTTCATCGAGCCGAAGGCAGAGTATACGAATCTCTCGAGTTCAGGTATCTGTGCGGCTGCTGTGGCTGCGTTTTTGCCCCAGGTAATCTCGCTGTTGTACGCCAGTTGCGAGGCCTCATCGTCGCTCTTCCCGGCGGCCAGAGCACCACGATACACTTCCCAATAGTTTGTGTTCACGAAGACGGCGTGAGCCGATGCGAAACCTGAGATAAGGCTCGGTACTGAGGAGAGGTCGGCTTGGACGATTTCCGCCCCGAGAGCAGCAAGGCCTCTTGTTGACAATCAGCACCCAATCACACCAGACAATGTATGGAAATTCGACTGAGGGTATGTTTTCGACATGAACTGAACATGATGGGAGATTGGTGGATGGTACATGTACTAACTTGGCAGCTTCGGACGAAGGTTTCCGCGTGAGACAGCGAACGTGCCACCGTGAAGACTGGGCAGCGGAGAGGAAAGACTTTGCGACACTACCGCCTTGTTTTCCCGTTGCGCCTACAATGGCGATGGTTTTCTTATCGATCGCTGGCATTGTTCGCTGCAACAATTTACTTCAACAATTCACACCGATAACAAGACTCCTGGGTTGGTAGCAAGCTACTCATGGTGTTTGGATATGGACGCCCCAAGCACAGGGGTTTTGTACTTCCTGCATGCTTACACTTTCTGGAAGCCCTGTGGTGAAGTTGTCCCGAATCTTCCTGTTCCACTTTGGGGCCTGAATTCCGATTGGGCAAAAGCGGTAAGCAGGGAAGGAAGAATGGGCGACAAGGGAGTGGCGAGAGTTTGTCGTCGAGCTTGGCTACAGAGGCTGGGTGGAGGCGGCTTAATTCGACACCGTCTCCGAAATTCGACCATCGATGACCTGCGCAATGCACATAACTTTTCGCTTTTCATTCACCGACCGGTAAGAAGGAATCCGACGGAAGGCCAGTCTCAGTTCTTGAAACCCGGTATGTGCTGTAAGGACTCAGCCTCTGCACCCCGCTGCAAGGATGCGGCCAGAGACAAGGAGCGACACAAAAGCGCCATTACAGAGGCACGGCGCCTGCAGAACCGGCGGGCACAAAGAGCCTTTCGTAAGTTCTTTTTCGACGAATGGTATTCGACCCTGATCTTTTCTAAGGAGAGCGGCAAAGGGCGAAGAACCGATCCCTGCCCAGTACCACGCTTAAGTTACTTGCACCTTATCCGTGTCAAGTCAAAGGGGGCGTCACTATAAGGTCTTTCAAGACTGAGACCTCGGATCGACCCCAAAGTGTCACCGGCCCGGAGACCCTCACGTTGAGCTGCCCATATCAGGAAGTTAGATGTGCAGTGCAAGATCAACAAAGACCAAGCTCCCGCGGCGACAAGAACGCGCCGTTCACATTCTCTTCCCCCCAGACCTTGCTCCCTATTCATCAATCTTTCGTCCCAAAACATAAGACGCCCTTCTCAGAGCTCTTGGACTTTGTGAGAAATCGCCCAATAGCTGCACTCTGGCCACATGGGGTCACCGCTACCCTAGCCGCTTGCTTATTCAACGCTCGCGCGCTCGGTATCGACATCGACCGGATCATGGATCCACAATACATGTCGCCATTTTATCGAGCCTCGCTCTCACCAATACTTCTCGCAGGGTCATCAGTTCAGCTGGAAAGCCACGACAGTGTCACGAATCCACAGGTAGCCAGTCCCATTCTTCTAAGACCATGCTCCGCACAAGTCGTTTTTCCTCACCACGTCTGCCTCGATATGCTGCCGTTGCCAGCACTAAGGGAGACCGCCGTGATGTGTTATGTCCGTGCTCAACAGGGAGGAGTTGATGGAGTAGCAAGAGGGCTCAGCAGACTTCAAGAGTTCAAGAAGGACGTCTACATCATGCAAGGCGTTAGATTCCGCGGCATGGGCGAGCTATTAGAAGGCGAGTATATCATGTACGACGAAAGTGAACGACACTGTGGCCACCCTTGGGAAAGTGGCAGTTGGGCTGTGGCACCATGGTTTGTGAGGAAATGGACCTACGGATAAGATAGCTGGGTACGATAAGCCCGCAGACGACTCAAACAACGCCAAGCCCTATTCGCCCTCTGGGATGACCTTGACGACCAGGAGTGGCACCGAAGAGAAAATTAAGACTGATCACAATGTCAAAGTTCTTGAATCCCACTGACGCCTCCAAGATCAGGGTGGATTGGTTATCCACGCAGAGCCAACGGGGCCCAATGCAAACGATCTTCAGATGGAGGCTTTTCACACTCAACGTGGACAACACGACGGGGGAGAAGCACTGGCTGGTTTCGGACCGGCGCTGTTTATACTGGGTAATTACCATGCCACTGACGGGTTTGACGGTGGTCCGCTGGTGGTACGGCCAACGTAAGAGGAGAAACGCGAAAAAGCGAGACAGCCAAGTTGGAAATTTGCAGGGGCGTAGACTTTTGGATACAAAGCCTCAATAGTACCATGTATGTAAAAGACTGAAAGGACTGAGATATTTGATACTGGTTGAGGGGTCAATGTACGCGCCACTCAAGCTCATGCACTGAGGTGCTGTGTTAATTATTTTGCTTCAATCGCTAGTTCTATGATAAATCTAATCAACGGTGTAATCCTGGATTATTCTGGTTGGCAGGGTCCTAAATTCATTATTGGTGTTTCTTGTTTGTTTGGAACGAGCTTTGTCCTCGTTGGAACACTTAGAGGAATTGGCTTCAAACTACTTGTTCGATTCCAGTTATCAGTATCACCCCTCTACGCTGTAGTCATATCAGAGCCGTGAGGTCAACAATGACACAGCGAAAGACGAGTGTGTTGTCGGACTTTGGAGGTTGTTGGGCACGAGGCTTTAGCCTTGAGTTTCTCGGGGTAAGAGAGCGGCGCAGGTCTAAAACTGTCTCATAGTGAGTCAGGATTCGCTCCTGGCGATGCATTTGATACTCTGTATACGCTTAATGGTGCTCGTACAGTTGTTGCTTCTAGGAGGGCTGACACTATTACACACTTTTTACGACCGCTTTCTACGAAACCACAGAAGACTATCGTCCCCAGGGATCACTTGGCTGCATTCACGAAGGCTGACGCTCCAGCTTCAAAAGTAGTATATATCGAACAGCTGTACCCATGCTGACATTGGGAACATCTCAGGTGGCTTTAGGGAACCTCACCACATCGTCTTTCCACCATCGACTACTAAATCGTGAGCTGTGATATATTTGCTTGCATCACTGGCAAGGAAAATGCACGCTCCCATCATGTCCTCAGGGCTGCCGACACGGCCAAGCATTGTCTCCTTCTTCCACGACTCTAAGAGATCTGGATATGGTGCAGTCATCGGGGTTCGCACATAGCCAGGTGAGATGGCATTGACGCGGATTCCCTGCATTTCGGTCAGCGGAATCAAACTTCTTTATATGGGAAGCTTATAAACAAGCCCGCGCATATGAAATGCTTTATCCGTACGTGGGAGCCCAACTCTTTTGCAATGGCAGGCAAGAGTCCCAGCACAGCGCCTTTCGTGCCGGAGTATGCGGAATGATTCGAGGCCTTCACTGAATTTCGCCCAGCAATACTGCCAATTAATATGATGCTGGGGCTTGTAGCCTTGCTCTTAATCATCAAAGCCGCAGCCAGTTGTGCGGTGTGATACAATCCAAGTACATTGACTTCGAGCAAGCGCTGATGAGCGTCCCATGGCATCTCGAGAAAATCCGCAACTTTGTTGATGCCGGCGTTGCATACACAAATATGCAGTATTCCGAACTCGGCTTCAACCTTGGAAAAGGCGGCTTTTAGAGATTCCTTCGAAGAAACGTCCGCACTGATACAACAATTATCGTCAGTTTGACTGAAATCAGAAACGACGAAGAAATTTAGCAAGGCTGAAGGAAATTTGGATAAGGATCTACACATAGTAGGCGATCGTCACGCCAAGTCTTGAGTACTTCGCCTTCAGATCAAGCAATGCCTGGCTCGGTGAAGCTGCATTGATGTCGAAGACCAAAACATCAGCTCCAGCTGCTGCAAGGGCCTCTACATAACCGAGTCCCATGCCACTATCTCCTCCGGTTACCAGAGCTGTCCGCCCCTTCACCGAGAACTAGAACAGCTTGAAGTTAGCCACACAAGCCCATTTGCAATTTGAAGTACTTTGTCCTTCATTGACGAACACACCACTTACATTCGCCATATTGATTGGTGTTCCGAACTGGATCGGGTATTCGATGAGCAGAGCACAAGGCCAGACAAACGATGGTCTTCAGTTCGCCTATTCAACGTTTCAATCTAGATTCAATAGCTGACTGCATTCATGTGAGACAAACAGCGTCGTTCTAATACCAGCAGAGCCGAGTCGCAGCAGTGGGCAAAATGACCCTGGCTGCGCCGGCATTGCAACATACCAAACTTTGGTGCTCGCGCGCGCGGCCCGTTTCCCACGGCCAGCACGGCATTTATTTGAGCTGGGACAATCATCCTCGCTGTCCGATGCGGCCGGGTCAATGCATTTGGGAAAGTTCAAGAAAGAAGGCCTGGAGCGGCGTTAGCGAAATGCTCGAAATTCTGTAGAAGTGTCCCATCCAAATCGTCAGACTACAAAATACTCATGGAAGATGTGCCCGTTGTAAGTTTGCGGAAGGCATTTTCATATCCCGTCTACACCTAATGATGGAATCGAGAACAATACGACTGTTATACTAACTATACTGCTCAATTGAAATATATACTGTGGTATTTTTTTCGATCTGAAAGGACATTATTTTGGCAAGGTGAATGCGAACCTATGATCAGATTCGTGGTGGAAGCTCAACCTTAGAGGCATTTCCGGACTGCCGCTCGTACTGCTCCAATTCCCGTGATGCTGACACGGCTCCACCAGTTCAAAAAGCTTCAGCCACATCCTCCTTGTGTACCGTGCCCTTCTCACTTTTAATGACAATCTCAGTAGTGATGGTCCCATCGGCAGCTTGCTGGTCGAGTTGGACTTGGCTGTGGTCGACATGAATATCTCTAGCATGGACGGCTACGTCTTCACCAAAGATCTCGGCCAGCTCCTCGAGAGCAATACCCTTGGTTTCGGGCACGAAAAAGTAGACGTAAAGAATGCCACAGAAAGTCACGGCGATAAAAAGCTTGAATAAAGAGTCAATATATATCGCCCGTCGAAATGAGGCATAGAGAACTCACCAAGAAGAATTTCCAGCGGACATTTCTCAGTCCTGTGGGTGCGGCTTGAAGGTAGACCAAGTTGGTCAAGGTGGTTGACACAAAGGCAATAGTCGCGCCGCGTCCTCGAAGGTGGTTGGGGAAGATTTCCCCCACAATGATGAAGACGCACACGTCCCCGGCAAGAGCATAGGAAGCATTGAATAGGAAGAACATAGCAACGGCCGTTGCCAAGCCGGCGGCATTTGTTCCGTCTCCTGCGTATAAAGCAACCATAGCAGTATGAATGGAAAGCCATGTCATACAGAGACCGAGGCCGATCATGAGAAGTGGACGCCGTCCAAAATAGTCGGCGGCAATAGAGCCGATAACGTTGAAGATGGGCGAGACGGTGATCCAGCCTGCCTGGAAACACAGTTGGGAGTAGACACCGTAACCGAGGGAGGTGAGGACTTGTTGGCCCTGATTGTTATTAGCAACGACAGCTTCAGGGACACGTCTCGAACTTACAAAGTTCTGAACGACTAGATTCCCTGTACTCTGAGCGAAAAATGCCAATGCGCAGGTAATGATGCATCGCCTGCGGACCGAAGGCTTGAAGAGGAAAAGACTCCAAGAAGCGTCCTGCTCCATGTCCATCTGAGCTTGTCTCTCCATCTGAAAAAATTCGGCTCGAGCAAAGTCTGAGTGGCCATGTTGTCCGTGTTGGCTCATAACAATGGCCAAAGCTTCGTCTCGCCGGCCCTGCATAAGCCTGTAGCGTGGAGACTCGGGCACCCACAGATAGATGATGCCACAGATTAGGGGAATGATGGCACCGAGCCCTAGAGGAACGCGCCATTGGACAGCATCATTTGTCGACCAAAAGGCCACTCCCATGTACGATGAGAGGGCGAAACCAAACGCACAGGTAGCTCCGCACATACCCACGTAGATGCCACGCATGGCAGCCGGGGCAAGTTCAGCGATATATGCAGACAGAACCGGCATAAAGCCGTATCCCGCCATACCGACAAAGAAGCGAACTGTAAGGAACATGGTTATGCTGACAGAGCCGGCTAGAATAGCTTGCGAGATCACCGCAAGGATGGCACATATGATAATGCTCCATTTGCGACCAATATGGTCTGCCATGAGCCCGAAGACAATGACGCCCAAGATCCCACCACCCTAATTCAGCTACTTAGCCATGACATGTTCTCGATACACCAAACATGGCGGCAATAACTTACTTGGAAAATACTGTTCATGGCGCCGAGTTTTGCGGCCGATCCTGGCGTGCTTGTTCCATTCGCGTCAATCAATTTCATGTAGGTCAAAAAGGAAGTTTTGGTCGTTGTAGTAGCGATGATCCCTGCAAAATAGCCCCAGGTCAGGAGCGCCATTGCGAGAGAACTGCATGTGAGGAAGTTCTTCCAGTTGAGACCCTGCCTCCATCCGGTAATCAGACTAGTATTTTCAACAGCCATGATTGAGCCGCGATCTCATATAATTTCCAGCTGGACGACTCTTGTGTAAAGAAGATAGTGGCCCTCTGACCGGCATTGATGGGGGGAATACTGACTCTTATACTAGTTCAGCTCAATCCAGCTTCAGCTAATTATGGGCATTCAACGATGTCTCTTGGTCGTGGCTAAGGTGTGGGGTGTGGGGTATGGGTCAATATCTGGGGTTGTCCTGTATCTAGATTGGTCTCCGCCCTTATTAGGAGCCTGGAGAACTTTGTGTCACTGGTCCGAACTCCCTTCTACGTGGGCACATGAGTGGTTCACATTTCGATGAGAACGAAGTGCGCCTTGGGACAATACGGGATGTGCAATGCCGGATGTAAGTGCACTGGCACGGCATTGCCAAGGCCGACCGTTTGGCAGAAGCTACTTTTAACTCCTGTCTACGGCGGTGCCAACGCCGGAACCCGCTTGTAGTCGCTACCTCCGTATGATGTCCACTTCCGGGTTCAGCTTCATATGGGACTAGGACTGTGGGCTAAAACAAGGGGGTGTTAGGATTCACTTGGTAGTGTCGCACCAGAGACGAGTTTGCGGCGAAAGGTCGCCGGCCATATCCGGGCAGTCCCCTCGGCAATAAGCTTTCACTTACCCTTAATCCTGCGTTACTTGCATCCTAGATACACGGCAGAGTAGACTTCAAAAAGCATCTTTCGAAGACCCAGAACTTTTGAGAAATATACTGTATGCTCCGTTCCCAATCAAGTGGAGCCTTACGTCTGTGACCGACCAAAGGCAGTTACAAGGTACACTTTCCGCCCTCCGAGCACTTCGTGGTTGAAGAACGCCTCGTAACTCCTGGAGATGTTTTCGAGCTTGTCTGAAGAAGAAGGCTCAGTTAAGGACACCAAAGACACATAGTTGGATATTAAAGAGCGGGCGAGAGCGGTAAGCTCATACTTATCTTCGTGTGTAAACATGTACGGCGGGTCGTATTTGGCTTGCACAACAATGTCTAAAAGGAATGGGAAACATTAGAAGATTCACATAGCAGCAGTTAGTGCCTTCTGTTGTTTCGGGCGTAGTGGTGCTTTCTTCTCTTCATATCGTCTCCTGCCTTATTATGGTAGAGGGATATGCGCATTGTACCTTTTCGGCATCGAGCTGCCCTCCGCGCAGGGTGAAAGCTTTTCCATCAACATTCCAATTGGGAAATTGCTAGTCGTAAAGAAGAAGTCGCGAATTAGGGCAATATATCGCCCTTCCGCATTACCTTGATCACCGCGCTGACGGTATCCAAGCTGTCGCCCTCCACATCCCGTGCTCTCATGGTGGCGTGAGCGGCCGAGTTCGTGCTCCTGAAACCGCTGGCTTCGACACCGCGGTCAAGGCCGTGTGGCTCAACAGAAAGAATGTATTTGACAGGATCAGGGTGCTCGTTCAACATTGACGGGTATCATGCTAAATGACTTGGCGATTTCGAGTCGGTTCGCGGCTTTGTCGTCTGCGTAGACCTTGTGGGCTCCACGGAGCTTGGCTAAAGATTGGATTGAGAGGCCGACTGCACCACAGGCACAGACGCCCCTGACGTCGCCTTCTCCCACTTCTGCCAGCTCGCGGCCTTGCCATGCAGTAGGTGTGACATCCGCAAGACCAAACAGTTTCTTAGCGTCTACATTCTTCGGAGGCTTGACACACGTAAGATCTGCATTTGGGACGCGACAGTATTCAGCCTGATCGCCAGGATATCCACCAGTGATCATGAAATAGCCAAAGATTCCCGATAAGCGATGCCCATACATCTGCTCCAACTCTTTAGACGGGTGGGTCCGGTCGTAGAGAGAAAACTCTTTGCGCTTGCGGTAGACGCAGTCTCCACACGCAATGACCGGCAAAATGATCACAGAGTCTCCTGCATTCAAGTTCATGACTTCAAGCCCAACTTCCTCGACGATGCCGATGGACTCGTGCCACATGACCCTGTGCTGACGTCGCCGAAGAGAGCTTTTTCTAAGCCTGTTGATCTCACACTTATCATGCGCGGGAGAAGAAGTTATGTCAAAAGGAAAAGCCTGTGTCGATCCGGTCCGCATAACCGCAGTACGGAAGAAGGTTACCGGACGATGAAGGCTGCCACAGATCAGTCAGGAGATCAGGCTTATTTGAGAGATACGGTGTGAGCGCTGTGAAGAGAGAGGCAATACAATATTTCCAATAGGATCAGTGGAGGGAGACGGTCTCCGGATCTGCGATGCGCTTTTGCTGGTTTGAGGACACTCGTGGGAGGCTTCTTAATAGCCGGCCAAATTAAATATTATGTCCTTCTCTGGTTGGGCGCGGTCGTACCAGCTATGTCATAGGGAGAGCAACGAAGTAGGAGAACAAACCCTACCGGTGTCGACAGTATGAACGAACTCCAAGTACTGCTAGCCATCTCCCGAGGTTCTGTAGATGCGAAAGCGACGAGCCGAAGGAGTATATGGACCACTACACTAGTAGCTATCTTCTAGAAAACGAGTTGACCAAGGCGCAGATGAGAGAACTACGATAAGTAGGTACGAATTAGTCATAGGATTAATCGACTCGACGTACACAAAACAGCTCCCGTAGCACCGGTGCCGCCGTAGAATTACAAGCTTTGGGCCGTGTACAACATCATTTCTTATTTGGTTTTGCTAATTTCAATAACCAGCTTTCCAAAGCGTTTTCATCGATTTTGGTCAGCCATGAAACTGTCTGAGTCCTTGCTCTCTCAGAAAGCTCTTCATACCAATTCTTATCCATCATTAGCTTCGTCAACGCCGCTTTCCATGGCTCAATATCTTGCTCCGGAATGACGTATTCGCCTCCCGCAGTTCTCTCACCTGTGATTGAATTGACGTGTATAATGTCTGGAACTTGAAGTTTGGCCTCCGGAATTGCTCCTGCGTCCGACGATATCACAGGAATGCCCCTTAGTTGTGCCTCTACCACAACTATACCCCAAGCTTCGAGCCAAAGCGATGGTACAAGTAGCAACTTTATCTCAGACCATATTTTCTCCATATTACCAGTGGTTGGGCGAAGGCTGTGATTGAAACTTGTTAGCAAGAGTATCGTTCTCATATATGGAAGGAGAAACAACTTACTCAACGTTTACTAACTGTCGCAGCTCTTCCTCCACCTTGGGATCGGTGCCCCAGCTAGACAACGCCACGAATTTGAATTCTGGACAGCGTTTAGCCAAGTCGTGGAATATCGAATAACCCTTCACAGCACAAGGGTTTACAAATCCGATCGCCGCTTTGCCCCAGTTCTCCCTTCTAGTTGGCAACCCATGTGTCTTTCTGTCAAGGTAGGTCCACGGATGATGAACATGGAACGTGGTTTCAATTTGCCCGTATTTCTGCGCGTAGCTTTTGATGGCTTCGGATACAGACCAAATACCATCGACTCCTTGCATTAACTTGTGTTCACCGACGGAGTATGACGAGCCTGGGATGCCACCGGCGAAAGGCCCGAAAGGAAGCTGCTCAGCTGTATGCGCAATCAAGATTCGTGATACGTCGCGAAGGGAGGGCATTATTGACGTTGCCTTCAACATCAAGCCATCGTTGAATAAGACATGTGTTGGTTCGAAGCGGCATATGTGCATGTCCAAGAAGAGAAGAAACACTTGGATTCGAACGCTGGCTTGATCTTCCTGCGTAAAAGTTAGGTTCGCTGCTCTCTCTTGCGACAAAAGGCATCGTACCTCGATTAATCTGGCAGTGTCGCGGGCCAAAACTTTGTCAGGAAGAGCTTCGCTGAAGTCGGAAGCATTGATAGCAATATTCTTTACTCCATCATCATCGGTGAATGTGTAAGTCCTTAAGTGGACCTCAGAACCTTCATCCACTGGCATCGATACAACCCGAGTTTCGAGGTCCGGTTTGCGGCCAATTGCAATCATTTCGTCACAGTAGGCCTCGATGTCGCTGTCCCACACATAGCAAAGTTGCGCTGCAGTATGTTTACGATGAGCCAGATACTTTAATAATGACTGGTTCACTTTGTAACCACCAGATGAGCTTGAGAGGCCCTTCGCAGTCTGGAAGAGGAAAACACGCATTGCTCCGAAAGTGATAATACTTGATGATTGATGTGCCCAGTAAGCCAGAAAAGGGTCTTCTCTATGTTGCTTGTCCGGATTGAATGAATTAATTAGAGCATTCGATGTTAGAGGGGCGAGGGGTTTCTATACATCTTTTGGGGGTTTACGTTCGTCCTCGAGTTCGGTACCTCCCAGTCTACTGACCGGGGCGGAGTGTGTGTTGCGACATGTTGGAATAATCTCCGCGGTGCAGGAAATCTATCCCGGTTAGACTCGCATCTAGAGTAACCCCCAATATCGCCAATCAGGACTGCCATAGTTGACAGCTCCGGTAACGATAGGCCGGAAGTACAATCCCGTATCATACTTGTCGCTTGGGGATGGGCAGGATAGCATTCCAACATCTCAGCGGGTTCATTGGGCTCTGTGGACGCGAAATTAGCCGCTGATGCAGTGTCTTCGGATCCTCCATCCGCGAAATGCGAAAGAGGTTGTTGCGTCCAAGATGATGAATTTCCTATATCCTTCTTAACCTTCATGATCCGTAAGTCCAAGATTGGTGAATGCTTACTATACATCATCCACAATAACGTATCATATCCTCTGGAAAATGTGCTGTATTTGAGGACAATCAGAAAACTAAGAATTCGGGAAAATACCCCCGGAAAGTCAAACCTAACTTCAGCATAGCTCTCTTCCACCTCTCTATATGACATCATATTAGCACCAGTTCTCGCATTCCATCTGCCAAATCCCAGCAATTTTTTGACAGGGCTCATTTCTTAGATCTTGCGACTTCTATCTCACGAGAAAGCCTGACTGTTACACCCCTGAACTATTCCGAATGGAAGGGTGTCCTCCGCAGCAATGACGAGCCAGACAAGGTTGAGGTCGAAAAGCCTTCACACTGCTGACCGATGGTAGGTAATCTCCAAGCGAGTGGCGCGGCACGTTGAGCGGAAATATGCGCTCACTATGCGGCTGGCTAGATTTCCCCTTACCAGCGAACCGAAGAGCCATGTACCAAGGGTGGTTGAGACTCCCAGACATCGATGACTCAACTTGGCCGTGCGATGTTAGGCAGTTGTGCCCAAGATCTCGAAAAGGTCTTCCAGCGAGTCCTTGTTTTCCAGGTCCTGCACAAACAGCCACAACCTTTGCACGCTAGCCTCACTCAACGCTTTCCCTGCCAACGTGCGGAACTTGCTCTCGATGTCTCCTGGACGTGGCGGATTCTCTGCCGAGCCGCGTCGGTACAGTTCCAGCCTGTTGAATGACCGACCGTCTCTTGTCGTGACAGAGATCGAACTTGCGTGGCGAAATGCACGGCCCATCTTCTCGATCTCTGGGTCAATGTGGGCGTCCATCCGAGAAATCAATTCGAGCACTTTGGCATCCCGCAAGCGTTGCTCGTTGAATTGGTTGAACCCAGCATCGCCATCGAGCGCGATCACGGCCAGACCATAAAACAGGTTCATCTGGGCGGCGGTGACGCCGTCGGGCTTATATTTCCAGGCGCAGTGGTGGGAGGTGACTTTGGTGCAACCGATACTGACCTTGTCAATGTCCTCGGCGGTAAGGTGATTCTCATTCATGATGGCACGCAGACCGTCAAGTGCGGTGTGGATGCTTGCCACGGTTGGGAAAGGTTTGTAGCCAACCTTGAGAGTTTCCCATGTGGTTCCAAGGCCTTCAAGAAGCCGATTGGGAATGGGATTGCTGCTAAAGGTGCTCAGAAACCCGCCGAACGAAGCTTCGAGCACATTATGGATACCGGTGAAGCCCTTCCGGGCCAGGAGAGCCCCGTACACGCCATTCTGGGCTGCCAGACCCGAGTTCATCCTTTTGACCATTGCACCTTCTTGCGCAGACATCAGCCCTGCCGCGCTCGTGCCGGCTGTCCCCAATGCGTGTTGGGTCTTTTCAGCGTCCAGCCCAAGGATCCGAGCCGCTGCGGTGGCGGCGGTGAAGACTCCGGTGCTGCCCTGAGGGTGGTGACCACGATAAAAGAGTCCCGAGCTCGCTGCCATGCCGACCCTCAGCCCAACTTCGTATGCGGCAACAGTTGCGGTGATGAGGTCGCGCCCGCTACAGCCACCTTCGGATTCAGCAAGGGCCAGGGCAACCGGAAGGATGATGGAGCCGGGATGATGTCCACCGTCGCTGTGGATCTCGTCGTACTCGAAGCCATGGCCCCCAGTAGAATTTGCCAGGGCGGCCAGAGCAGCGGACGTCTTGATGTTGCGACCCATGATGGTGGAACACGGCCTAGCCCCTGCTTCGACAGCCATTTCTGCCACCATCTGAGCCCATTGTGTTTGGTTGCCAAAGACAATGACGCCCAGATTGTCTATGATGAGTTCCTTGACCTTACTGACCACGTCAGCGGGTATTTTGTCATAGCTGAGCGAGGATGAAAAGACGGCCAGGTCACGTGTAGCTCCTGGCAGGAGGTCTGGAGCATCCAGTTGAAGCGCATCAGCCATTCTGGAGGGTGACTACGTTCAGGTGAAATGAAGCTCTGGAGTGCCAGGGTTGATGAAAAGCCGGGGTGGGACAATTGCCTTCCACAAAAGTGCTTTGATGCTCAAGACGTAGATTTTCTAGGTGACCACTCCCAAGAATGAGCTTCCGACGTCGGAATACGACGCCTGAACCGGCGCACCTGCGATTTTGTTCATGGTAGACGAATTTTCGACCAAGGCCGGACTTTGAGCCAATATTCGGACCTGGACCGAGGTTACGAGCAGAATAGGAGATCGGACTTGAGTTGATTTTCGGACTTGAGGCGACTCCTCCTGGGATCGAGCTGAAGGATGCCACTGGACATGGTGGAAAACGGCAACCACGCCAAGCGATGCGGCAATCTGCAAACTCCCGATCCATCCAAGCCTCGCTTCCCCAGAAAACTCTAAGTTGCGGGTTCTCCAATCATCAGGACAATACCCCGGAATACTCCATGCATACGCCATGCACGCCATGCATACGCCATGAATACGCCATGAATACGCTATGTCCGACCGTCGTCCAAGCCTCGCTTCCCCAGAAAACTCTAAGCTTCGGGTTCTCCAATCATCAGGACGATGCCCCGGAATACGCCATGAATACGCCATGAATACGCCATGTCCGACCGTCGGAAACGGGTCGAGATTGCTGAACAGCATGCAAACCGCTGTGGCGGATGCCGAATGAAAGCCAGGAAAGCCTTGTCCAGCATGGCCATCTCGAGGCTCAAAAGGAGCAACAAATCCTGCTGGATGTGGGATGGTGGAACCCGACACTCATGACCTACAGCCCTCTCTAACATACAAACTAATCCAGATCAACAGGAGATATCCAGAGCCGAGAACATGTCAAAAAGCCCAGAACTTCGATCGCAAATCGACGTGGCGCATGAAAAAAGCCTCGAGCCGGGCAACGGCGGGCACGACGACAATCTCGAACTCCATCTTCACGACGTTGGGGCCAAGTATGCCACGACTGCAGACGAGACGGAATTCACCACGGCCGCACAACGACGATATCTTCGCCGCATCGACATGCTCCTCATGCCCATTCTCTTCATATCCTGGGGCTTACAATATGCGGACAAGAGCATCCTTAACAGCGCCGCTCAGTTTGGCATCGTTGAGGATCTGGACCTGGCGACAGTAGTCATGGTCGATGGCAAGCCTACCGCCAGCTTGAAGAAGTTCTCGTACGCGGTGATGCTGTTTTATTGGGGCTACTTTACGGGAGGTGAGATACGAAACAAGCTGCTGTTCTTCTCGGTCATGATATCCAATGCTGACGCCCGAGAATCAGTACTGCCTGCTACCTATCTGGCGCAACGAATCCCAATCGGCAAGTTCGTGGGAGTGTCAATCGTGGTTTGGGGCCTTGTGACCATGTCAACCGCTCTTGTATCGTCCTACTCGGGGCTCATGGTCAACAGGTGCGTTGAGAGATCCCACTGTTGCCCACACGACGAATCTCACATTGATATTGATGAACAGATTCTTTCTGGGTGTGAGTGAATGTACGCCAGCACCAGCCTTCTCCCTTATCACGGCCATGTGGTATACTCGCGAGGAACAACCTCTCCGTATTGCCATCTGGTACTCGGCTTCTGGCATGGGTAGCCTTCTGGCTGGCATCGCGTTTTATGGCATCGGTCATATCCATGGATCTCTTCACCCTTGGAAGTATCAGTACCTCATTCTCGGAGGGGTCACGGTCCTCTGGGGCATAGTAGTGGTGTGCTTCCTCCCAGACAACCCAATGAAGGCGCGATTCCTCACCGAAGACGAGCGTGTGCTCGCCGTCAAACGCATACGCGCCAGCCAAACCGGGATCGAGAATTCGGTGTTCAAGCACTATCAGTTCAAGGAAGCTTTGCTCGATCCCAAAACCTGGCTTTTGGTCCTTACGGCTTTCACCATCACCTTGGTCAACGGCGCCCTTTCCGGCTTTGGGTCGATCCTTATCCGCAGCTTCGGCTTTTCGGCATTCCCTTCGGTCTTGCTCAGCGGAAGCGCTGGAGCCGTGGTGGTCGTATCTTTGTTGACCTTTGGGTACGTGACACCTGTTTCTTGCTTGCCGCGGGGCCCATCAAGTAAACTAACCCGAATGGCGTTCCCCAGAACCATCGCACTCTACTGCCGCAACCAGCGCATCAACATCTTCATCGTCACCTCCCTGCTGGTGATTGCCGGCTGTGTCATGATCTGGAAATCTAGCTGGAAGAATCTCGGCGTGCCCCTTGGGGGGTTCTACCTGCTGAGCTTCTTCGCCGTCGCCTACGTGATGCTCCTGTCGCTCATGACGGCCAATACCGCTGGCCACACCAAGAAAGCCACCACGTCGGGCCTCGTCTGGGCCAGCACGGTCGTCTCCAACGCCGTGGGTCCCTTGCTGGTGAAAACGACCGAAGCCTCAGAACATTACCCGAGTCTGGTGGAGCCGATCCTGGCGGTGCTCGCGCTCTCGGTGGGCATGATGGGCGCGCTGCGGGCGTATGTGTACATGCAGAACAAGGCTCGAGACGCGAAAGGGACGGTGACAGAAAGTGACTTGTCCGAGACAGCGTTTGCAGATATGACAGACCGTGAGAACCCGAATTTCAGATACTCTTGGTAGTCTACGGATTGAGTTGGTAACACACGAGGGTAGGGTTCTCAAAGCCTACCAAGGCTCTATGAGGTCCACAGGCAAGGCAGGCTATGCTGTCGGAGTAATGAATTGCCCCTTCCGTAGTGCGGCAGCCGCCAATAACAGAATTAAGCGCACAACTATTTCAAACAAGAGGGATGTAGGAGTGTTGTAGTGTAAAGAACTCATAGTTTATGATAGGTAGCTAGCTCAACATCGAGCTCACCCTAGTACTAATCGGGTAAGTCTCCATAAAGGGTTATATTCTTAAGCGACTCGGAATGTCTTAGGAGAGCGAATAGAGCGCGAATTCATATAGAGCGCGACATTAGTTATTGTTACGAACAGGCTAAAGAGTGGCCGTAGAAGGAAACTTAGAGAGGAGGTTTACCGAAGGAGTAACGACACAAGCTAGGTATATAATCTACTCTATTATATTCCCAAGACTAAATAGAGCTATATAGAGCTAAGTACTCTATTATACTCCCGAGATTAAGTAGAGCTAGATAGAGCTATATAAGTTTTCTATATCTATATAGTCTATAGTCTTTTATAGTTTCTCTTTTATAGTTAATCTTAGTTATATGTTACGAGTCGCTTTACAACACGTGAGGTGTCAACGAGCAAACCCGAAGTGGTTTACTTGGTGATATAGCAGTGGGGCTCGATATAGTAGAGACGGAAACTAAGCGTATAGTATATAACTATACGTAAAGCGAGTAACCGAGAACAACTCGATTATCTTTAACTGAGGTTGACTATGTGGAAAGTTATGGACTTGTACTGAGGCTATATAGACAAAGTAGATTCGTATAGATCTGTATAGCTCTACTTAGCCTTGGGAGCACAATAGAGCACGCCGCTCTATGTGGCTCTACTTAGCCTTGGGAGCACAATAGAGCACATCACGTGCCCTAGCTCGTGTCGTCACTCCTTTCGGTAAACCTTCTTCCTTGTTCTTGTACCGTAGTCGTCCTCCTTAGTCTATTCGTAACACTTCCCCCTCTCTAGCTTCTTTATCGTCCTCGACATACTTAAGGTAGGCCGCTCCCCGACCCTCCTTCCTTTATACTGCTTTCCTTTCACATAGCTAACTATACGTCTTTAGTCTAATCGTGTTTCTAAGCCTACTTCTCGCATCTCTTCTACCTAACGTCGTAAAGCCGCTGCCGAACGAACTTAATCTCTCGGTCGCTAATTCTTTGAAATGGGCCGGTATTCGAACTGTATTATCTCGGACTCTTCTTATTGGATAATAGAAGGGCAGTCGATATATAGTATATATCGTGGTAAAAATAAGAAAGTTAGCGAATATGATGGATGTTTTTCGGTCTCCGATTTCGATAGCCTCCAGGACTAACGCGAGCGAATATAGCGTAAGGTGGAGGAAAAAGATAGGCGGATAGGGGAGTTGATTGCTTCCCTAATATCAATCTAACGTGAGAAGGACTAGTTATAATAGTAGATATAACGCCTCCTTAGTGAATAGAAAAGGATATTATCACGAGAGTTAGAGGCCTTAGACGCTATTAATATAGCGTCGGCCTCGGACGACTTATCGCGTTTTACCTTTACGTTAGACTCTGCTTTGGAACCGTCGGTTTAATAAATGGCCGAGTTCGAGAGTCTCTTCTCTATCCTTAGTGACACTAGATAATCCGCTCTTTCTACTTTAGCGAATCCATAATCCACTAGTTTCGTCTTTTTATCTCTTTATCTCTAGATATCCGCGCTATTCGGATAAGGTATTGGTAATATTCGATAATAAATAGCTTCGGTAAGTCTTCCTTCTTTTTCTAGGTTTGTATTTCCTAAGCTAACTATCGTACTAAGTACTTTATTAGTAATAAGTACCCTATACTAGCGATTAACTTCTCCGGAGTTCTACGTTCTACGTATATCCCTATAAGGTTTTTACTTTAGAGGTATTGTTAGACTTCTTTAGGTAGTAGGTTTTCTACGACTTCCTACGTATCCTCTTCCGAGTCGTATCCTAACTATCTCACTAGATAGACTAGCTTAAGCTCTTCAGTTTCGGGTTAGTGTTTGATAATTTTGTTAACAAAGAAGTTATCTTTATCAACTAGTAGCCCGTACTTCCAGTGATACTTCCGTATATCTTATCTATCTAGGTTATCGAGTGGTTCCTACGTACTTTCTTCCTTTAGATATCCCTTCCACTTAATTAAGTAATGTAGTACCCTACTTTATACTTTATATTTCTCGATCCTCTCGACTTCGTATCTTAGTTCCTGAGTCTCCGGATCTATCTCTATAGGTCCTAGTGTCGCGTCCGGGTTCTTACATAACTCGAGTCTATCTTTATAAAATATAGGATATATTTTCAAGTTTACCGGTAGTTCAACCTCGAACGTGACTAGTCCTAACTTTTTCTTAATACGATAGGGTCCGATTTTTGTATAATCTAGTTTATCGCTTAGTCGTTTTATTTTGATGTTTTTTCGTCGTATATAGACTATCTCTCCCTCTTTGAGGTCTAGTCCCTTAGATCTTTTCTTATTTTCTCTTATTGTTATCCTTTCTACTATTCTTTATAGTTCTTTTTGTATTATTTTATATAGTTCCTTAATGTTTTCGATTTATATTTTTACTTCCTCTAATATTGGTTTCCTGAATTTTAGTTCCGTGAACGTCTTTGGGTATTTCCTATAGTTTACGAAGAACGGCGATATTCCTATAACAGCTATGCTATTGTTGAATACTATTTATACCGTGGGTAGTAGCTATGCCTAATTATCTTACTTATAATTAACGTAGTATCGTAAGTATTGTTCTAGCGTTTGATTTGTTCTTTCCGTTTATCTATCCGTCTATGGGTAGTATATTGTTGACAACTTATGTTCCGTCCCCAGTAGATCCGTAAGGGATTGCCAGAACTGTGACGTGAATAGCTTATCCCTATCCGATATGATTTCATTAGGTATTCCGTATTATGCGATTATTGTCCTCACAAAGAGGTATACGAGATCTTTTGCTATAGCTTTTTCTGTAAACGGTAGTATATAGGCGTACTTCGTTAGTCTTTCTATAACTACTATGATATTGTCGTACTCCTTACCCGTAAGGGGCTCTTTAGATTTCGGTAGCTTCGTAATGAAATCGATCGCGATAGAGCTCTATAGTTTACTTAGTATTTGTGGTACTATTAGGAGTCTATAAGGCCTATATCTTTCCTTTTTTGTTTTCTTATAGATATCGCACTTCCCGATGTACTCTTTTACGTCTCGTCGTAGGCCTTTCTAAGTGAAGTCCCTCGTGATGAGTTCGATCGTTTTTGCGATTCTAGGATATCCCGTAAGTTGATTATCGTGTCTTTATTATAGTACCTCTTTCTTTTGTCGTTCTATAAGGTTAATGTCTATGACTACTAGTGTGTAGTTATGCCCCCTATATTGTAACGTCTCTCCGTTATCTCTGAGTAACAAGTCTAGGTTTGGCTACGTAGTTCCTATATGATCCGGTCTTCTACTTAGGGCATCTACCCGACCATTTTCTGTTCCTTTGACATAGTAAATCCTAAAGTCGTATCTTATCAACGTTTCTACCTATCTAACTTGTCGTCGATTTAGCTCCTTTATTATTGTCTAATATATGAGATTTTTGTGGTCCGTGTAAATCTATATCGGGAACTTTGCCCCTTCTAGATATACTCTCCATTATCTTAACGCTTCCACAATTGCTAGTAGTTCTTTATTATAGATATCGTAATTTGACTCTAGTTAAGTTATTTGTCTCGAGTAGTAAGCGATAGGTCGTGATCGGCCGTTTTTGTCTTTCTATGAAAGATAGGCTCCTATTGCTTTATCTAACGTATCCGTCTCGAGTATAGCTTCCTTTTCCGGATCGAATAGTATAAGGACCGGCGTAGAGGTTATCTATCGCTATAGCTCGTTAAAGACTTTCTCGCACTCTTCGTTCTAGTCGAAGCTCTATTCCTTTCTTATTAAGTTTATAAGGGGTGCCGCGATTCTTGAAAATCCTTGGATAAACCTCCTATAGTAGTTGATAAGCCCTAGGAACTATTACACTTCCTTAACGTTCCTTAGTACTAGCTAATCGTCAATTACTTATACCTTATCAGGGTTCGGCGTAAGTCCTTATGACGACACGATATAGCCTAGGAATGCTATCGTATATTTATGAAATTCGTATTTACTTAATTTAATTAGTAGATCCCTTTCTTTAAGCGCTTATAGAACTAGTCGAATATACCGAATATATTCTTCGTAAGTCTTAGAGAATATAAGGATATCGTCCAAATATACAATAATAAATTCGTCTAAGTACTCTCTTAACGTATCGTTTATAAGTGCCTAAAAAGTAGTGGGAGCGTTAGTTAGTCTAAAGGGCATTATCTAGTACTTAAACAATCCCTATCTAGTTCTGAACGCTATTTTCTACTCCTCTCCTTCTTTTATCCTTACTCGGTAATAGGCGTCTCTAATATCGATTACCGTAAACTATTTTACCCCTAATAACCGGTCTTATAGCTCGTCGATTCTCGATAGTAAGTAACGGTTCTTTTTCGTGATAGCGTTGAGTTTTCTATAATCAATATAAGATCTTAATCCTCCGTCTTTTTTATTTACGAAGATAACTCTATATAAGATTTTAGATTCCGAAGGTCTAATAAACCTTTTTACTAAGTATTTCTTAATATAGTCTTTGAGGAAGTCTTCTTCTTTCTTAGATATTAGTATTAGTCCTTCATAATATATTAGTTCTTTTCCATCTTCGAACGGGATTTTATAGTCCTATAGTTTATGTTCGGGTAAGACTACTCCGCCTTATCGTTCCTACGTAAGACTTTCGAAATCTTTATATTCCGGTGATAGTTCTTCTACACTAGAACTAGCTAGTATTCTTTCTATCGGTCGTACTAATACTGTCCTTATTAGAACCTTTAAAGTTGATCGGACTTCCGTTTTCTTAGTGCTACGTGCCGTAAATGTTAAAGTCTTCGTTTT